AGGTTTAAAGGATACTGTCTTAGGTTTAAAGGATACTGTCTTAGGTTTAAAGGATACTGTCTTAGGTTTAAAGGATACTGTCCTAGGTTTAAAGGATACTGTCCTAGGTTTAAAGGATTCTGTCTTAGGTCTAAAGAATACTGACTTAGGTTTAAAGGATACTGTTGTGAATATGATGTCACTTCAATCAAATGAGGTTTACAATCTCTTTTACTATACCTTCCTTCTCTGACGTCAGACATTTTAACAAAGATAATTTTATGATCGTCAAGATCGTCATCAATCCCTTCAAGATCGGCAAGAGCTGACTCTGCCCACAAAGTAGATGGATCATCTGTAATACATAGTAGAATTTAAGTAAGAGTTTTATTTTTAATTTAATAATGGGAGAAAGCGCCATTATTGAAGAAGGCATTTTTGTTGGTTCTATTTTTAAATCCTAGAACCTTTTTTTTAAATTAATTAAACTTTTATTATTTTCAACAAGACGTGTGTTGGACTTAATGTTCGTAAAAAAAGGAAAAAAAACAATATTTAATTTTTTATTAGCAGAGAAAGGGAAAACATTTTTGAAGATAGTCTTATTCATCTCCAAATAAAAAGGGTGTTTATTATTTTACATTATCTTACGACATTTCTAGATTTTATTTATTCCATCTGATGGTTAAAAGTCTGAAACATATTTATTATTATTTTTTTAATTTCTTAAATATTTTTTTATCAAAAAAACAACAACGGCGTACACACAAATAAATCTAGGGGGGTGCTAAATATGCGCCCCTGGGGGGGGGGGTGGAATTTGAACTGTAAATTCTAAACATTTGGTTTCTTGGATACATTAAAGATACTCATTCAGTCCTATTACCTTGCAAGTACTATACTTTATTTCTCCTCCAAACAAAACTAGCAGAAAAAAACAGCAAACTAATTTTTTTATACGCTTCACTGGAGAAGTGTTATAGCTTTGAGTTCTAGGGGGCTACGCCACCCCCCTATTTTCAGTTCTAGGTGGCACTGTACCCTGCCCCCCCCCCCTGTGCACGCCCTTTAAAAACAATTGTTTTTGTTCTATTTCAAGAAGTTTAATTTCTACTTACAAAACAAGCAAAGAACAGGCAGGTTCCCTTCAATCAGACTGTTAAGCATTCTTCCATTTACCTAGTTGAGCAATATTGCTTTTTAAAAAATCTTTAAAAATTTGGAAATATTTCACTCTTGAAATATTTCACTCATGAAATATTTCACTCTTGAAATATTTCTCTGACGAGAGATAAAAAGTGAGAAATAAATCATTCGTGACAGTGATTTCTGAAACGGAGTCGATATTAGAAATTATTTTGGTGGATTATTGCTAAGATTTGCAACCAGTAAAAGGACTGTCGTTTCAAGTAGACCCTTCTTTTAAAGAGAGGCATACTCGATTCACGACAGTACAACCTTAAAACCTTTCTCTGATAAAAAATGTAGAAGATATCGTCGTTATTTGAACTTGAAATTTTTTTCTGAAGTATACATGCGCAATTTGAAATAGGGGGAGAAAACTATGGATTTGTCATTTGGTTTCCGGTCTTTGATATATTCTTTCATATAGTTTAGCGCTGTAGATAGATACGACCAATTACAGTAAAATTACGTTTAAGAATCCGTACAGTCGTCTCTGAGTTCGCATTCTTTTTGGAGAACTCTGAAGCACATTTTTAATAAAAAAAATAATTTCTTTAGTTTTTTTTGACTTACCACTTACTACTTGTCTTATTAAACTTTACATTATAAAGATTTAAAAATCTTCAGATGAAAAACATTCAGTTTTTTAAAACTAAAATGTAGAGGTTTAGATGCAGTACATTATCCAATACATTGCATTCTGTACACTGTACAGCATAGCTCACCTTCTCAATTGTATCATCTTTAGACTGCTTTAACATCCAATTCAAAGCCTCGTCCTAAAATTTCAATTTGAATAAAAAGATTTAAATATTGATAAAATATATTTCTATTTTACCTCCATTCTCAGATCTCCATTGTAAAGGTCAGGGATTCCGTTTCTGGTCATTGAAAAAAATTATCATGAACTTCGATTTTGCTCATTTGGTAAAAAGTCTGTAAATGGTCGGCTTCTATGTTAATAAAGTGTTGACGATTTTTCGTTGCACTTTTATTCCCGCGCAATTTCGAAAATATTCCTTTATGTTTAAGCCATCGACACAGACTTTTCGTAGCTCTAAAAAGTTCTTAATTGTCAAAAATCAATGTTTTCTGTTTGTGCATAATTATGCATATTTTTTCTCTTTTCTTTTGGAAACCTGTATTTTCAAAAAAAAATTATTTAAACAAATTTAAACTACACCATTTATATATGTATTTATATCTTTGTGTGTGAATAAATCTTTATAATAATAATAGTATCATATACAGTAAGACATATAAAACTGTTGAATAGGAAGACGACTTAATATGACTCGAATATGTTGATATATATATAATATATATAATCCAATGAACACGAAACAGAACAATTTTGAAGTGAGCACAGAACCGTTTAAATGAAAAAGTTAATTTTAAGGTGGTAAAACTATTTGGTTTATAACAGAATCAACTATAATAAGATTGATTAAATGTCGTCTTCTTAGTTCGCAGATCTGTGAGCATGAGATTTGCAAATACAAATAATACTGAGGATGTAAACCCTCAAAATATGAAATATTAAAATTATTTTGCTTAAATATAGTTTTCTTTTGCCTTATGATAACAAGCTCTGGCGGTGTTACAATTCCTCGACTCTTCATTTCTTCTTCGTTACTAATCTAAACAAATAATATTGATACAGGGTGTCCCAATAAACATGGGAATTCAGTGACGAATTCGATATCGTCATTTTAAATAATTCTTAGATTTAGTTTAGTGATATCTACTGAGAAAGCTGTGATCCGTAAAATTTTTGTCTGCTATGTTTATAGTTTGTTTGTTTATGTTTTGACTGCATACTGTTGTACTTAGTAAAACAAGAAAATTGCAGTATACAAACAGAGTAAACATGTCAGTATTCACTGTTCATCTTGCGGAGACATTATAGACACATCTTTACAACCATTTACCGTTTTCATAAATAAACTCTAGCAGACATAATTATATTATCGCTTTTGAAATGAGGTATTACAATGCTAATTCATAACAAAGACGATATCTAATTCGTCACTGAATTCCTATGTTTATTGGGACACCCTGTTCTGAAGGTTGAAAAGTTTAATTACATGAGAAAACATTACAGGGAAGGTTGGCTGGTAATAGAAGCAAGTTTTCCCCGGAGAGAAAAGTCAAAATTTAGTTTTCTGAAAAATGCGCAAAATAAAAACAGAAAAATCCGCAAAGATCAAAATATGTTTTACAAAGGAAAATGGCAGCTTTAATTTAGAGCAACAGTGGACAGCTAAGATTGATACTATAAAAGGCATACACTTAGAAAAAGACACTTTCATATTATAAAAATCGTATAAATCAAGTAAATTTGTAGGTCCAAAATCAGACGTAACTACAGTTTCAAGGCTCTATTAATTCTATTATTTCCCCCCCCCCCCCCCAATATTTTTTAAACCATTAATACCAGGGTCCCCAAAATTGGTGATTCATCTTCAATATCTGTAAAACATGTTGTAGAAAAAAGTACGACCAAAAAAAGCGTTTTTGAATTAAAAATTAATTTAAGATAAAAACCTTGACAAAAAGCACACCCTTCTTTCTGGCCTGTCCCGCAATATTCTCTAAACTTTTCACAGCCCTTGAGGACTGACTCTCCCCTTTACGATCTAGAATTTAAGAAAAATATAATCTGGTGAAAAGAAAGCTTGATGGAAATATTGTAAAATAATTACTAAAAAACTAAGCGAAAAGATAAAAATTTTATCAATAATTAATTACGTAAGATTAAATAAAACCATGAAAAAAGGTGTTCTTGAATTATGATGTTGTGGTGTGCATACAAGTGTAATAAAGGGTTTTATAAAATATTTAATTTTCATATTATATAAAATAAATGTATGTAAAAAGAAAACTTACAAAAAAGAATTGAAAGAGTTCTATCATCTGGCCAACTGTGCCCCTGACCTAATTCTCCCTGGATCAGCATCCCTAGGCCAACACGGTCAACCTATAGTAGGACGATTCCTATGTTGTCTAAAATTGTTCAATATTGTCTAATATTGTCCAATATTGTCGAATATTGTCCAATATTGTCTAATATTGTCGAATATTGTCCATTAATGTCCAATATTGTACAATAATCTCAAATATTGTCCAATAATGTTCAATATTGTCCAATAATGTTCAATATTGTCCAATAATGTTCAATATTGTCCAATAATGTGAATATTGTCCATTAATGTCCAATATTGTACAATAATCTCAAATATTGTCAATATTGTCCAATAATGTTCAATATTGTCCAATAATGTTCAATATTGTCCAATAATGTTCAATATTGTCCAATAATGTCCAATACTGTCCAATATTATCCAGTAAAGCCTATAATGTCCTTTATTGCCCAATATGTCCAATAAGGTCCAATATTGTCCAATCATGACAAATATGGTCCAAAAATGTCCAATATTGTCCAAAAATGTCCAATAATGTCCAATAATCTCCAACAATGTCAAATATTGTCCAATTTGTCCAATAATTACTAAAATTGTCCAATAATGTCCAATATTGTCCAACAATGTCCAATATTGTCCAAAAATGTCCAATATTTTCCAATAATGTCCAATATCTTTGCAAACAAACCGATGTCAAATATATAAAGTCCAGAACAATTTAATAGTCGGTTAAATTTTTTTTAGGATTTTCCAATAATTTCCAATAATGTCAGATGTCGTTCAATATTGTCCAATATTATCCAATAATATCCAATTATAATAACTCTTTAATATACTTGCCTCTAGAAGATCTCCATCCTCTCCAGCCATTTTCCTAACCCAAGCTAGGAGGGACCGATCAGACCCGAGGTCGCCAGTGTACACTGTACATAGTACAAATCAGCTGATTCATTTCCCCCGTGCTTTTTATTCGAATAGTCTTTTGTCAAAACCAGAAGTTGTGAAAATTAAACAAATGCACTTAGATTTCAGTTAGTTCCAGCATCTGTTTTTACAGCATAGTGAACAATACGGTATCTTTTATTGGTAGGGTAGTTCATATCAATTTAAAAACTAATAAAATAGGAAATATCTAAAAAAAAAGTGTTTAGATTCTACTTCAGGATTACATCTCTAATTTCTTACTGTCGACGTTCTAAGTAAGATCTTATCATCACAATTTTATTTCTTTGGCCTTGAATACTATTTCTTAACTTCCTTGACTTCTATAGTTTTAAAAATACAGGATTTTGCGCTAAAAGTGTAATGGTAGGAGTAGGACCCTTATTTGAATTGTATTGGTAGGACCCTTGATTTGAATTGTATTGGTAGGACCCTTGATTTGAATTGTATTGGTAGGAACCATGATTTGAATTGTATTGGTAGAACCCTTGATTTGAATTGTATTGGTAGGAACCATGATTTGAATTGTATTGGTAGGAACCTTGATTTGAATTGTATTGGTAGGAACCTTGATTTGAATTGTATTGGTAGGAACCTTGATATGAATTGTATTGGTAGGACCCTTGATATAAGTTGTATTGGTAGGAACCTTGATTTGAATTGCATTGGTAAGAACATTGATTTTAATTGTATTGGTAGGACCCTTGATTTGAATTGTATTGGTAGGTCCCTTGATATGAATTGTATTGGTGGGACCCTTGATTTGAATTGTATTGGTAGGAACCTTGATATAAGTTGTATTGGTAGGAACCTTGATTTGAATTGTATTGGTAGAACCCTTGATTTGAATTGTATTGGTAGGACCCTTGATTTGAATTGTATTTGTAGGAACCATGATTTGTATTGCATTGGTAGGAACCTTGATTTGAATTGTATTGGTAGGACCCTTGATTTGAATTGTATTGGTAGGAACCTTGATTTGAATTGTATTGGTAGGAACCTTGATTTGTATTGTATTGGTAGGAACCTTGATATGAATTGTATTGGTAGGAAACTTGATTTGAATTGTATTGGTAGGACCCTTGATTTGAATTGTATTGGTTGGACCCTTGATTTGAATTGTATTGGTAGGACCCTTGATATGAATTGTATTGGTAGGACCCTTGATGTGAATTGTATTGGCAGGACCCTTGTTATTTGAATTGAATCTGTACCTGATGGTACACCATATATGAATTGAATCTGTACCTGAAGGTGCACCATATTTGAATTGAATCTGTACCTGAAGGTACACCATATTTGAATTGAATCTGTACCTGAAGGTACACCATATTTGAACAGATAAACTTGAATTGACTGCACTCTCCACTTTCTTAGTTCTCCAGAATCACTTACCTAGATATGTATGTAGACTATATAGTAAATACCCAAAGTTTTAGCATTTTAGCATTTCTAAAATGTGGTCTGCTTCAAAATACGCAGAGGTAAAAGCATCATCTTCAGATTTCAATTTTTTTAATAAAAGCAAAATGTTTTACTGTCCAATAAATATCATGTTTTGATAATTGACTATACCAAGAAGATACACGACATTCTGGAAAAGTAACATGTCACGCACTTTTTTTAATACACACTTTGTCATTAGATACAAAACGCGTCCCATAAAATATTAAATTATCTCCAAATACAATTTGTACAATTTAAAGTAATGATGCAATCTATTATACCTTTGTTCCCTGGAATTTAGAACTATGAATATGTTTAAATATGTAACCAATGATTAGAGATCAAAGACATGCTTAAAGGGAGTGACCACCGACCGGTTAGGCATGGTAGTTGAACTGAACTGAGTGCAGTATTGTAGAGAAATTCAATAGAATTCATTTCAGACCTATAAGACATTTATACGGTGTATATATGTTAAGCAAGAGCGCAAATTCGATCTTTAGAATCGTCCTGGATTGTCCATTCTGGAGGCTTTATTTTGAAAATACAACAGTCACATGGCTCAGCTGAATTACCATGTCAAGCTAATCACTCCCTTTAAAAGTCGTTCCTCAACTGAAAGTGAGAGGGGGAGAGGGATAAATTGTGTTTACTTATACCTTGACCATTGATATTCCAAGTCTATCAAGATCATCATCAATATTCTCAAGAATATCCAGCAATTCAATTACTTCTCTTTCTCCTCTTTTATCTATGATATTAAGATAATCAATATTTTCAGGATAACTAGCTGAGGGAGTGCCAGCTGTGTTGCCGTACAAATTAAAAAAATGAATTTTGAAAAAAATGAATTTTAATGAAAGAGAAATTAATTTTGAAGAAGTAAAAAATGGGATTGTTTGATTGTTTAGCCTATGTTGACCCATGGGTTTCCCAAAAAAAATCATCCAATTTGGTTCAGCCGTTTGGCCAGGTATAGCTAACGTATATATTGTATATATATTATATATATATACAATATATACGAGTATGAGCTAAGAGTTTTCTTATGTAGATGAACAGTGATGAGATCAATGAAAGTGTGAAATACAAAATGCCTGACTTTAGATAGTGCAATGCACATGAAACATAGCAATTTGATAAGTATTTGTTCAAGCTACTGCATGGTGAAACCATTTTCTTTATAATAACGTCAAATGTACAAAAGATAGAGTTAATAGGTCTCTTTGTATATATTGTATTATTTTAACCTGACTAATAAAGAATTTATGATGAGAATTAAACTTTTGTCAATGAAACTTTTCTTTTATAGTGTAGCGATTTATGAAATGTTTTTGCATTGATTCAATTTATCCATTACTAAGTATGAAAAGGTTTTCCTCAAAACAGAACTAAAACTTTCTATAATAAGAATATAACATTGAAATTAAACGAAATGTATTTCAATTTTTTTTTCTTGAAACATTTAAAGGTATTCTTTATTAATGAAAATAAAGATAAACAAAAAGTAGTACATAATTCAAAACGACGGGATCAATCTCAAGCATTTTGTTTATAGTACAGTGAGACTCATAAAACGGTGGAACAGGAAATCTATATTTTAGCAATTTTATGTCGTCATGAACCAATTTTCTTTTTACCAATTTTTTTGGTAAAGTGTGAACTGCACACAGTTCCTGTGTTTCATGTTCATTTTACTATCTAAAATCTTCGCCTTACCGGCCCATTACAGAGTTTAATGTGACCAACTGTATTAATCTGNAAATCAAGTATAAAACTGAATAATTTTGTTTATGAAATATCCATCTTTTTATTTTTTCTTCTTATTTCCTGCGGCAGTTTAAGTTTCTTTACTTTTTTGTATTTTTTTTATGCTCTTCTCTTTTCCGTCAATTGTATTCTTTTGATTTTTCTATTTGTACCTTTTTCTTTTACTCTTTTCTTGTATCCATATTTTTTTTATACAGTGAAACCCTTAATAACGATTACATCGAAAGAATTCATCAAATGTCGTATTCTTTACTTTCTGATAATGGAATGTTGCAGATATTTAGTTTTTTTAATTAAATGATTATATGGAACTCTTAAAAAATGTTCCCGCATATTCATGGCTATTTATTCATTTTCGCAAATACTGAAATTTACGTAATATAGTATAAAAATCATTGAAAAATTGTCAATACGACATTTAATAATTTCTTCCGATGTATTCGTTATTAAGGGTTTCATTGTAGCATATTTCATCTTAACTTTCTTTTTCTTTTTATTTTCTTAAATATTAAAAAATTGTTTAATATTTAAACTTTTCTCTAGTCTTCTCTCTCTATAAATATTAAATGATTTTGAAAATTTTGTTTTTTTGTTTGTTATTTTTCCTTAGTTCAATATGGAAAGTTTGTCTCAAGATTGGAAAATTATTTGTTGAAATCTATGTTAAAAATATGCTCTGTAAGTTCTTAATTTATCTCTACCAAAAAAAGTCGGATAGAAATCTTTATTAAAACAAAAACATTTATTAAATATTTACAAATATAAAAAGCTTACATTTGTGCCTCAGATTAGAAACTTTTTAACTTTAAAAAAATTAGTTTTACGTCAAGATTAGGTTAAGAAATGTTTTTGTCTTTTTTAAGATTTCTATCCTGCGGCACAGAATCAATTCATTCATAAATAGTTTAGTTTTGCCGTCATTCAAAACACATTTCAAGACTGCTTAAAGTTTTAACTCTCAATAATGTAAATAATTTGAGAAAATGTAAGCATTCCCGTAAATTCTTAAATTCTTCCTCCCTTGTTGTGCAACAACCACTTAACCCTTTTCCGCTCAGCTCAAATTTTATATAATAAAAAAGGATAGGAAAACATATTTTTATCAATTAAAGTCATTGATAGATCAAATATTGCCTGATTACAAAAACAGCATAAGAATTATTTTATAATTTAACAATGAAAATCCTATCCTGTTTGGTTGTGTCCATGGCCGGGTAATCCCACTTACTTAAACCATGGGAAACTGAGAGATTTATCAAAATTTGCAAAACATGAAAAATTTACGAAAACATTAAATAATGCATATTTTACGTCTCATAAGCCATTCCACGAACATTTTGTGGAGGTAAAAATTGTTTAAGATTATCAGGAGAATAGTTTTTAATTAGATAACAGGTGTGGGTCAGCGCAATAATGGCGTAGGCAATATACTTACAGAAGACGACAACTACATGTTTAGTTTCGCGGATTATTTTGCCAAGAAGGGAGGACGACATTTCCTCAATTTCAGCTGATTCTACATAAGCAAGAATCCACTGTAGAACCTCTTCTTCATCCATAAGATTTCCTAAATATTTCAAGAATAAACATTTTATGATTTTAAAGTAATTGTAGATTCTCTTTAAATCTGTGTCTTTAATTGGATGACAAAGATTTGCTTATATTTTTAGCTTAAAAATAAGGCCCCAGTCTATTTAATCCGCAGAAACGTTTGTAATTTATATTTAGCAAGCTTCATGATATAAAAGTATGACTATTTAGTTTAAAAGTTAGTATTTACCACAAACTCTAATTTAGCAATCCCAATATTTTTGGAACCAAATATCCAAGATACCTTTGCTATTTCAAACTATGTATTCTATTAGATAAAATCATCCATGTTTGAAATATCAACGCATTGCACCATAAGGTTGCAAAGAGTATCCAGGATCCGGATTAGAAAATTTGAGTTTGTGGCAAAAACTCAGTTTCTTAATAAGAAAAAATAAATGTTTTTATTCGAAATTATAAAAACTGCGTTTGACTTAAAATATTTGGAATTCTTGGAATTTTTGCGCGAAAGCCAGGAGAATGGGTCTATTAATTTAATCTTTCCAGAACTCAATAAATTAGGATTTTCTGTCGTTGTTGCTGAAACAAAGGTTTAAAGGGTATCGTTGTGAATTGTACATGCCACTCATTAAAAGTTAGATGCTTTACAATTAGCTTTTTCTCAGCGAGAAAATTTCGTTTTTTTAATTTATTCAAACCAATGTCGGAACCTCGAATCTAATGCAATATTGCCTTTTTCTAGGAATACAAAATATAACGAAATCATAGTGTATTCAGGGAATCAGTGAAATATATGGTCTCCTTAAAATCGAGTAGAAATATAAAGGCTGTCTCCTTTTAATTCAATATTTTCTTTATAAATATTATCTTATATTTTATCTAAATACAACTTTTTTTATCACCAACATTTTTGTCACTGAACATTTTCTCATTTTTCAATCAAGATTGAAACATTTATAAAATGACATGCTCTTTTAATAGTAAAGGAGAAGGGGGGAGGCTGTAACAGGAAATGAGAAGGGGGGAGGCTGTAATAATAAAGGAGAAGGGGGGAACTGTAACAGTAAAGGAGGGGGTGTTGGGTGTTATGACTATAAGCGGATTAAAGGGATCCATAAACATTTTAAACATTTACAGTTTACACCCTTATACAAGGAGGATACTCATCTACTCCTCTACTATTTACAGTTTACACCTTATACAAGGAGGATACTCATCTACTCCTCTAATATTTACAGTTTACACCTTATACAAGGAGGATACTCATCTACTCTTCTACTATTTACAGTTTATACCCTTATACAAGACGGATACTCATCTACTCCTCTACTATTTACAGTTTATATCCTTATACAAGGAGGATACTCATCTACTCCTCTACTATTTACAGTTTACACACTTATACAATGAGGATACTCATCTACTCCACTACTATTTACAGTTTACACCCTTATACAAGGAGGATACTCATCTACTATTTCTTCCTCTCAGTCCTTCCTTTTCCCTCTTTTCTACACCTTAAAATATTTCTCCCCTCTCCCCCTTTCCTCTGCTTTATACTTTACTAATTTTGTTTCATTCACTCTCTTTCCTTCACTCCTTTTCATTACCACTCTTTCCTCCACTCCTTTTATTTATTCTCTGTCCTCAAATCCTTTCTTTTCCTGACTTCTTTTTCCGGCTGTCTTTTTCATTTTCCACTTTTCCATTCCCTTCCTTTTTTCCCTTCATTTCCCCCACCTCTCTATGCTCGTTCCCAAAATATTTTCATCTAAAAATCTCCTAATTCAATCGTAGTGTTACCGCCCCCCCCCCTTTGTTCCCATTTTCATGCGTAAACCCTCTTACCCTCATTACTTTTCGTCTCTTCCCAAATAATGTGCCCCCCCCCCTCCTCCTACCCTACATCTCAGCTCAGTTTCCCTTTTTCAAGAAAATCTTCGTGCTTCAATGTATGAGGGGTGAGATTAACATTTAACATNGTCTAAAAATTGATGCCGTATAAAATGTTGAAAACAGATGTAAAATAAGAGATTATTAAAGAAGGGGTAAACAGGATTAGAGAAAGAGAGAATGCTGTTAACACTATTTTGAATTTTAGTCCGGTTCTGTTTAAAAGTATGCAGAATGCAAAGTTTAGTCAAGGAACTCAGTTTTTGTCTAAAAACTTTTGATTTTTAATTCCTATATCTCTGCAGCCCGATGTCTATGAAATCTGTGAATTATGAATGACATAGTCTAAGTTTGACATATCAAAAGATTTACAACATCAAGTCACAAAGGTATAGGTATTAGAACATTTGAGGTTGCGATAAAAAATAAATTCCTTAAAAAATGTCATCTATTATAAAAAAACTATACCTGAGTAAAATTGTGGAGCTTTATTTTTAAAGAATACAAGAGTAGGTGTGCTCGAAACTCCAAATTTTCCTCCAGTACTCGAGATTTTCACAAAGTGAACACCCCTAAAAGCAGTAAATAAATCAGCCAATCAAATAATAATCGTTTGTTTTTTATCTTATCATCCATTTTAGTTACAAGGTTTTGAAATCAATAACCATATATTGGCTTTTAAATGTTGGTTTCCATGCCACTCTCTTTTCTTTGTCCATCAAAAAAAAACCTGCTTTCATTGGAGATTTGGAAAGAATTTATAAGTTGAAAATTCATCAATTAGCACAATAACTTAACTGTTTAATGGATACAAACAAACAAACAAACACCCAGACATAAAAAATAAATTTATATATTAATAGATTCCATTAAAAAATGTTTAATGACCCAGCTCACCTTGTGTCGCAGTCATCATCAATTTTCTCCAAGTTTTCAAGAATTTGATCAGTTCTTCTTGATTTACTGTCATCTGCAGATAAAATGGGTTAAATTAGAAAAAACTTAAATTTTAACAAAGCTTCCCTGAGCGCGAAACTTAAGAAAGAGTATCGTAATGAAACCCAGTATCGGAAACCCGGTTTGATGAATGGGGTCAGGCAGTTTAGTAGATATCAATGTTTTTAATAAGAAATAAAACGGTGGTAGGCGATTATAGCAATACAATGAAGACGAATTTCTATTTCAATTTTGATTAAAATCAACCTGTTGAACAGCATGGATCCACATAAACATGGAAACAAAGAGAAGCTGTCACGTCAATTAAAAAAAGTTTCTCTTTGATTACTTATAAACTTGTAATTCGAAAACAAAGCTTTTAAAAAATCAAAACTCAAATAAAAAAGTCGTTTTTATTTTTTTATATAATTTGATATGGTTTCTCCACATTCTTTGTTTTATGATTTCTTAGATTAAAGTCTACATTACTATATACAGTTTACACCAAAAATTAGACTCGGGAGTTTCGTTTAACATTATTCTCTTAATTTTCCGCCTCCAGGTGTTCTAACGTTGTTTTAACTGTCATAAAAACAGACTTACACATACAATATATACTACATAGCACATGATATACTGGCAAAAAATAAGACTTCAGAGACGACTTTTTTACATTGATGGTTCCTTGCAGCTGTAAACTTGTTTCTTTCTATGAGCGCTATATTCATGGCAAAAAATACTATATTATTGGCAAATAATCAAATTGTACCCTTAGATCGCTTTTTTCAGAGTTATAGGTCGTCATTAAAGTTACATTCTTTGTGGGTAACCCTGTATATTAAACATAAATTCAAATTATAAAAAACTAACAAAAAAATATCTATCTATAAAGCAATAATCAGAGCAGCTTCTCAGTTTTATATCTATCTATCTATCTATCTATCCATCATTCATTCATATGAATTGCTTACAGAAAAGCACGGCGATGTTCTCTACTGCTGAAATCATGGCCTCGAGGCTGTTAATATCAACCTCTTCTATCTGATCACCCTCTTCTCCAGAATGTCTAAACATAATATAGGGAGAAGCAGAAAACAATGGAGTAGGTAGACGACATTTAAAGTGTCCTTGATGATGACCAATCAAATAGTTTTATTATGTATCTACTTAAAAAATCACTAATTAAGTGAAATGGGTCTGTTTACACTGCTCAATTGCCGTGTCTCATGTTCTCTGGACTATTTAAAGTCTAAAAGTCGTCTTTCTATTTTTTTTCTGGATTTTTTTTTATATCACCGTACAATTTATTCAAGTCAATTGATGGATTAATCAAAATTGTTGAAAATCCATGTTTACACTTATGATATGGAAAAAAAAACATCTCAATATGGTAAAAAATATAAAAATATTAAGTGACATCTGTATCTTAATCTATGTTCAAAGGACAATTTGATGTTCTAAAACTTCTTTTTTGTTTTTATAAATTGGGTTTTTTTTCGTAAAACAATTTGAATTACCTGTTTTGAACCAACCACTCTAGTATATCTCCTTCCTCATCGATGTCACCTAGTCAAAAAAAATTGAGAATAATAAAAATAACAAAGTATAAAATTTTAGATACTTTCAGAGCGTTTCGCTTCGCGCCGATCTTCTTTTTTAATTGTGAACATTTTCTCTTTCTATAAATTGTAAAACAATACAAAAAAATTCTCAGATTTTATAAAACAAAATTGGCGGATTTTCAGAATTTAATGAAAATCGAATTTTGTTGGAGGCTAACTTTTGAAGTTTTGATCATTCATAAACCTCCCCTGGGGTCATATGAGGTTCCGCAAATAAACCAAATTTGGGCCCAATTGGTTCAGCCGTTTTGATGTTTATTGGTTACAAACAAACAGATAGACAGACAAGCAAATTATTAATATATATATAGATTTCATGCCTATTATAAGATTAAATCTTTATATAATTAATTACTAATCAATAATGAATACCTTGGTAAAGGATTGGAATAGTGTGTCTATAGTAAACCAAAGCAGGGAGTTCCCCAAGGCTGTATTCGGCCACCAGTGCTAAATCGTTGATGCAAACTACCCTAGGAAATAGATTTTCAAATTCAGAACTCGTTCCGTCTTTTATTAACGATTGTTTAAAAGCGTTTAGGGTCGTTAACGATAGAAGATCGTTCAGATATGACGTTTAGTATCAGGAAAAGAACGTTTTTATTCTTTCCAAGGATAGTTCGTTCCATGGTTGCTTAATTTATGATAATTTTAGTTTTTTGAAGAAAGGTTCTGAATGTGTAACTTAATAATACTTAAATAAACTTAATTGTAATTAATTATACTTAATTATACTTAATCATACTTAATTACACTTAATTATTCTTAATTATACTTAATTATACTTAATTATCCTTAATTATATTTAATTATACTTAATTATACTTAATTATACTTAATTATCATTAACTATACTTAATCATACTTAATTACACTTAATTATTCTTAATTATACTTAATTATCCTAAATTATGCTTAATTATATTTAATTATACTTAATTACAATTAAGTATGCTTAATTATACTTAATTATACTTAATTATCATTAACTATACTTAATTATACTTATTTCTACCTAATTATACCTAATTATACTTAATTATACTTAATTATACCTAATTATCCTTAACTATACTTAATTATACTTAATTATCCTTAATTATACCTAATTATCCTTAATTATACTTAATTATACTTAATTATACTTAACTATACCTTATGTCCAATGGTTCCGCCAGATTGATAAGATTTGTGAGTGCCTCAATACCTGCAGTTCCTTTGTTACCGGAAACTAAACAATACGCCCACAAGGACCAGTCATCAGATTTTAGAGCAAAGATATTCAAGGGACTGTATTGTACTGTACTGCATAATTACAAGAGATTCTCTTGGCAAAGATGGCAATGATTGGCTCACAACACAACAGTACCCTTAAGAACTTTGTCTGATCAAGTATGAAGTATGTTTATAGTTTTAAAAACTGTGTAGGAAAACCTATAGAAATTATAAGAAGGAAATTCTTTTAAACAAATAAAAACGAAAATATCTTCCACATTATTGAGCAGATAAAGATTTCAAGGGAACCGTTGTGAATCGGGGATTGACATCTTGCATGGAGGGTTACTTGAAATTACGCTCACAGTCCCTTTAATTACTAGTCAAAACTTCTAGAAATGCCGAAAGAGGTTAGTTTCATGGAAAGGGTTAGTAGTATGGGAAATACAAAATAAAATAAAACAAGTAAAGAATAACAATAACAGGGGTTTACAAAATAAACTTTTAACTATTCGAACACATGTTTCTAGTGAACGATATTCACACTACAATGTACATTGTACAATGTACAGTGTACACTGTTCATAAGTATTATACTACATTAAAGAATTCTTAACATTTTGTTATTAATAAATAACTTACTGTCCAAAAAAGAAATTGCGAATATTTGTCACCAAATTGGAACAAAATTTGGGACAATTCGCAACAAATGGATAGATTGTCAACTTTTACATTACAGAAAAACATTGTCAAAAGAACATTGGCTGAATGATCGAACTTACAAAAGAAGACTGCTACAAACTGGTTCTGCGTAACCAGGAGTTCTAGCTCTGATGCTGTCACCTGCTGAACCTGGGAAAACAAATTTAAAGGGACTGTTCACACATTATCAAGTAATCCTGCACGAAAGACTAAAAACTTAAAATTTAAAACTTTTGAACGAACGAATTTTTTCGTAAAAAAGGGTGTCTTTTAGAAAAAAACGAACGATAAACAGACGAAATTGATCATTAAGAGGAATGAAAAAATTATCGTTTTTAAAAAACGAACGAAAAATATCAAAAACGAAAGATTTAAAATAGTTTTTTACTTGACCAACGTAATTTTACAAAATATTTAAAAAAAACTATCGCTTTTTCTGAACAAACATTTTTTCGGATAACATTTTGAAAATAACTTTCGTTATAACGAACGATTTTACTGAATGAACGTTCAGTGAGAAAACGAACGAAATAGATGGAAAATGAATGATAATTTTCAGAACGAACTAAATCAACTTATTTTGAACGATCAAAAAACGAGCGAAATGTGTCGTTCACGAACGTTGAACGAACGAAATGAAAAACCCAGACTTACAACGACGTTGTAGCCTTAAACCTTTGTGAGAGCCATAATGATGGAGATAAAAGAAAATTGAAAATTTTCGATTGCAGTTTATTTAAAAAAGTGCTACCGTGACAAAAAAAAAAGACTATTTAGATACTAATTGCAAAAAGAAAAAGTTTAGTCAATACTCAATAGGATAGATTAATTGAACTGCGCATGAGCACACTTATTTCTTCATTTCTAACAAAGATTTTGATAAATCGAATACAATGATAGGATTTTATCTGATGATAGTTTTACCTTTCCCACCTCCTCAGTTGCTCCCAGGTTAGTTAGGAAGTCTAGAATAGAATCCTGATCGGTTAGATCACCCTCAAACTGGGAAATATCTCCAGACCTAAATAGATTGATTGATTGGTGTAATTGATTGATTGAAACAGAGCCATGTGTAATTGATTTTTGCCTGAAATTGATCTTTTGATCTATTGCTAATCAATTTATTAGAGGTCGATATTTCTGTTAAAACAATTGACTAATTTAGTTAAATAAATTTGAAGGTAGATCAAAAATAAAAATTTGTCTATTTTGATCAATCGAGTTTTTCATGAAATCAATTCGATTTACTGTAAACTCATTGATCTGTCGATTTTAAATGGATACTTCAAATTAATTGATTCACGTGTCTAAAAATTGATTTTCATGCAAATCGAATAATCATTAGCATTCAGATTGATTAGTTGTATATCTAATTAATCTATTCTGAATTAGTGATGCACTGTTAATAGATTAGTTATGAATGATATATCATAAAGTTTAACTAAAATGCATATATATGTCAAAATATGACGACATGAGTTTCTATAAAAATGATGTGTAAGCTGAATTCTGAGATGAGGTAATTTCCAATTTAAGGTTCTAATAAAAACATTCGGGTTTAAGAGATTAAACTCACCCATCAACAACAAAAAATCAGGGGTACAAGAAATTTTTGTAGAAGAATTTCACATTGAAGAAATTAAATCTTTGTCACAAACTCAATTTTCCCATTCCTATATTTTTGCAACCGGATTGTGTATAACTTTGATATTTGAATATTAGATTATTTGATCTACCAGAATTCATAGTTTAAAATATCTAAGGTCTACAACATTGGGTTGTAAAGTTATTTGGATAATTAAACCAGAGTTTGTTGCGAAGACTCAATTCCGTTCCTTTTTTTATTAGAAAAAAAACCTGATTAGTGAGAGTGCTGGGAAGTTTCTAACTCCGTGAACTTTGGCGGATTTCTTGTCATTTACTCTAATCAAAGTAACTCCTAAAAATAAACAATTTCTTGGCTAAGAGTTTTTAGAGGGACCGTCCACGTGATTTGAGTGAGCCTAGATTGAAAGAGGTTCCCTTTAAACATCCCTTTAAACATTTGTCGAAGCCAAATTAATAAAATTTATTATTTCTAATTTGCGGATTCATGCAGCAAATACAAGTGATGAAATTGACGATATTTTCCTCATTGTTATTCAGATAAAGGTTTAAAGGGTTTATATACCGACAAATCACTCTGTAAATGAAGGATTACTTGAAGTTACGTCTATTGCCCCTTTATATGCGTCATAAAATACCCCCCCCCCCCCCGGGGGGGTGTTTAAATGGGGCGGGGGGGGGGGCTTATTTTTGTCACAATACTCCTCTTAAAATGCATTTGTCTTGTGTTTCATCATGTTGAGAATGCAAAATGAATTTACTCTGATAATCTTTTCATTACAAACATTGAATCAGTTGTAGCTTGCATGGATTAATACTTATTTCAACTTATAATTACTTTTTTCATATATAAATTTGGCTTGTCTGTCTGTTTGTTTGTATCCAATAAACGTCAAAACGGCTGAACCGATCGGGCCAAAAAATTTTGTCGGACATCACGTGACCACAGGGAAGGTTTATGAATGATAAAATTTTTTTAAAAAGTGTGTTTAAAGGTTTTTAATTTTGTAAAAAAAAATTTAATTCTTGAAAATCCGCGAAATTTTTTTTTTTAATCCGCAAATCGTTTTTCATCTTTGTTTTAAAATTTAAACAAAAAGAACATGTTCACAATTTAAATAGAAGATGGGCGCCTAAAAGCCTAGTACTATATATCCTTGAATGGATCATGCAAACCCGCAATTTTTATTTATATGTCGTCTTTGTTACAGCGAGCTATTTCGGAAAAAAACAGATATGTTTTTATGAAAAATACAAGAAAACACAGCGGTTCCAGGATAATCTAAATATATTTAAATAGATTCTAACAGCTATATAGAAAATATTTAGGGGCGTCAGCAGCACTCCAAACCCTATATTTTGTAGTCAGCGTGTTGAAAAATCCTATTTTAAGAGTTTTCAATGAAATAACGGTGTGAACCATATCCCTAATGTAACCCTGTTTCAAAAGTCGTCTCCGACAAAGTGTACCTCCGTTGAATACTCCGTACTCCGGCCATCCGCCAAATCCCCTCCCTCTCGAACCTGGAAAGGGTTAATTGTCCCCCTGGTTCTTGAAGATGTATATTATGACACGTGTAGCGTATGACAGAGACCTCGTTATCCATATTTATTTCTTTACGTCAAACTGTGAGAAAACAGGGGGTATTCAATCCTCATTATATCATCATTTTTTTTAACAATCTTTTTGTAATTATTTTATTTTGTGGCGAATCATTATCATCACAAATTGTTAGATAATAATTGATAAGTATTATTCCCTAAAATTCAGGATATGAAATATTTTGGCAGATTTTAAAAAATTCCGAACAAATCTTCTATTTCCTCTCCTGATGGGGGCAGCCGGACAGCTGGGAAATATCGTAAATCAGTTCCCACATTTTTCAACCTTTGTTTCCGGAGGGGGGGGGGAGGGTAATTTTTTAGTAGAAAGGCAAAAGATTAAATAAAAAATCAGTGTTGAAAGTGTAAATTGCTAAAACAAGATTTGCAAACTTCAGAAATTCTCATATCAAAACAAAAAAGTTAGGTTTTACTGATTGAAAAATTCGAGAAGAGTTTTGAAAATTTCAAACAAAAAAAGTATTCTAAAAAATGGGTTTCAGGTTTCCAATATTTAAATTTTAATATGAGCCAAGAGAGAAAAAAATATTAACTTTTATTTTTTTAAAGATGATTGAGAAATTATGATGAAGAATTGCGGGGTTAGGTTACACAAATTATATTCGGTTCAATTTTGAATATATTAGTATTGTTCCCAAGCTCAAGTTTAGAGGAAAGGGGGGGTGTTAGAAAATAATTCTTCATGGGGAATTATTTTTATTGGGGTGCTTTCCAGGGTCTTCAGGGTCAATGGGAAATGCTTAGTTAAAAGTTGGGGTGGATCATAAGGGGATTATGCAACACAAGAATAAATTTTCTACGATAAATTTGAAAAATGAAACTTCAGCAAACTCTGATTTTCTAATTCTTATATCTATAAGTGCAGCTTAGTGTCGTGGACCTCTGCAATTCTTCAAACTATGGAAGTTTGTTGGATCAAATAATGGGACTTGGGTTCAAATATTTAGGGATTAGACTCTATTTCTCTCCGTCAGGAGATCATGTTTTGATGAATGATAAATCTTTCTGAACCCTCTTCAGTTTTAAGGCTTATTTTTATTTGCAAAGAATCTGTCAAATCTTTCCTAGGGATGTTTAGAAAGATCAAAATTTCCCTGTACGATAATTGAAAGACTGCAGTATTTAACACCACAAATATTTTCTCATCAGTTGTAAAATAAGATAAAAGAAATCCTTCCTTTTTCTGGTCAAAAATCATTTTTGATGCTTTTAAGAAAACCTTAGAAAGGGCAAGTTTTGGAAAGAGAGGAGGAAGATGCTATACCCCCCCCCCCCCCCACCCTCTCTTTTTGGATATAATGATTCAGGATATCCAAATTGGCAAATTTTAATAGTTTGCTGAAAATGCCAAATAGTTAATGGCCTCAAATTAGAAGTTAATGGACTCTAAGTCACTTTTCTAAGACTTTACTACATTTAAAAAAAAACTCAAGTTACAATGAAATTAGATACTGTAGCTAAAAATCTTATCCACATAATTTTGCCTCCAAAGAGTTGGGTAGCATCAAATAGGCCTTGTTTTAAGATTTCCAAAATGTGGTCTGCCGTTTTTGTACTTTAAGAATTGACCGAGATATTGAGAAATTTGTCTAAAATTCAAAGTATAAAATATTAATAAGATTGTTCAAATCTTATTATATACGACAATTTATATGAAACAAAGAAAGAGGATATATTTTACAAAATATTAAAGACTTCAAATGTTTTTCTTTACTCCTTTGACAAATATCAACTTTACAAAAACCAAAGACAAATTGTAAGTCCAGGGCCCAGCCATAAAATTACATCAAACCTTGTCTATGATATATCCATTCTATTACATATCCATGATTTCTAGGTATCACTTTACTCTAGTTTTGCATTATTCGAGGGAGGGATAGTAAACAATGTAATCGCTATAAAGTACTTACAGTACATACAGGTTCAAAGAATTTGTTATAAAAATCTTTATTTTTTAGTTCTTCAACGAATTCAGCTACTAACATCGTAATATAAGGACCCTGAGACGTAATACATGCTACCTAGTGTTAAATTTTGAAAAATAAACGTATGAAAAAAAAGAAAAAAGGGAAATTAATGAAGTCAATAATTAAAGAAAGAAAAATTCCATATATAACTTGCAAACGGTTGACATTTTAAAATGGGAATTAAGAAAGGGAAGGAAGGGGTAGTAAAAAAGGGACAAAAGAGAGTGGGGGGGAGAGATAGGATGAAAAAAAATCGGAAATTCTCGAAATATGTAAAAAATGTAATGATAAAGGAGATACGGAATAGAATAGAGAAAGATAAAATATAAATAAAATACTCCAAACTTTAGAGTGGTGTGAAAAGGTTTTACTTAACAATAAACAAATGTATTCTCCTAGACTGTACAAATACCGAGATTCGTATGTACTCTATATACCTACAGTACACACCTTTGGTACTTTAAACTACCACACACTCTTTTGGTACAGACTACAGACACACACACATGATGTTTCCGCTCCCTGCTTAAGACGTACGGCTAAACGGTACAGTACACCAAATAAATTCCCCTTTCAGTGAGATCCAAATAGATTATCAAGTACAATAGGATGGCAACAGAGAAATGGATCAAATATACACGACGTCACAAGTGTCAAATTTAACAAGGAAAACAAAATCTACTCACATTAGTTGACAGGTTTTCCAAGATTAAATAAAATTATCACTATTATTAATAATTTTGTCGAACTGTGACGTGAGAATACAGCTGTACTGAGAGTGTACACATTCTACGTTGCCATCTATTGTACTAGAATCTATTAAGTGAGATCAATATGTACTGTTGTAAACAAGCTACAAGGATATCCACTAAACACAACTGTTGAAAGACGAGTTATAGATCGTCATTGTTCTTTAATAGCTATCTATAAATGGCAAAATTTGAATCCAAAATTCTTGCGAATTTTTCACACTTCGTCCATAGATAGCTTACACAGTCTTTAAAGCCGACCTTAAAGTCGACACTTACCCATCATGATTAGTGGGACACACTCTATCACTGTCAAATAGACAGTAGGAGACATTACTGCAAGAACTTTGTGACCTCGTAGCTACTATAATTTTGATTTTATGCACAAGTATGAAAACAAAAACTTATCCGGTTATATATTATAAATTCAAAACATTTTCTTCTTCTCATTAATCTCTACAATAAGAGAAGTTATGATTAAATTATAACAGATTGCAATGGAATCTACTTTAGTTTGACGTGGTTATATTATATATCTACTTACACCAGTACACAGCCAAAATATCTTCGGTTTCCGCCGCCGCCTCAAACTGTCGCCCAGTCACATCCTCAACTTCAACCTTATAATTATTATTATTATTATTATTGTTATTATTATCATCATTATTATTATTATTATTATTATTATTATTATTATTATTATTATTATTATTATTATTATTATTATTATTATTATTATTATTATTATTATTATTATTATTATTATTATTATTATTATTATTATTATTATTCTTATTTTTATTATTTTTATGATTATTATTATAACCTGTCTGCAGTACCCTAGCCCAAAAAGGGCGAACAGCATGAGTAGTCCCAACCCTCGCATCTTAATTTCAAATAATTTTAAAGACAAAAACATGTAACAGTTTACATTATTATTACGTATTAGCTGAAATATATCAGTTTACATTATGATTACGTATTAGCTGAAATGTAACAGTTTACATTATGATTACGTATTAGCTGAAATGATAAATATGTTATGTAATGAGTAATTATCAATGTCGCCTATTTTGCATAACTTTGCATACTTTTTTTCTTTATATATATATTCGAAATATCTAAACAAATTTGAACTAACCAATTTTTATGTATGTATGTTATGTACTTTGTGCAGTAGGAAGAAATCTTGATAATAGTTTTATGAGGATTAACTGCCGTTAAGTTGATTTTTTTTATTAATAGTACTATTTAGGCCTTCAGTACAATATCAAAGAAGAGAAGACTACATCATGTTTATTATTATTTCTTTGGTCTCAATTCAATAAAGATGGATTTAAGTATAAACCCATTTTGATGTATAACACATTTTTTACTTAATTTTTTATCCTTGTAACAATAATAGCTTTTAACTGTTTTAACATTTTCACGTTGATTGGATACAAACAGACGAGAAAATTATGTAAATACATTTATTTATGTAGATATTCTGAATTTTATGAAATTTTTTCTTCCCGTGGTTGTGCCAGTTCTCAGAACGGTTTGAGACAAAAATTTATAAATGAGCCTGAAGTAGTTGAGCTAAGTTGTGCTGGTTCTGCATGTTCTGTTTAATTAGATTCTACGTATATTCCATCTTTGAATCTACGTATATTCTATCTTTGAATCTACCTATATTGATATTATTTAGAAATGAAAACTAATTCTGCTTGGTAAAAATTTCAGCCTTACGGTAGAGCAGGTATCTGACGTAATACAAAATCTTTAAAAAAAGAATTTTGAAAATCTTTCTGCTTATAGCCCAACATATTTGTACAAATCTATTGATGCCAGAACTTAAGTTAAGGCATGCAATTGAACTGTACTTGTAAAGAGCTAATTTTGTGTATCTCTACTTTATATATTTTATAAATGAATACAAAATGATTCTTGACTTCCATTTTTACACTTTCACGTTACCTGTCTACCTGTGTAGGGCTAGAACAGGAACTATGTTGACCGCACACCTAGGCCAGCTGCTCCACCGAGCTGTCCCACCTTTAAAGGGACAGTAGACACAATTTTAAGGGGAGCTCTATTTTATAAGAAGAGTGTTTAAATGCAAGTTTAAAATAATAATTGCTTTTTTCTAAAGATTATTTTGGTTCAAGTCTGCTGTGTTGAGTTCACACTACGCGATATCGTAATTCTACATTAAGTCGCAAAAATACTTTTTTAACTCACAAATTACTCGAGGATCACGCAGAGTTTTATATGATACTACTGTGAATCAGACATACCATTTGTAAATGTAAGGTAACTTAAAATTACGTCCAGCAGTCCCTTTAAAGCTGCTGCTTTCCTCTTCTGAACTGCGCTATGCTTTCTCACGCAGCTGAACAGCTGTACAAATGCAAAGTTTTTCTATCATAGATATAATTCCAAAAAGGCCAAAAAATTACGTTTTTAACTTTCTTTTTGTTTAAGAACATTTAAAAAGTAGACAGGTAGACAGGTAGACAAGTATACAGGTAGACAGGTAGACGGGTAGACAAGTATACAGGTAGACAAGTATGCAGGTAGACAGGTAGACAAGTATACAGGTAGACAGGTAAACAGGTAGACATGTAGACAGGTAGACAGGTACACAGGTAGACAGGTAGATAGCCAAATTTATATATAGATATATATATATATATATATATATTATCTATATAAATAATCTATTGATACAGATAATATATACACACAAGGTTTCAGCAGCACTGCAAAACAATTAATATTGGTTGGAGTTCATTAAAACTCGAGTCTTTTTTCATGCTTTCATATATTTTTCAGATGAAAAGTGTGAATCCCTTTCCAAGATTTTATCAAATTATTTTCCTTATTGGATTTGATCTTGTAAACCTTTAAATGGAAAGCAAATTGTAAAACCCAATCTCACAACTATTTTCTTATATTTTTATTATATTTATGCATGTGCAATGTTTTTTTCTTCATTTTTTTTCTGATTTTAAGGATCATCAGCTCTTCAGCTTATATACACATGGTTGAATGATTTTAACCATGTTATTTAACTGCTGAAGAGAGTGTATTTAAAGATTATAAAAAACTTAAGTTTTCGATTTATATTTTATATCATCCCAATTTCATTACGTATATATATATCATGTAATTGTGACCGTGACTCTTGAAATGTGTCTTAGAATTAATTAAAGGGACTGTATGCGCATTTTCGAGTGACCTTTCTTTTTAAGAGATGCTTTCCCGATTCACAACAATACCTTTCAAACCTTTGTCTAACCAATCATGAATTAGATATTCATGATTCACAACCACATCTTTCAAACCTTTGTCTAACCAAGCATGAATATGATATTCATGATTCACAACAATACCTTTCAAACCTTTGTCTAACCAATCATGAATATGATATTCATGATTCACAACAATACCTTTCAAACCTTTGTCTAACCAATCATGAATTAGATATTCATGATTCACAACCACATCTTTCAAACCTTTGTCTAACCAAAACATAGCTTTGACATAGTTTTGACTTAGAAATGTCTCTCAGAAAGTGGCTTAGACATAAATAGATCTCAAAAATATGACTGTAACGTAATTGTGACTAAGAACTGTGACAAATACTTAACATGATTAGGTATCGGAAAGTGTTTTATACATATTAAGACTAAGAATAATGAAATTGAAATCTCAGAAGTATGAGTTAGAAATGTGACTTAGAATGTGTCTTAGACATAGCTTTGACTAAGAACTGTGAATTAGAAAGTGTCTTTGACATAGTTATGTCTCAAAAGTACGACTTTGGCATGGAATAGTGAGTTATCATAAGTCTAAGTCGGAGTTGTGACTCAAAACATGGACTGCAGTTCGTACTTCAGCCTTCAAAAGGTTCTTTTTAACGATCACAGTTTATAATGGTATCCTGCTGTACTTAAATTTGATATTCTACTATATTCAACCAGCACAGTTTATAATGGTATCCTGCTTTACTTAAATTTGATATTCTACTATTTTCAACCAGCACAGTTTATAATGGTATCCTGCTGTACTTAAATTTGATATTCTACTATATTCAACAAGCACAGTTTATCTACATCATCTACATCATCTACATCAACTACATCTTTCTACATTTCTTGTTTTCATCATTTCCACATTAATCAAATTGAAATAAAAAATTAGGAGAAAATTAAATAAATCCTATTCCAGGGTATTTGTTACTATAATCAATTCTAAATATCCCTGATTACAGCTAACTAGCTGAATTTTTTTTTAATAGATAGGGGAAGAATCTATCTATCTATCTATCTATCTATCTATCTATCTATCTATCTATCTATCTATCTATCTATCTATCTATCTATCTATCTATCTATCTATCTATCTATCTATCTATCTATCTATCTATCTATCTATCTATCTATCTATCTATCTATCTATCTATCTATCTATCTATCTATCTATCTATCTNACAAGCAGAGATTACTACTTTATATATATATATATATATATAGATAATATACAGATTATAATACATTCTAATTTCTACAACAACAAAAAATGAATAAGACGATACCAGTTTTTTATTTGACATCAACAAAAGTTAATACATTTGAATGATTAAACATTTTTCAATATATATATTTTACAATGTTAAAAAAACATCAAGTTTTTTGATCATTTGATCAAATATTGAAATTTTCAAGAACTTAAGAAGAGTATAAAATTTGGATTGAATACAGGTTGCAATCTTTAATCTTAATAACAGTTGATCAACACCCTTTAAAATACTCAGAATTTTAACAAAAAAGACAAATCATAGCAGTATGTACTGGACGCTTAGTTTTTGGTGGAATCCTGACCGGCTTAAAAATACTTGAAGCTGTTATATTGCAAAACTAGGCTTCCAGGCATTTCCCCCTTTCAAGATAAATTTAAGAAATATACAAAACAACTTACGAGCTAAATTTATAATTAGATATTATGACTATCACACAGATTAAGACTAAAGTTTCATATTTTACAATGAAAAGCCAAGAATGCTGAAAAAATAAGTTAAAACATCCTTATCGAATAGAACTAAGTAAACCACCAAGTTGTAAGCAGTAAGTCTGACTAATGTGAGCTCTACTACTGAGCTTATGGAACTTGTAACTATGAGATTTGCGCATAATCCAGCTACAATGAACATTGTAACGATACTTGCAGTTCTCATGCATTGTTTAGTGATGACCTCTTTAGCAAGCATTAAATTTTCCCCCTCTGCAGCTCTGTTTAGGTTCTCAACTGTACAATTTGGAGTATTCTGATTTTCTGTGGAGTCAACTTCAAGTGCTTCTGGACCTGTAGCTTCTTCAGCTTGCAGGGAATACCTTCTTTGACAGCTGACTATCCTTACCGTATAAGGTAATGGAAATGATTCAGAACGCCTTAATGCTGGCTGTCCACTCCGGCCTGAATTTGTTCTCAATATATCAGATCGATCAGTTATAACTTCGATTAGTTCTGTTGGTCTTACTTGATTATTTTTCTTTTTCTTTTTCAGGAACTCTTTAACTAAAACAAATAGTACTTTAACTGTTTCCAGAAATAAGGAACATATCACCAACACTGGAAAAGTTGGTAATTCATTGCAGAACTTCTTTTCATTTTCTGATTTTGTAGCATTTGGGTTGTCAGTTACTGGAATTGTAGTTTTGAAGTCATCTTGAGCCATAATTCCCATCTCCATCTGAAAATTGAATAATGGCCTTGTGTTTGTGTTTTCATTGCACACTAATGACATGTAAGTTATGTCAAGAACAGAGACAATGAAAACCAATGCCCCAGCTACAATTGCACCGTATAATGAATGACGTATGTTGTGAAAAAGAACTGGATTGGTGACTAGTAAAAGTCTCCCACAGGAAAGACTGCAAATTGTGGCAGTTGCTGCCAAGATGTAAAGTCTGATTGAAAGGACAGTAGTTGTTAAGATGGGATATCTCATAACAATCTCACTGAGGTTGATACTCCAGAAGCAGGCTACAAATGACATGAGAAGGCTTCTGATGGTTAGAGCTGCTAGCAACAGGATCAGCAGAGCCAAGATTCTGTTCAGAATATTTTTCTGTGCTGGGGGTCTAGAGTTTAAGTACCTAAATAGAATAACAGAAGCTGACATCGTTACTATGAACCCCAGACAGTTGATGATGAAGGTGTAGATGTTTGGCATGTCAGGGACTAGCATTATAATTCCAGTATAAACAAGCAAACACACAACTTTAATCAAAGTGTGTTTGGACATGGGCATATCCATAATGCCCCCCACCTCTGGATAAACCAGACTGAGCAGAGGGAGGCCCAAGGGTAATTTAAAGAGAGTAAATTCAAGTTTGCTCTCTCTAATTGCTCTCTGAACTGATGGTTCTTTAGAAGTTTCAAGTAAAATAAATTCCCAGAAATTCAGGGATCATATACTGAGTTTATCATTAATAAATTATATTGTCAAGTAAAATGTAAAATTGGTTCTATTTCCTGTTTTTACTTTAGAATATTTTTGCTTCTTCCAAAGATATTATCCCCTTAATCTATAAGGATGTTTCTTTTCAAATTTAACTTAAAATATCCTAAAGTATTATTGACCTCGACATAATCTTGCTATAGCTGGTTACAAGTGGAACGAGGACAGTCTCAAATCTCTCTCTCACAGAATAATCACATTCTGAACTCCCTCACCCCCAGTGGCGTACTCAGGGGGGGGGACAGTAGTCCTCTTGCCCCCCCTGGAAAATACAAAATTAAAAGGAAACTATGTTTAAAAAGTAACACCTGACAATGACAAAGACTAAGGATTTGTCTAAATTCGCTGTTAATACAAAATTTTAAGATACTTTAAACTAAATTAGGTAAGTGTATGTAGTCTTACTTAGGTCGTCTTTTACCAAGATCGCCCTACGAAGCACATTATACGGAGTACACTGTACTTTGTCAGTCACAGAGGAGGTAGAACTTTAGAAGGCGCGAAGTTTATAAGGGATACATTTATAATGTTAAAATGTTAAAGATAGTTTTTCGAGCAAAGGAATAATTTTTAGACTCTATAAGGTTAGTAACACCCAAAAATGTTGTTTTTTGGGTGTATTTTTATGGGTTTAATGGACTTTTAGAACAAAACAATTCCAGGGGGAGGCAAAAAAAGCCTAGGGAGGGCAAAAAAAAGTTCTTGCTCCGTGTTAAATCTTGCCTCCCCTGGGTAAAATCCTGTGTACGCGCCTGCTCAGTGCTCATCCCTGAGTTCTTCATGCGAAAGATGTGAAACCCCTGAAGACTGGAGGGGAACAAGCCAGGGAATAGGAATAAAGAACAAGCTCTTACTGCAACAGCAAAACTAGTTTTGTTTTGTAAACTTTACCTTAAAATCTGTACTGTGTTCGCAATTTTTCTTGTCAGTTAAACTAGATATTTTGATAAGAAAGTATTATGGTTATAATCCTATGATATAGACTAAGGTATAGACTATAGTATATACTGTTTATCTAATTATGCAAAGCTGAGTTTAAGTCCTTGTATTCTTGTATTTGACCTATAATATTGATTTGTTATCTAAAAAGTTTTGTATATCTGAGTTATTAAAGATTTAAAGTATTGGAAATATGTTGTTCTTTTTGTTCATTGATCTTGTAAATATAAATTGCTTTATGTCATGAGCATTTTGATGCCTTTTTAATCTTATATTAACGATTTTGTATAATTTTTATATTATTTTTTGTATGTTTTGAACTATCAAAGATTTTAATTCGAGATTTTCTGTTGTTCATATATTCTTTTTTTCTATTACTTATGCTTACTGTCTTTTAAAAATAAGTAAAATAAAGGCAATCTATTTAGATTGAACCCGTTTCTGGAACAGTTCTTGGATTGTTTTATTCTGTGAGAGATTCGAGACTCTGTCCTGGTTCCAATCGTAACCATATAACGGAATTATGAAACCTTGCTTCCTAATCATTTCATATTTTTCATATTTTATTCAACTACAAAGCACGAGATAATACAAATAAAAAAATCACAATTTACTATGTAGTTTGTTTTGAATTTGATTATTTCTCTTGTCGCTTGCGCAACTATCTAAGAATGCCGCGCACCACTCACATTTTTCGAAATCCGTTAAAACGTTTTCTAAACAAATAAAATATTATAAAATATAAACTATATAAAAATGTGGGGAAAGATAATCGATGACTATAAGTTGTAATATCTGAATGATTTGTTTGAAATTAAATTGATTTTTTACGGTCTAAGTAGTAAGTTGCGATTTTCTGAATTTGTATGGACGCTAAGCTATTCGGTGCGAGACGTCTTTAACAATTTTCTCCTTATAGACGCAACAGATAGTAGCGATCAAAAGTGCTTTTTTATCGCATTAAGCCTATACCCCCTTTCATTTTTCGCGAACACTCCTTTTTATAAGTAGACAAATAAAAAATTCTTCATAAAATGTAGATTATAAAAAAACATTGCGGTTTGTTCTTTCTAAATTGAGATATTTAAAGAAAACAAAACTCTGTTATAACCTTATGCTTTAAAATTATTGGGACTTTTTTTACAAGCACTAAAGATTTGAAATACTTATCGATCGAACGATAATTACATTTCTTTAATTTGAGTGTTGCGAAAATTGCCTTTTATTTTTGTTTAATGAATTATATTGCAGGCGAACTAACTTAATATAAATACTTTGCATATTTCGTCTGCAGGTAGGTTTAAGTTGTGAGATGCTTAAACCAATCAGAGCCCCCAGACACAGAAAACCTAACCAATCATAGACGTAAATTTTTACAAATGGGGGGGGGGAGAACAAAATCCACGAAGTTTTAGTCTTCCCAGTCTATCATAACTTTGATTGTAAAAAATGAAAATATTATAAAAATGTTCAGGATAATATAGATGGACTACCGTTCTTAAATAATCGAATTAGGTCCTGTTTTCAGTAGAAATTGACGGAAGACTGTTTGGGGGAGGTTCGGAAGTCCTGGGGACGCACACTGCCGCAAATAGGTAAAATGAGATTCGGAAGCTATTCGGGGGATGTTGCCTTCCCTCCCTCCGATCACCTTCAATAAATCACCTAAATCCCTTTTCATTTTTCGCGAAAACTCCCTTTAATGGAAAATATTTTAGAAATAGTTAACGAGCCTTTAAAGATTATTTCATGTAAACAGTTGAAAAAGCTGGAACATTCGAAGACAACATTAAAAAATATCAAAACACCTAAAAAAAGATCTAAATACATCAAAGTATTTTTTTAACAAATAAGCGGGGAAAACAGAAGAAAAAACACCAAATAACATTTTTTTATTTTCTGCAAGTTTAGTGCAATTTTAAGCAGGAAAAAGAACGAAAGTCACATTAGTTTTGTTCAACCATTATTAATGTGTTTTTCTAAACTGGCTCTTTTCGTTAGTTAACGATTTAAAACTTCACGGCCAGCTTGCCTTTTGTTAAGACTTTTCCGTTAATTTTCAAAACTTCCGTTTTGTTAACGGAACTTTGCCCTGTCCTAATTATAATTAGGACTGGGCACGTTCTTGATTTTTAAAAGCTGTTTCTTAGCAAATTCTTTAGTAATGACCTTGAACATCATGGCTCATTACGCGTTCATGATTTTTAATATTGTTCCATTTTAAACATTTAAATTAGTTTTTGGAATTAACAATTGTTTCAGGTTCTTACCAGTCATTCATCGTCAACAGAAGTTAAAAATAGTTAATCATTAAAAATTTTCAAGTTTAGTAGGGTGAATGTTTTAGATGTAAAGAGGAGTGGCGTTTCTTGATAATAATATAATTATTTTAAAAATGTATGTTTTTTTTCCACAGAGGTAATAAGCCTGCATTCAGAGCACGATTTATCCGATAAAATTTTTTACCACGAAAATCTTTATATCCTATACCTTACCTAGAGACATTGTGATATTAATTTCAATATGATTGCATGATAATTAGGTCTCAGAGAGAAAAAAGTGTATGTGCAGTGTTTAGTTTTTTTCAACATCCCTTAACTTAAATATGTTCCTGATTTTTTACTTGTATATTAATAGTAAATCACAAATTTTCGGGCGGACTTGCAAAATTTTGCACAAAAATTTTATTCCGGTGAAACAACATACTCTCCCATCGTCGCTGTATTCAACCAAAAATCAGCTCTTAAACTGGGAACAATCCCTAAATTTGAACCAAGGCATCATATTGCCACAAATGAGAAGATAATTGTATTGATAGCAAACAATATGATGAATAGATACTTAAACAACTTCCCATTGTTATGCACCCTATTGAGATTATTATCCCCCCTCCCCTTTACACCCCTCCCTCGTTGCGCCCCAGGATATATGGTTCACACCCCATAATGATTTCCGACCCACGTGCCTTATCTATGTTTCTCTATTACTAGCGTTGAATAAAGCTAGCTGTATGTTTGATTGATATTTTTCTGTTTATCTGTCTGAATAAATGTTTGTTCGTCCTCATTGCGCATTGCGCATTATGTGCGTCTCCATTATTAATGTGTCTATTTTGCAACAGAATTGAAGTTATTGTTGCCTCCTGCATTCCCTGCATGCATGGCGTTTAACCAGCAGGTTACCACCAACTAAAAAGAGTTTTCAATATATTTTAAGTCCACTATTTAGCTGATTTTACAAATAACATTTTCAATTAATTGTGTCCTGCTCGTATCCTATCTCGACCTTACTTTTCACTGTTACCTCCAGACCATGATTTATGACCGACTCTGTATTCTTCTTTTATAATTCAAGAATTGATTCTCCACACACTCCTCAGAACTAAACAAAACACAAACATCTCCCCGGGAGGGGGAAGTTTAAAGGGAGAGGTAAGAGGAGAGAGGAAGGTTGATGAAGAGGGGTGAGGGGTTAGAGGAAGGTTGATGGAGAGGGGTAAGGGGAGGAAGGAAGGTTGATGGAGAGGGGTAAGAGGAGAGAGGAAGGTTGATGAAGAGGGGTAAGAGAAGAGAGGAAGGTTGATGGAGAAGGATAAGGAGAGGGAGGAAGGTTGTTGGGGAGGGGTGAGTAGTTAGAAGAAGGCTGATGGAGTGGAGTAAGGGGAGGAAGGTGAAAAGGTGGGAAGGGGTGGTCAACAGTATTGAGTTTACAGCATCAACCTTATATTTAAGTCAAATAAAGCTCGGTCGCTTAAGCAATTTTTTTTAGAGAAGGCAGTTTTTAAGTCGTTGTAATGTTGAGTTGAAGTTCAAAATCCAACAGAAATCTGGTTATTTCCATGAAAACCCCTAACATAGGTATTGTATAAACGAATTAGAGAACAACTTTATACTTGGGCACACTTGCGGCGCTCCACATATCTTCAGTGGCGGATATAAGGGGGGTTATTGGGGTTATTTACCCCCCCCTAGAATCCTGGGGGTAAATACCCCCCCCTAGAATCCCGGGGGTAAATATAGGGGGGAAGTTCCATGCTGAGGTTGAGAGGATGTAAATTGTAGAGTTTGTCACGGGAACTTGTTTATCCAAGAAAGTTCAAAAATATAATTTTAAAACAAAAAATCTGCCTTTGAAAACTCGACGCATTTTAGTTGATTTTTAACCAACTTTAAAACAACAGAAGAAAAAGGAAAGATGAAGATAAAAAATAAAAATTAATTTCATGTTTACGAGAATATTAATTTTCATTCATGGGTTCTTTGCAAAAGAGACTTGCGCATTTCTTGCCTATAAGTAAAAGTGGAAATATTATCAGAATTAAACACTTTTCGACTCAGAAAAACGACCGTATTTTTAACATTTTTTTCTCATTATATAAAAGTCATAAATTAGGAAGGCATACAAGCAGGAAGGAAGGAGGGAGGGATAGAAGACTGAGGAGGGGCTACGGGGGGTGTCATAGGCTAAAATAATTCAAAATTTTATATTTCAAATTTTTTTCAAATTATTTTTTTCACGGGCAACGCCCGAGGTACTAATGCAAGGAAAGTTATTTCAGAGGTGTACGCATTTTTTGTACTGCAGTGTACTGTCTTAGCGCGGAAAAGTAAACACAAGACGGATGTCAAAGCCTGCAATGGATTCAATTTCACAAAAATAATCAATGAAATATTCTGGTCATAGGAAACTATTATGTGAATTTTCAAAATTATCAAAATTAAATGCTTTTAACCTCCTCGGATATTAGAGTAACACTGATGCATCTATTCTTGTTTACAAATTGGTTTCAATGTGTACGCAGAGTATACGCGACAAAAATTAACTTTCCTTGCATTAGTACCTTAGCCTGGCCCTTCATCTAGTATATAAAAATTTGTTTTTTATTTGAATTTTCTAAACGTGTTTTCTTTAATTGCACGGGTAACGCCGGGCACTTCAGCTAAAACATATTTAAAGTAGTAATCTCTGTTTGTCTGTTTGGATGTCCGATCATAACTCATGAACCCACTGGCCGATTTGCCTCAAATTTTGATTGGGGAATCACGAGAGAAAGGTCCTGAAGGCCGGGTCTGAAAGAAAAGAACAGAAAACAGATGTTTGATCAGGTCCATATTCCAATATTTAGCTTCACACTAATTTAATATTTAATTTGTGTGTGCATGTATTCTTTACAATTCTTATTATTATGTGCCAACCTTTAAACCATTTACTCTACCCTGAACTAACGGAGGGATAGAGGTGTTCTGTTTCTTCAACTTGAATTCATTTGCGTTTTGATCTTTAATTCAACAATCTTTGAGTAAGGAGTATTGAATATAAGGGAGATAGAAACGATGCGGCCCGCCCTAATACCATATGATTATACATGCTTTGCAGACGGTACTTCATTTAAATAAGAAATATTTGTCTGATGTACAAATACCGCGTGCATGTATTCAGAATAGATTATTGAATACATTAAACAGGGAAAAAATTAGGCTGAATAACGCAATCAAATACATTTTATTGGGATGCAAAAATATTAGCAATACAAGCATATTTTTTTATAATATAAAAATTGGTTTTATTTAATATGGCATAGTAAAAAACCACATCTAAAAAATTAAAAGACGACCTTTAAAGACTCTTCAAATAGAGTACCCTATCTGCAAAGCACGAATAATCATATGGTAGGGCGGGCCGCGTCGTTTTTATCTCACTTCTATTCCATACTCCTGCAGGGTATTGAGTTTTAGGCACAAACTAAATGAATTGAGCCTTTGCTAAAAAAAACTGATTTGTAATCCCTATATATTTGTAACTCGGTATTGTATACTTTAGATATTTCATACTATGAATTCTGTTAGCTCAAATAATTTATGTTTGAAATATCTAAGGTGTATACCATACCATGCAAAGATATAGGGATTAGAAACTTTGAGTTTGTGGCAAAAACTCGATTCCTTTACAGACTTGCATTATAAAGTCATTCAACGACAAAAAAGTATGAAAGAGAAACTGCGAAAAATTTATGTATGCTTGGTCTAATTGGGATCTATTACAGTAACAGCGCGCTTGCTGGGATAAGGACCGAACTTTTAAATCTATGTCCCTCTACGCGGCAGCAGCGTAAATTTGTAAAATGGATGCTGATCAGGGGCGGAAACGTCATGTGTGTGTGTCTGTACCAAAAAAAAGATAAGAATTTAGCATGAGACATCTAGCGGCCAACATATCGTCCCCCAAAGTACGTGAACTACACGGCCACTTTCTATGGAGAAAACGGGCTCAGTACATAAGAATAAGTTAAAAATAAGTTTTATATACATGTAGTTTATTATTTACATATTTATAAGTCAACACTATAAACCAAATTTTCGTGCAAAGAATATAATTTGATTAAAGTTTACAATAAACAACTCATAATTCAAGCTTAATAATTATAATTGACCACATTGTTCTGCAATTTCCTTGGCTGTAGTCATGTTGTGTGTTAGTACCAAAAGAGTGTGCGTGTGTAATACCTAACTCGTCAGCAAAGCAGTGCGACTGGCTTTCTCATGCCAGACCAGCGCCATTGCCCATTTGCCATTCCCTTTATTCCTATTCACTGAAGCTGATATTACAGTACACTGTACAGTCTGTACGTACATATAAAATAATAACACACAATATATTTCGCCGATTTTCCTGTTTCCACCTAGAAAGTTTTAAGACTAAAAAAAATTTGGACGGTCATTTTTATCCCGAAGACCATTAACACAGCTTTGACCTTTTCACGTTTATTTGATATTAACAAGCCAGCAAACACATGCCAAATAAACTAAATACATTAAATTTAGACATTAAAAAAAGAGCATTTCATTATACAGTTTACAAATCTCTATATTATTTTGAATTTGAATTTTATAAATATTTTGAATCATCAAAGGTTTATTTAAATTGCATAATATTTGTATTTTGAAGTCAGTACGATGTTTAAAGTACGCTATAGCTATAAAATTGATTTTTAAATAGTTTCTGTCAAATTTCAGACAAAACATCTTTCGAATTTCAACCAATGAAATCGCCCCGTGACCTGTGCTGAGTCCTGATTGGCCAATTCTTTTGGTGCCTGCTTCTAATTGGCTGAGGGTAGCCGCCGGAGTTTGTAATTGGTCGGATAGAGTATTGGGTGCAGTGGACCATGTTTAGTCTAGGTTAAGCCGATGTGCATTAAAGTGTTAAACTCGCAGAGTCAGCTGTATGCAGTTAATCAACATCATAGAGATTCATTTTACTCAGGTCATAATTAAATAGGCCATTTAATCATATTTTTTAATTTAATAGGTTCAAAATACAAATCATATTAAAAAAGGAATTGTAATCTAAGAAACTGGGCGGAGAAAACAAATCTAGAAAAGTTAAGAAAAAAAGAGTTAAAATTTAGAAAATGGTAAAAAGCACAGATTGTGAGATAGAATAATGAAAAAATGAAGAAAAAAAAAGATTAACTGAAAAAGTGGAAAGATATTGTGAAATTGCGGAAAAATAATGTGGAAACGAATAAAAATAAAGTTAGAAGTGGAAAGATATAATGAAAAAGTGGAAATGTAAAAAAGAAAAGATAAAATGAAAAAGTGAAAGGAAAGATATGGTGAATAGGAGGAAAGATTAAATGAAAAAGTGAAAGGAAAGACATTGTGAAAAAGATGAAAGATATGGTGAATAGGAGGAAATATATGGTGAAAAGAGGAAAGATATGGTTAAATAGAGAAAAGATATGGTAAATAGGAGGAAAGATATGGTGAATAGGAGGAAAGATATGGTGAATAGGAGGAAAGATATGGTAAATAGGAGAAAAGATATGGTGAATAGGAGGAAATATATGGTGAATAGGAGGAAAGATATGGCGAATAAGAGGTAAGATATGGTGAATAGGAGGAAATATATGGTGAATAGGAGGAAAGAAACGGTGAATAGGAGGAAAGATATGGTGAATAGGAGGAAAGATATGGTGAATAGGAGGAAAGATATGGTGAATAGGAGGAAAGATATAATGAAATGAGGAAAAGATATGGTGAACAGGAGAAAATATAATGTGAACAGGAGGAAAGATATGCTAAAATAGAGGAAAGATATGGTGAATAGAAGAAAAGACGTGGTGAATAGGAGGAAAGATACGGTGAATAGGAGGAAAACTATAGCGCATAGGAAGAAAGATATGGTGAATAGGAGGAAATATATGGTGAATAGGAGGAAAGACATGGTAAATAGGAGGAAAGATATGGTGAATAGGAGGGAAGATATGGTAAATAGGAGGAAATATATGGTGAATAGGAGGACAGATATGGTGAATAGGAGGAAAGATTTGGTGAATAGGAGGAAAGATATGGTAAATAGGAGGAAAATTATGGTGAATAGGAGGAAAGATATGGTGAATAGGAGGAAAGATATGGTGAATAGGAGGAAAGATATGGTAAATAGGAGGAAATATATAGTGAATAGGAGAAAAGATATGGTGAATAGGAGGAAAGATACGGTGAGTAGGAGGAAAGATATGGTGAATAGGAGAAAAATATATGGTGAATAGGAGGAAAGATATGGCGAATAGGAGGAAAGATATTGTGAATAGGAGGAAAGATATTGTGAATAGGAGGAAAGATATGGTGAATAGGAGGAAAGATATGGTGAATAGGAGGAAAGATATGGTGAATAGGAGAAAAATATATGGTGAATAGGAGGAAAGATATGGTGAATAGGAGAAAAGATATGGTGAATAGGAGGAAAGATATGGTGAATAGGAGGAAAGATATGGTGAATAGGAGGAAAGATAAGGAGGAAAGATATGGTGAATAGGAGGAAATGATATGGTGAATAGGAGGAAAGATATGGTGAATAGGAGGAAATATATGGTGAATAGGAGGAAAGATATGGTGAAAAATAGGAACGATTGAGTAATAAAGAGGAGAGAATAAGCTTAATTTTGCCTACAGATTTTATTCAAACAATTGAAAATTTACTCGATAATATTTCAAAGTGTTAATATTGTTTATTGATTCAAGACGAGCAAATAACTGGATTCAAAACCAATAAGGAAGCAAGAAAAAATTCTTGTTGTCTTTGGTTTTTAATCTTTATATTATTTAAAAGTATTAAGAATATTATTGTAATTTGTTTATAACTGTTATGTTTTGGAAAATGATTTACACACATTTTAGAAATAATAGGCTACAAATAGGGTTGTTAATCGTTTTTGTAAACGTTCGTTAAACGATCGTTTTTTGTTTCGTTTTCAAAAACGATCGTTTCGTTTTCGGCAAAAAAACGATTGTTTTGAAAAACGACCCACTCGTTTTGAACTTTTAGAAAACGAATAGCGATAGTTTTTAAAACAGTCGTTTTTATAAAAACGATTTTTGACCGTTTAAAAAAACGATCGTTTTTGAGAAAACGATCGTTAACGAAGGGTTGTCGTTAACGATCGGTAACGAAACGACGAACTTTATCAAAACGGTCATTTTTGAAAAAAAAATACATACAACTTCATTGAATGTCGTCTTACATGAAGTTTAACAGTTGTGGGGGAGTTAAAACTCCTTGATATTTTCTTAAAAACAACTCAATAATAAGCACAGATGCACTTTAGGTCGGTTTCCTCTCTTCGTTAACGATCGTTAACGAAACGACGAATTTTATAAAAACGATCGTTTTGAAAAACGATCGTTTTAAAAACGACTATTTTTAAAAAACGAACTTTTTAAAAAAACGATCGTTTCGTTTTTGATTTGTTGTCGTCGTTTTCATAACGAAACGATCGTTTTTCTGAAAATCCTTAGCTACAAATTACAAAATTCTGAGCTAAATTTTACATGGAAAAAAAGAAAGAAGAGCACTTTCAGTCAAATGTATTTTTATTGAATTGATGTGGATATATAAAAATATCAAATATCCATCATGAAACTAAAGACAACCTTTATAATAAAAAGTAAGAATAGTGCAAAATAAGATAAATAATGACAGGAAGAAAAATCTATTTAGTTTTTAAAAAAATAATTATAATTATACTATAGATACAGGTTGAGTAAAAAAACAGGACTAGCGTTTTTTAGCAATCACTAAAACTTTTTTGCCGGGATCAAGGTTTGGATGGAAAAATATTAAAATAAAGTAAACAAAATACAAAAATATTTTTAGTTATGGATGAAAAAAATCCGCGAAATTATTAGTAAATCTGTTGATAAAAAAGGTATTCAAAAAAATCCGCAAAACAAATAAGTACAATTCTGCTCTAAATAAGTTTTACAAAGATGAAAATAAAACTTTAATTTCAAATAATTTTTTTATTTAACATTTAATTCATAAAGGGAGTATTTGTAAACAGTAAATATGTTTTTTATGTTTTCTTTTGAAATGTTTGGAGCCCATTTTTACTAACGATATTTCAAGAAATTTTTGTCAAATTTCTTTTATTTTGTAGATATATATAAAAAATTTGGAACTTGCGTTGCATGCATTCTACAATATTTTCTAATTAATTTCTATAAAAAAACTAAAAAAACTTAAAGATTGTTTTGAGATTATTTTTTCTGTTTACCAAAAAATTAATTGAGCATTTTAATAATTGAAAATAAATGTTTTTTGCCTAAATCCAATCTTTTTTGCTGAGACCAAGGTTTAGATAGTAAATGAGATATGTTCAATGTATGTTCTGTTTGTCCCCTTGTTATCACGTGGACACGAACAAATTATCATTTTTAGATTAAAATTATCTAACAAATTGTCAGCCCCCTCTACTACAAAATTTAAAATTAGACCCTATTTATAAGGTATCTCATATTTTTTTATTTTCTCTAGAAACCGAACACACGTATACACTTTTTGTAGCATTTTAAGGATTTCTTTTTGGTTCATTAAAAATCAATATTCAAGAATATAAAAGGAATAAAATTGTTTAATTGAATTACAGCTTTAATCGTAATATGAAGTTAAAATAAGTAATCAGCGATGAGAAATATGTTCACTGCAGGAGGATAAATCGAAATAAATCAATAATTGGACACAGAAGGATAGCATATAGAAACTTAGACAGATAGAACCATATCAGATAGATATTTGAACAGATAGAGATAGAAGTATACATAGATATTTGAACAGATAGAGATAGAAGTATACATAGATATTTGAACAGATAGAGATAGAAGTATACATAGATATTTGGACAGATAGAGATAGAAGTATACATAGATATTTGGACAGATAGAGATAGAAGTATACATAGATATTTGAACGTATATAGTTAATAGTTAGTTAGACAGATAAACAGAGTTAAAGATCAGCTCTGAAAGTTAGTTAGACAGATAAACAGAGTTAAAGATCAGCTCTGAAAGTATGAACAACAAGAGAACACGACAACTAGACGATAGATGTCTGTTTGTATAGATGTCTGTATATCTGTCTGTTATGTCTGAATGTCTAGTTGTCGTGTTCTCTTGTTGTTCAAACTTTCAGAGCTGATCTTTAACTCTGTTTATCTGTCTAACTAACTATTAACTATATACGTTCAAATATCTATGCATCTTTCTATCTCTATCTGTTCAAATATCTAACTGATATCATTCTATCTGTCCAAGTTTCTGAGAACTTGACAGCTAGACAACTAGACATCCAGGCTATGCCAGGTAGACAACTAGACAGCTACCTATATATAATAATATGTAAAATTGCAAAGTTTGCTTTCTTGAGATTAGATAAATCCACGGTATATCACGTTTAAGAACAGAGAGAACATCACGCACACAAACACCCACTCAGACACGCACATCACGCATATCAGGAACATCACGAACATCACGTACATCACGTACAGCACGCGTTAACAGGTTTCACCTCCCTTAGTTGAAGAGCATACATGAAACTGTAAACAGTGTACAATATAAATCATATAACTGTGCTACTCTAGAACTGTACAACTATATACTACTGTACAATTTTACAATGGTTCAACTGTACAATAGTGCAACTGTACATCTTTGAAAATAGTACAACGATACTTTTTTGCAATAGTACAACTGTACGACTGTGCAATAGTACAGCTGTACGACTTGCTTTTTTGTTTAGAGCTTACAGCAGATTATTGAAAATATGAATTATATTTTATTTCACACCATTTACAATTTTGTATATTTTTCTGTAGAACATATTGTCGTTTTCTGCTTTGAAAAGTGTTCAATTCTAACAATTTTTCTTAATTGTTTCTAAAGCAGAATTACGCAAGTCGTTTTATGGAGGAACCACAATTGAAAATGATAATTTTTTAATGATAATAAGATGAATATCACGTGTATGCAGTCTTGAACAGACAAAGCTTTTGAGGGTACCATCATACCATGCCACTTAAAAAAAAAAATGAAGAGAAACTTGAAGATTACGTGTGCAGTCCTTTCAGATGTAATAATTTCATTTCGAGATTTCATTCATAACAAAGTGATTTATTTTTGAGGGTATGTGTTCCATTGCAACCGCGTAGGGACTACAGCGCTGGGATTCAGCTGTTCTACGCAGTTGTTTGGCGCACCTGCCCTTGCTCTAATAAAAACTATAATTTTGCCCAACATTTTGTAGCGCAAACATTTTGAACGTTTTAAAACTAAAATTAAATTATTTTAATTTATTTCTCATAAAGCTTCTTTTGTTGTATAAATTATCAAAAATATATATGTTGAAATGTATAAATAAAATATATATATATACATGAATATATATATGTGTAGATAAAAATGAATGATTTTCTAAAACCAATATTGTCTGAACTTCGGTAAGTTTAAAAACAAGTGAAGACCTAATAATGTAAAAAATATGGTTCTTATTTGTATAGAGAAAATAATATTTGAATATTTAGAGCAATATAATATTTAAATTTCTTTTTTAAAAAAGAATGTTCGAAAAAGTGCAGTATAAGAGCGTTTTAACTGTCTAAAAAAAACCTGCAAAAATCTCCTTGTCTTAATTCTGATATTATGTCATTCCATGCATGTTATATAGATTAGGGGGGGGGGTCACTAAAACATTTAAATTTTCGTCACATCGCGTAAAACGTCACTGTTTGGTCAGCTATAAATAACAGCTATATAGATAACAGCTATATAGAAAACAGATATATATAGATAACAGCTATATAGATAACAGACTTTTCACAAAACCGACTTTATATGATAGCAGCTAATTCGCCACTCGGCCTTTAATTATAGAGTTCTTTTTCCGGTAATGATTTAAGCTTCTTCATTTAATAAGTTAAGCTTCTTCATGTAATAATTGTAGCTTTTCATGTAATAATTATAGCTTTTCATGTAATAATTTTAGCTTCTTCATGTAATAATTTTAGCTTGTAATAATTTTAGCTTCTTCATGTAATAATTTTAGCTTCTTCATGTAATAATTTTAGCTTTTCATGTGATAATTTTAGCTTCTTCATGTAATAATTTTAGCTTCTTCATGTAATAATTTTAGCTTCTTCATGTAATAATTTTAGCTTATTCATGTAATAAGTTAAGCTTCTTCATGTAATAATTTTAGCTTATTCATGTAATAATTTTAGCTTATTCATGTAATAATTTTAGCTTATTCATGTTATAATTTAAGCTTCTTCATGTAATAATTTTAGCTTATTCATGTAATAAGTTAAGCTTCTTCATGTAATAATTTTAGCTTTTTCATGTTCAATTTTTATTGCCTACAAACAAATTACCAGGTAGTCCGACAAATAAGATATATAAAGGGCGCTAATAAATAACAACAAAAATGTGTATTTTCATATTTGGAGCTATAATGATAAATACAAGGATCAAAACTGTACCAATCTAAAGGTTTATATTTGACTTGGATATTTTATTTCACTTGTTAGTCTCCTTTATCGATATTTCTCCCATTCTTATCTAAAAAAAACTAAAGTTTACGTGGGGTAAAATTCCTCTTTATAACATTTTTCAAACTTGCTAATATCTTCTCTATAGGAAACCATGCCATTCAGAATACCTGCAGCCATTCAGAGTTTCGTGTAGGCCAAAACGGCCATGTTTTTCTGCTTGATTATTTAATAAACCATTAAAATAGTTATGCAGAAACCAAAAATCAAAATTCAAATCGTCATATTTTAGAGTTTTGGGTCGTCTTTTTCAGTCTTATCCTTTGTGAGTAACCCTGTATTTGGGTGAAGGGTGCTAGACTAGGAATGATACCAGAAAATAGCCAGTCTTTTAATATCACTGGTATAAGTACTTATTTGGTTGCAAGCCTTGATTTGTCTTTTCTATATGGGTTGAGATGTTTTTGTCATTATTTTTTCCATTAAGATAGTCTTAAAGGATCCTGGTTTAAAGACTTTTTTGGTTTTTGACGATCTTCCTACTGATTTTGTTAATCATTTGTGATTTTACCATCTTTTTTTTAATTTTCAGGTTTGTGTTGGAAAGGTTGGTCTTCACCATGAAGGACAAGAGTAAGAACGCCGCCAGAAATAGAAGGGAAAAAGAAAATGGTAAAATATATTTAGTAAAGATTTTATCATTTAATAAAATACCATTAAGCGCTATATGTATTGTAAAGTATACTTTATAGGCTTTAAGATAAAATAATCATAATACAATAATAAAATAAACATAATACAATAATAAAAATAATAATAATAAAAATTTAATAATAATAATAATAATAATAAAAATAACATTTACAAAACCAATTATTCAAAACAATTTAGGAGAATTTTTTGAACTTGGTCGAATGCTCCCGCTTCCTGGTGCTATAACCTCTCAACTAGACAAGGTTACAGCTTTTTAATTAAAGGGACTGTACGCGTAATTTTAAGCGAACCTTAACCGATTTAAAGCCGTACCCTCTCACCCCGGACTAACCAGAGGCATTCGGTTTCTTCTATTTGAAATCATACGCGTTTTGGTCTATATTTTAGCAATCTTTAAACTTACGGATTTGTTTGTTTTATACTATTTATTCAAAACGCATATGCCAGCAAAAAAGTATTTAAGAAAAAAGGCTGAAAAATTATGTTTAATAGGAGAAATCGTGATCGAAAGTTACAGCTTTCTTGAATATTGACAGAACCGTTAAATCCACGTGCTCTAAACCCTTAACTGATTATCTACGACAGATATTATCCGGCGTCCTCGTGTTGATTTCTAAAATGTTGTTTAAATTACCGAATACCTTGAGTGCACAGTGTGTGAACTCATCGTATTTTCTGTTTTTAAATATTCGAATGAAATTTTTTTCTGTGACTTCTGAAAAGTAAATATTTCTATTTCTTACATACAAAACTCAGCTCGCAAACTAAATTATTAAGAGGGGCAAGCGTAGAAATAAATAAGGATAAGTTCGTCTTCTTTGATCAGTCAATTAAGGTTTAAGGCTGTGCCGCCGCACTCTAGTGTGAATCGGACTCTCCACTTTACAAGTGGAGGGTCACATATTAATTACATCTAGGTACAGCCTCTTTAAATTTAACAATTTATTAATTGGTCTCTGCACATTGAATTGTTTGGGCTAATTCGATAGCGTTTAATATTCAAATTTTAAACACGTTTGAAATTTATTAAGTCTGTTAATTTCTTCTAGCTTAAACACATATTTTCTTCTATTTAATCATTCCGATACGGTTTACGTTTTGCTTATGCTGCAAATTTAACAACTTTTGTTAAATTTTTTTTCTGATTAATTTCATTTTTTTTTCAGGCGTCTGTTATCAGATTGACAACATCATACTTGAGGATGCGTCAGGTTTTCCCAGAAGGTGAAAGTTTAATTTTAACTAAAACCGTTTTTTCTTCTATTTTTTAAAGCGACATTTTTAGAAGAAAAAAGACTAAATTTGCCATAGAGTGGTTTATGTTATGGATCATGATTCAAAATGAAGTCTAAAAATAATTCTGTATCTTGTAACTGTAGTAAATGCCCTACTCCAAGAAATACTTTTAGATCAGTACCAATCCAGGTACAGCTCAACCTTGAACTCCAAGTTTTTCAATAATGACTTGGTCAGTATCAATGCGGATACGACTCTATCTATATTATTAAATATCTGTCTTACAAGATACAACTCGATCTAGAACTCAAGGTTCCTCACTCCTCAGTAATACCATCGTTCATATCAATCCGGATACGACTAAGTCTGTATTCTCAGGTATCTTCTCAAAAGATACATCTCAATCACTCTCGTTAATACGCGAGGTATAAGAACTATTCAGTTTAATATTCAATCCCTCTCATAAATATATTTTCTTATTTTATAAAATGTATGTTTAATGTTTAGGTTTGGGGGATGGTTGGGGAATGAAGCCTTCCCTTGGACGACATGATATTATAAAGGTTAGGAAACATTTTTTAGTCATGATTAAAAATATGTGAACAATTAGTAACATTTTAGGAGCTAGGATCTCATCTGCTGCAAACGTTGGACGGTTTTATATTTGTTCTAAGCTCTGACGGGAAAATTATGTATATCAGTGAAACCGCTAGCGTACATCTTGGCCTCAGTCAGGTAAACAATGAGATACATAAAACTGTGGAATAGGAAGACGACATTTGAGCAATTTTAAGCTTATTTGATGTAGTTTTACCAGAAGCTATTAGGTGGGTCTGCGTACACTACACAATTACGCGCTATTTTCCATGTTCTTTAGCCGGTTAAAAATCATAATTTGAATCTAACAGTCGTCTTGCTTTTCCACAGTACAACTTACACACGGTACATTCCAGTTCATTTCTTGTACCGGGCCGAATTTCGACTAGCCTGGGCAAGCAGTACAGTGCAAATACAGATTATATGAGGCAAAACAGGACTGTACGCCATCTGAATGATTCTTGTGAAATTTATGTGTTACAAGTTACAAACACATTAAAACAAAAAGCAGATTCTTATTGCTTAAGCCGTTACAAAAATGTTTTTATAGGTTAACTGTTAAATTTTTTTATCAAATGGGCTCAAAACCTAAAATAACTTCTTTGTTAAGAAAAGATATAATTTTCCAGAAATGGTGTAAAAAGTATTTTCTTCTGAAACATACCAATTTTAATTGTTGTCAGAAAATGATGATAAGATTTTTAAAATCAAATATTAAATTATTTTTTTCGTGGTCAAAGGTAAGTTCTAAAAAAAACTGATAAGGTTTTTAATAAGAAATTGGTCATTGTAAATGGGGAGGGGGGAGGGCATCAAGAGTGAGACAAGCGAAGCATTAAAAATTCATATTTTAAATATCAGCGGTCTACGACATTGCAAAGAAATGAAAAATATTAGATAATTAGAGTTTGATACAAGTAATCAGTTTTTTTCCTGTTTAGGTTGAATTGACCGGAAACTCCATATTTGAATACATTCATCCTTTAGACCACGAGGAGATGAATAGTTTACTAACAATACAACCAGTACAGTACACCCAGGTACAGTACAGTACACCCGGATATAGTACGGTACACCCAGGTTCAGTACAGTGTACACGTACAGTACAGTACACCTTGGCACAGCTTATTACAAACAGGTACAGTACAAGACACCCAGGTACAGTACAGTACACCCGGGTATAGTACGGTACACCCAGGTACAGTACAGTGTACATGTACAGTACAGTACACCTTGGTACAGCTTATTACACACAGGTACAGTACAGGACACCCAGGTACAGTACAGTAGACTCAGGTACAGCGACTTTAATTTGGCTTTATTCTGTTCATCACTGTATTTCTTTTCATAACACAAGGCTTCTAGCGTTATATATAACAGACGAAAGAATAATTTGTAATTGTTGAAAATGTTTCAGGATGTTGAACTTGAGAGATCATTTGTGATTAGGATGAAATGTGTGCTTGCTAAACGAAATGCAGGTAATTAAAGAGAAAGGTTCAACAATATCTTTGAGTTCGGAAATGAAAGTTTTTCTTTTTCAAATTTTGATTTCAACAACGATAAAATTTGACGTTTTTTTTGGCGATTGGACTTTGAGTTTTCCCCTTTCTTTGCCATTTCGTCTTACCACACTGAAGCAGAAACTTTTATAAAAAACAATTTTAAGATTATTATCATTCAGGTCTCACCAACGGCGGATACAAAGTTATTCATTGTTCAGGATATTTAAAGGTAATAAATATAGAAAAAATTTAGTTCTTTGCCACAAACTCAAACCTGCTGATCCCTTTATATTTGCAACCTGATGGTGAAACCTATTTCAAACCTAAATTATTTGATCTAATAGAATTTATAGTTTGGAATATCGCAGGTCGACAATATAAGAATCAGAAAATCAGAGTTTGTGGCAAAGACATAATTCCTTAACCTTACTTCTACTCCCATTGATACCTCAACCTGACTCCTCATCACATTGATACTTCCACTTTCTTACTCCTCATCACAATGATACTTCCAGTTTCCACCTTACTTCTCCTCCCATCATTGATACCTCCACCTTACTTCTCCTCACATTGATACCTCAAACTTACTTCTCATCTCATTGATTCTTCCACCTTACTTCTCATCACATTGGTACCTCCACCTTACTTCTCCTCACATTGAAACCTCCCCCTTACTACTTCTCAAATTGATCTAGGTTAAGGGAGCTGTGGAGGGAAGGCAGTTTGAACCAGTTAATTCATCACAACCCAGCCTAGGCCTGGTTGCTGTAGGTAAGGGTTTACGTGCCAAATTTGAGATTAATCTCTAATATAAAACTAGGCCTTTATGACGCTTTGCACCTATATTCTATTTCATTAGTAAACATTTTCTCTTTGTATACAGTGATAACCAGAAAACTTTAGAATAGGAAGACGACATTAAAGCAATACTGCAGTGAATTTGATGTTTTTACAAAGCAAACATCTTTACTAGTAAGTTATTAAACCACTTGATTAGTAGACTGGGTCTGCTTTCACTGCACAATTGCTGTGTCTCATTTTATTGGCCAGTTAAAAGTCATAACTTGAGTTTTCAAATTCCAGAGTTTTCTGGTCATCTCTGTACATCGTAAAACAAAACAAAAAAATTTGCGGATTTACAAAAATATGAAAGTCGTTTATAAAGGTCGTCTTTTATGCATACCAGCTTTAAGTAATCTTTTTACAAAAAACAACTTAGGATCAATTGAATGAATTAATATTTCAAACTTGTCGATTAAACTACTCTTTAAACTATTGAGGGTCTACTCTGAAGAGAAATATTTTGATTTTTAGTTGGTTAATCCATGAAAAAGGTAAACAAACAATAAAAACAACAGGCGGAGATCAAAATGCGGAGCGTGGAGACAAAATGGCGGAGGGTCAGAGAAGTAGCGCACCCGCAAACTTTTTTGTTTTTGTTTTATACTGTACCTGTACAAAGAGAAGATGCTCACAGATAAAGCCAGAATTAAAAATTGTAATTGAAGATAGCCTAATATATATTTATATAAGCAAAGAAGTATCGTCGTGAGACATGAAACATTTGTTTATTTTACTTGAATACCTGGAATAAAATGTGAAGTTTAAAAACTATATTATATATATTTATATAGATGGCCAAATAGCTGATTCATTATAAATAAAGAATATGTTTCATGTTATAACTCGAGCGTCGTGAAGGAATTCCAAGTCTTGAATATTTATTTTAGCTCTTTTTCTTCAAGTCTTACAATACTTTATTTTTTTTGTTTGAAATTGATAATTTTCAACCTTTGTTTTTCTACAAAAGTGACTTGCAGTTTTATGCTCTGAAACAAGGAAGGAAAATAACTGAATTTATCCCTTTTTTTTTTACAAAAATGACAATTTCATTGTCATTGATACTCAGATAGAGGTTTATAGGGTACCGTTGTAAATCGGACATGTTTTTTTTAATGAAAGGATTCCTTGATTTTCTTTTACTTTTTCTAGAATTTGTTATCTCTTTCTCATCGTTTATTTCCTATTCTTCCAAACTTGTTTATTTACAATCTTGTTGCTTATTTAGGACACTCTCTACCAGCATCTAGTATAACGGAGATCAAGATGCACAGCAATGTTTTTATGTTCAGAGCTTCATTAGATCTTAAACTTATTTTTCTAGATCAAAGGTAAAAACAAATAAGATAGAAAAAAGTAAAAAAATAACGATTTTTTACATCAAAAATGAAGGGGAAATGATTTTTTTTTCCATGGGTAAGGTTCACACTTTGAAAATGTAAGCCTGAAAACGGGCAATTTAATTTTTTTCTTTCAATTTAAATTTTTTTTTATGTCTTCGAAACAAATCAAGTATAAAATATAAAATATGAAATATAAAATAATAGAAACACAAAATGTTTTGAGATAATTATTTTGGCTTAAACAGTATTTTTAAGATAATAAAATTTTAAACTAGACATGAATTAATATCTTCCTTGACAGCTGTGCTTGTGCACATCAATGATTATTTTTAATAAAAACTTGGCATCTTTTGTCCCATCGCGTCTGTGCAGAAAATACATCTAAATTCCAGTTTTTCTTTACAGTTTTAACTAAACTAAAGATTTTGTTTCTCACAAAAACAGTTTCCGGGGGCTTAGATGTATTTTTTTGTTTCAGAAATAGGTGAACACTCCCTTTAAAAGTTGAATATTGTCTAGAGTAGCTTGTTTGACTGGATATGAACCCCAGGATAGTTGAATATTGTCTAGAGTAGTATGTTTGACTGGATTGAACCCCAGGATAGTTGAATATTGTCTAGAGTAGTATGTTTGACTGGATATGAACCCCAGGATAGTTGAATATTGTCTAGAGTAGTATGTTTGACTTGATATGAACCCCAGGATAGTTGAATATTGTCTAGAGTAGCATGTCTGACTGGATATGAACCCCAGGATCTGATTGAGAAAACTCTGTATCAGTTTATCCATGCAGGGGATATGGTTCCAATGAGACTAACTCATCTAACATGTAAGTCTAACATTTTCTTCGAAATATCGAACAATTGAAATCACTTAGAAATTAAGAACATTTTGATAAAAATTTAGAACATATACAGGGTGTCCCACGGAACATGAATGTAGCAAGACGAATTGAATGTCGTCTTTAATCTTTAAAAAAATAAAGGGCGTTTATTCGCAAACCTAATAGTTTTAGCAATAACATTCTAAATTTAATTATCGCAAAAAGGCTTTTCCACTGCCTTTTTTGTGCTTTTAATATTACCGGAGATATGAAGAATTTCGTTCAGATATCAACAATTCATGGTTTATTTAACAAAATTGAAATTCGACCAAAATTCTTAATATCTCCAGTAGGCAGTATTATTGAACAATGGCAGACTATATTTTTGAAACTCCATGACTAGGAGTATTTTGTGGTCACTGTCATGTTTCGTGTGACACCCTGTATATTGTATGCATCCGTCGTACTAGTAGTAAAATGTACATCTGATCTTATTATTGTACAGTACTGCATAAAGGGCAGGCCCACACCCGGTATTACAGATGGATGACCCAGTCCGGAGGTTGGGTTTGGGTACAATCTTACGCTACTATTGTACACAATACAAGGTTAGTTTAGGGATACAGTAAGACACATTTAACAGTGGAATATGAAGGCAACATTTAGACAATCTTATTTGTTTTAAATGTACGTTAAATCAAATAGTTTTTCCAATATATGTTGAGAAAATCAACCTGTTAATAGTTTTTCCAATATATGTTGAGAAAATCAACCTGTTAATAGTTTTCCAATATAGGTTGAGAAAATTATAATATATAATGAAAAAACCAGTTTATTAATATGTAATATTCAATATGATAAACTACGTTTTATCAGGTCAATATATAATATATAATGAAAAAAACCAGTTTATTAATATGTAATATTCAATATGATAAACTACGTTTTATCGGGTCAATATATAATATATAATGAAAAAAACCAGTTTATTAATATGTAATATTCAATATGATAAACTACGTTTTATCAGGTCAATATATAATATATAATGAAAAAAAACCAGTTTATTAATATGTAATATTCAATATGATAAACATTTTTAACTTAATAATATAAAGGAATGAGCGTTAACAAAGTATTTATTATAATATTTCTAAATATTTCAGGGCGGGAGAATCCAGATCTAGTTCTCACTTCAGAACAATTAAACACATCACCAAAGGTTTCTATTTTACATAGTATTTTTTCTAAATGTACCTTTTAAAGGGGCTGTCGTGGGAATTTCAGCCCTCCATTTTAAGAAAGGTATGCTAAATACACAACAATACCCTTGAAACCTCAATCTGATTGTTTATATTTGGAAGGTTCCCTTTTTTCATCTTGAACCGGGGTTAATCCTTTTCTTAGCTTGAACCGGGGTTTCTCCTTTTTTCAGCTTGAACCGGGGTTTCTCCTTTTTCATCTTGAACCGGGGTTCTCCTTTTTTCAGCTTGAACCGGGGTTTCTCCTTTTTTCAGCTTGAACCGGGATTGATTTTGAACATTTTCTCCGATGTAATTGTTGTAGAAAACCAAAAATTAAACAAAAACAAAAACATTGATAACTAAGTTATAACTGATGAAACAAAGATTGTAAATGTAAGAGTACGTTGTGAATCGGTCATACCAGTCTATCAATGGAGGGTCTCTTAAAAAATGTTAACAGTCCCTTTAATTGAGGAAAATCTAAGGTAAAAACAAAAAATCCTCAGTCATTCTGAAAGATTGTACTTGTGGCCGGGCACCACAGAGTAGGTATTGATAGAGGTTCAGTGTACTCAGTACAACAGGCTAGCTGGGCGAAACGTTACAGTTAAAAAAAAATGTGGGTCATTTGTGTACGTAATCTTAAAAACAGGTTATTTTTCCAGTGCTTCCTCTGTTTTTTGTTTTATTTCTTGTTTACATTTTAAGGCGAAAATATCTATCTACAGAGCGTCCCATATCATATTAGATTATCTCCAATGTTTAACACCTAAATACGCACATAATACTCGAGAAATCTAGCATTTTCTGCAAAAAAAATTTCTATTAGCCTTATTAAATTTTTCAAAATGATTCATTCTTCTTAAATTTTCTGATTTGTCCCCCAAATCGTAATTCAGACCCATTGACGTGGTCTAATTTGATGTGGGACACCCTGTATCTCTCAGATTATTTAGTATTTAATAATTGAAAACAACCCCTGCAGTATGTGTACTGTATGAACCCCTCTTTCTCTTGAAATCGAGGTTTCGTGAGATGAGTTGGGTTAATGGTTATCTTTGTCTGTGCCGGGCGCATTAAACTTTTTCAATCTACTAAATTTACTAAATGGCATACAGGATTATAAACATAACTTTGCCTTTCCTTACACTCAAACTCATCAAAACTATTTTATATAAATCCCTATTTTATTTTATTTTCCCATTTTCAGGTGTATACCGAGGTAGATAGAAGTTGGGGAGATACAGGATACAGGGATACAGATGGAGGATACAGGGATACAGACCCAGGATACAGTTTTGAAGAACCACAGGATACAGTACACTCAGGTACCAAAATAACTCTGAGAAATAATATCGTCTGCACTCTGCATATACTTAAAAAAGGGGTAAATTTTGCTGTAAAAAAATATTTGAAAATTTTAACGCTAGAAGTTAAATAAATGATACTTCTAAATTATTTCTACAATTTTATCCGTCTGCCATCTTCGGATCATAACACAAAAATTTCTCAGAGGCCGAATTTAAAGAGGCCGAACTAAAAATTGTATTAAATTTTTCAAGATTAAAGCCGACACTCAATTGAAACCGGTTTTTGGGGATTTGAGATGCGGCTTAAATTCATTTAATTTGGACACCAGTTAAATTTTTTTCTCTCTCAATGGCTCTCTACTTACCGAGGACATTTATTCAGGGTTATGATTGAAAACATACGAGATTTCAATCTTACGCGCAATTTACAATTTAGTTCTATATTAATTCTAGTGTAGCACTGCTATTGGAAAACAGCGAAGCCTTTTTTATTCCATACTGCAGCAGCAGCGTTCACTAGTTTCTTTTTTCCCGCGTTTGCGGTCATTTTGGTCACTTCTTAGCTTCGACTTCTAGGGTTGTTAATCGTTTTTGTAAACGATCGTTTTTTGTTCCGTTTTCAATCGTTTTCAAAAACGATCGTTTCGTTTTCGGAAAAAACGATCGTTTTAAAAAATTTAAAAAAAAACACTCGTTTTGAACTTTTAGAAAAAGAATTGCGACGTTTTTGATAGTTAACAAAACGACGAGTTTTATGAAAACGATCGTTTTTCATTTTCGATTTTTCGTCGTCGTTTTCATAACGAAACGATCGTTTTTCAAAAAATGAAAACGTTAACATCCCTACTTCTATAGCTACTTTAGTAACTTAAACTTTTTAGAACCGCGAACACCTTTCTTGGAACGAAGCACTACCACGCCCCTGGGAGATTCTTTATCACCCTTCAGTGATCCTTCCTATGTGGTTGTACCCCCCCTCACGCTTCCACTCTCAACTCTACCCCTCCTTCCCTCTACATTACATCACGAAGGAAGCCCTGCACACTATCCCAGCACGAGGAAACCCTGGAGTTTGAAAATATTTTTTTTATTTTTTACAAAATATTTTTGATTTGAATTAATCTTAACATTTATCTTCATTAATTGATTGATCAACTAGAACCTAGCTTCGCCTGGATTTTTCACTCAAATTTCCCCAATCAAAGGGGTTTATAGGTTATAATCAAACATCCAAAGATTACCTCACAAAGAATAAGACTTCAAGGACGACCTGAAACTTTTTGGAAATGACAATACATTTAAAGGAACCATTTCCAGTTGCAGGGAAACAAGATTGTGAATAAAAAGTCTGAACAAGTCCGTACAGTCGTTTCTAAAGTCACATCTTTGTGGGTAACCCTGTATAACTGATAATTTTAGTTTTATGATGTACGCTAAGAAAAATTCTATCATATAGCTAAAATTATTTGTAGAAAAGCTTAAAAACTTTTAGAATATATTTCAGCTAATGATTTGTGAAGAAAATTAATTTTGACAAGATTTAGATTTTTACACATCCTTCTAATTTTCTTAATACCCTTCCATCCCATACTTGAGAAAAGTAGAAAACTCCAAGGTTACTACAGATCTGATCGAATGTACCCGGTTGAGTACTTTTACGATGCAAGAACAGAATCCGTAAACCGGTTTTGGAACGGTACAGAGACCGCCTACTCACAGTCCGAGTGGCCAGCCGATCATGAACGATATTTCGGCGATGCAGCTTACACGGCCGCCGAGCCATGTCAACCGGTGGAACGTTCAACTTCTAGGAAAGACGAGCTTAATCATTTAATTAGCTGATAAGATTTTAATAATGAGTTCAACCCAAATAGATTATCAAACTTGTTAATCTATTTGGTCAAAAAAGGGGGAAGGCGACCCGACCCGCACACGTTTTATTTCCGAACCGCAGATGACCCCTCTTCGAACCAGATTTTGTGTGACAAATACGACAACAAATATAATTCCTATCAAATCTTTTTTGTTCTTAATATTTTATATTCGCACTGAAAAAAAAATGGATCCGGATATAAACATTTTCGTTGAGATTGAAGAATTTTTAATTAAATTTTTTGCTTACTCTTATGCATGAAATTGACTATTCTGAAATAAAGAAATTTTTTATAATTTCTTCTAAGATTTTAAATTTTGAGAGAAAAGCTTTTTTTTTAACAGTTTTTGGTTGATATTTGGCGGATTGCCCCCTTTGGGTCCAAATCCTAAGGACTACTTAAAAGCTTTCAACATATTGATCAGGTTTATCAATTTAAAGTACATCATTCTGTTCAGGCATAGGTTACAGATGCAATCAGAAAAGGTAGATCCAAAAAGTTAAAGAAGAAATAATATTCAACATGCATATAGAAAAGATATCTGCAGCCAGCACAAAAAGTAAAAAAATTTAATTTAGCAAAAAAAATGTCAATGCAAAACTAAAAAAAAATATTTCTTCTTGAGAATTTTAAACTCGTTTTTATCAGAACATCACTGAAGAGTACTAGCTCCGGCGAATCCCTGGAATCAAACCGGAACCTGGAGCTTAACAGTAACTTTATAACCTCCGCTGATATTATCCGCCACTGCTCAGTTGTCCGCCTTGATGAGTCTTCAAGATCAAACTCACAAGAATCTACTTGCTTTCAACAATTTCTAGAATGAGCCTTTTAATTCTTAAAATTTTGTTATTTGTACCTAAAGTCGTTGTCGTATATATCAATACCAAGACGACTTTTGATTTCTAGCAAGCTTTCAAACCTCAAGGATACACACATAATACACATGAACACCGTAACACGGAAACAAAGAGAAGCTACCAAGTAATTTGAACAGTTTCTCTTTGTTTACCTGCAAACTTTTAATTTAAAAAATGCTTGTTAGAAATCAAAACTTCAACAGATCAGTCGTCTTCATTCTATTGATATAAACGCTGACCATTGTCATACAGGTTAAAACTTATTGTTGGGATCGACTGGACTCAATTCACAGCGTGATCTTTCAAATAGAAAGATTTAGGTTGAATTTATCCATTCTTTTCAGTTTCCAACTGTGAAATCTGTTAAATGAGAAAATTGGCTGAACTAGCTTAGAGCCTAAGTACAGGGTGTCCCACGAAACATGACGATAGCAAGACGGATTGGAGGTCGTCTTTGATCTTGGAAATAAGTTGCGTCATTATTTGTAAACCTAATGTTAGAAGTAAAATTCAAAAATGTGGTCTGCCTTTTTTGTGCTGCCAATAATATCATGGATATGAATAAATTCGTTCAGATTTGTACAACTAAAAAAATAGAAAGTTGAACTAAAAATTCTTTAGATTTCCGTTAATATTGACAATACAAAAAAACGGATCACATTTTGGAAATTCCAGGCCTAGAAGAATTTTGTTCCCAAGAATCATGCAGGTGAAAGTGGGTTGACGACTGAATCATTAAATGGGGATTTGACATTTTCTGTTGAGCATTGCGCAAAACAGAGAGAGGGGGATTGAATTTTGTAGGTCCAGAAAGATAATTAAATTAGTATTTATTTAGGGTTAGGTTAGGTTAAGACACTTTCTGGGCCGAACGCTGCGGCTAGGACAGGCCAGGGGGCCGAGCGCTGCGGCCACATGTCTTACATCTAAGACCCCACCAGCTGCCAGTTTCTGTGCAGGCACCCCACAGATATTATTTTTCTGGATCTACAAAATTCAATCCCCATCTCTGTTTGGGAATTTTACGGGGCATTGCGAACAACAGAAAATAACAAATGCCCATTTAATGTAAAAAATAAATTCAAAGTTCAAAGACGACTTTCAAGTAGTCTGCTACTGTCATGTTTCGCGGGATATCCTATAGTTCAGCTTCATGTCATTAAAAAGTTTTATTGCTTAAATATATCGACCAAATTTCAGTCAGATATAACACCTATATCATACAGTTTATAACAGTAGGATTGAGATGCAATAGCCCCTGAATATTGAATACAATGGTCCCAAGAATATAAGATGCTAAAGCCCCTGAATATTGAATACAATGGTCCCAAGAATATGAGATGCTAAAGCCCCTGAATATTGAATACAATGGTCCCAAGAATATGAGATGATAAAGCCCCTAAATATTGAATACAAGGATCCCAAGAATATAAGATGCTAAAGCCCATGAATATTGAATACATTGGTCCCAAGAATATAAGATGCTAAAGCCCATGAATATTGAATACATTGGTCCCAAGAATATAAGATGCTAAAGCCCCTGAATATTGAATACAATGGCCCCAAGAATATGAGATGCTAAAGCCCCTAAATATTGAATACAAGGATCCCAAGAATATAAGATGCTAAAGCCCCTGAATATTGAATACAATGGCCCCAAGAATATGAGATGCTAAAGCCCCTGAATATTGAATACAATGGTCCCAAGAATATAAGATGCTAAAGCCCCTGAATATTGAATACAATGGTCCCAAGAATAAGTTATAAAACAGAAGATACAAGGCTACACACAAAGGACGAGACTTCAGCGAAACTTGAAATAAATGGATTTTAGTGGTTTGTAATTAAAAAAATCCTTTGTGGTGAACTCGTTTCCACATACACTTATGCATTTGTAATAATAGAAGCAGACCACTGAACGTAGAACATGAATATTTTAATAGTAATTTTTCTCAACTTTATTTGCGCGACCACATTAGTTTTCAAGAAGTATTCAAGAAACAGCAAACGAACCTTCTTTTCTACTTTTTAAATTGTGATATTAAGTACGATATTTTTATATGTAAAATTTAATAAATATATTTAACAAAATGTTGAGTCTATTCTTCATAATATCGAAAAGCGTTAGATTTTGAGTTGAAAACATTATTGTCTATATTTGTAGCAACCCCTCCCCCCTCCCCCGAACAAATCAAGAGCAATGAACAGAAAAAAATACTAATTTGTCAAAAAGATTTTATTTTATATACTTGAATGTAGAAGAGACCGTGCCTCCAAAAAAAGTTTTCAGCATCATTCAAACTTTTGATGTTTATTAAAGAAAACAAGTCACAGTTTAAATATTGTTTATTGGGTTAAATATGATAATTTATTGTATTTGTACGTAATATTGGCTAACATTGAACTTTCTTGATTTCAATCACATATATATTCATTCCTCTAATAAACTCGCATAAAAATGTTAAAAAAGTACTTAATTAATATGATTTAAAAATCATAACTTGGTAAGATTTACATTATTTAATTATATTTAATTAATCATCTGGCAGGTTATCGATTATACCGCTGAATTATTTATAGATAGTTTCCTCAAAATCATCAGTAGATCTTCACTCTCACTTACGTTCTCTAAAATATTTTCAATAGTCGTTTTCAAATATTACAATGGAGAGACGAATTAAGTGTCGTCTTTTATCATTAATAGCTGAAGGACGTGAAGGTAGTGTAAAATAAAATGAGGGTTTGATCAACTTAAATAATTAATATCAAATTCAAAAACAATATAAAAAAGAAAAAAAGAAGCAGCTTCTTATTAAACCTAGTTTTAGCCTAATGAAAGAAAACTATTTTAAAATCATACATATAATAAAAATGAACAAATAAATTGTTTTATGTTTCCATTCTTAGAGAAGGATAAAAACATTGTTTTAAGCTGCTTATTACCTGTTTGATTACGGGGCAAAGCTTCCAAAAACTGTTTAACCCAGTTCACAACACTTAACCTGGGAATATTAAGTGATTGTTCAGGTAATTGACAAGTTTGAATATTTATTGAATAAGGATCCCAATCATAAAATCAAATCTATATTTAAAATTTAGGTTGTTTTCAGTTTGTTTGGTTGTGTTCAATGAACGTCAAAACGGCTGAACCTATCGGGCCTAAATTGTTTGTGGCACCTCACTAAACCCCAAGGAAGGTTAATGAATTAACAAATTTTTTCATATTTATATTGCAGTGCATAATATTCCAACAAATGATGAATTTTGAAAAATATAAATGGCGCCGAAGGCAAACTTTTAAAAAAAATTTGGGTGACGGTAACATATAGCTTACAAGTTGGGATTGATTATTTGTCAGTCCAGGAATATTTTGTTTCTTGGAATTCATTTCCCATCATTATACTTTGAGAATTGTCTTTTATACGTAACTTTTATACGTAACTTTTATACGTAACTTTTATACTTCTCAAAAATATCTTGTTATATAATTTTGTACGAGTTTATGCGCGTAGCGGAAAAAAATTTAGTAGGTTTGACTATTTGGAAAAATTATTAAGAAATACGTATTCTTACATCATAATTTTTAATATGTTTTTTAATTCTGCATTGTAACTATTGGGGGAAATTATTCGTGACAAACTCTCTAATTTTAGATCAAGTCAGATATATAGAGGTTAGAAGCTCCCAGCCCATCCAATATAATCCCCTTTCCCTAACTTCGTTATCTGCAAACCTTCCACCGATCCTCTACCTTCCCCTCCCCTTACTAACCTACCTTCCCCAAACCTTTATTCCCCCCTTTCCCTACTTTCCTTTTTCCTTCACTGTCCCTTCCGTAGTTACCTAATTCCTGTATTCCTCTTCCCCACCTTTCTCCTTTTCTCACCTATCCACTTCCCTCCCTTTTCCCTTTCCCCTTTTCATTTTTCTCTTCCCTTCCTCTTGGGTCTTTGATTTCTTTCCTGAATCTCCCCAGAAAAACTGACAATAAACTGAAAAAATATTGACGCCGGTCAAATTATTATATCAGAGAGTGTTTACCTAAGAGACGGTGTGTTAACATACGCTGAGCAGCAAAGAATACTTATTAATTCCATACTGGTCACCTTAATCAGTGTCATTATTATTATTATTATCATTATTATTATTATTATCATTATCATCATCAACATCAAAATTATTATTATCTTTATTGTCCTTGTTATTTTTATGATTATTTTAGGATCGACAACGATCATTCAAACACACAAAATGTAGGTCTTCTTCAATTTAGTTTAAAATTGACTAATGGGTAAAAACACAAAGATCTTAGTCCTGTCTCAGTCAAAGGTTTTAAGTGTACCATTGTGAATCAGGGAGGGCACTCTTTAAATGAAAGGTCAATTGAAAATTTAGCTTACAATCCCTTTAAGCAGGTTAAAAAACAAAAAAATAATGATAAAAATTGAGTTAATTGTTATAAAATAATAAAATAACAATAATAATTATAATAATAATAAAATACCTCCAGTAGATCAGTTCTATCCTCAAGTATAAGAATGAGCATCTTGTCTAGGTCTTTATTCTCCTTGATGAGGTTGACAAGGGTCTCCACCACCATCCCCAACATCCCCTTCACCTCTCTACCCTCCTCAACACACTCACAAACCTGTACACCACACTCCACTCCTCTCCGTTCAATCTCACTAGAAAATAGAATAATTATTAATCTTCTCTTTCAAATTATAATTTTGGCTCTATCCATAAGCAACTTCTCTTAGTAAATATAAAGCAATAACAAAAAAGTTTGGTGTAAAATTTTTGTAATTCTGAGCATCCATAAATCTTCCTTGGGGTCACATGAATACTGAATTGCCTCAAAAGTTCATTAATATGTAAAAAATGTAATTTTTTTCTTCTTGCAACACGATAATTTATTTACATATACAAAAATGTAAATTTTTTCTTGCAACACGATATACAAAAATGTAGATTTTTTTCTTGCGACACGATAATTTATTTACATATACAAAAATGTAAATTTTTTTCTTGCAACACGATAATTTATTTACATATACAAAAATGTAAATTTTTTCTTGCGACACGATAATTTATTTACATATACAAAAATGTAAATTTTTTTCTTGCAACACGATAATTTATTTACATATACAAAAATGTAAATTTTTTCTTGCGACACAATAATTTATTTACATATACAAAAATGTTAATTTTTTTCTTGCGACACGATAATTTATTTATATGTAAAAAAAGAAAATTTTTTTCAAAATTTTTAATTACACCTTAGAACTCAAGAAAAAAATAGAATTTAGTCCCTTTAAAAAACTTTAATTCCGTATTACCTTGAAATAGCTTGGACTGTAACTCTAATAACTGTCTCAGTAAGATCTATAAATATTTCCTGGTCTTCATCGGAAACTGTTGAGTATTGATGGTAGAGCCTGAGATTAAATTAAATTAAGTAAAATCCTTCATATTTACTCATGAAATCTATAGTTTTTAGTTTGGGATAACTCACGTACTTTTTGTAGTGATTTTTCTGGAAGTATTCTTAGAATGATATTTTAGCTTGGTTTGTGTATTTACGGTGACCTCAGCTAACAGTTTAAATGGCTTAGGCTTATCTGTCTTGTTGTAGGGTAACTTTCAAAATCATTTTTGTAAGACACCATTCACATTCTAGCAATTTCAAATTTTGAAAAATCTGCCAATTGAGGAGAAACCCCTGCCAATTTATGTAAAAATCCTGCCAATTTATGTAAAAAGCCTGCCAATTTATGTAAAAATCCTGCCAATTTTATAGCGAAAAAGTTGAGGATAATATGGGTCCTTTCTGTAGGTTCGAGTTTCACTCAAAAGTTTATGATAGAAAGCGTTCCAAACCATATCCCCATAAAATAGTATTGTATTTGAATAGAAAAGGTTTAGACCCTTAGATAAATCAAAAACAATACATAAATATAATTTGGTGGTATTTAAAAATGTTTTTGTTGTTCCAGTTTTATGAGTTACAAAAGTTTTTAGTCGCAAACAATCAAATCAATTGTCTGACTTTATCGTTTGCTAGTTTATTTAAATGTTCAAATTCTTTAGATAAATTATAAACTTCTTCAAAGGACCTCACTAGTCTCCTGGAGTTTGTAATAACTCTTGTAATAATAGAGATAAATGGTGCTAACTTTGCACCTATATTCTTTTAATCCTTAAGGGGCATTATGCCCCTTAAGGATTAAAAGAATATAGGTGCAAAGTTAGCACCATTTATCTCTATTATTACAAGAGTTATTACAAACTCCAGGAGACTAGTGAGGTCCTTTAATAAGACATGATTAAAGAAATTTGATTCTACCTGTAAAACTTGTTGATCGCAGACTCAATCGGTGCCATTTCCTTCTCCTCTAGCTTCCAGCCCTAGATCAATATATTTAGGAATACATGAAAATTATTAAATATTTTTTATTACTATTAACAAGTTTGTTAGTCATCTATCTCTAAGCATTTTTAACGTTAAATTTAATGAGTAAAAATAATACTTTGAGAATTTTTTAGTTTAATAATGGTCAATTCTTAAGTTTTAAAAATATAAAAGGTTTTTTTTAAAACTCCTCGCATTAACACACGAATGAACAAACAGATAAAAGAATCTATTTATTCGTATCATTACAATGTAATTACGTATCCTAATGTTTTTTTTTATTTTGTAACTTTTGAGAACAATATTATTCAATCCTGCAATTACGAGAATTTCAAATAACGAAGACGATATTTTCAAAATATTGGACAAATTTCGGCTCCAGCCGTAAAACAATGCTCCAACGAAAAATATTAAGATATCTCAGCTACCTTCGAATGACCAGAATAAAATTCGGATTTAATATAGTGTAATATTTAAATGATCAGTTATAAATTTATTTGAATGATTTATGTTTTTAGTGATATAATGCATAGCGAACAACCCCTTAAAGATTACCTGGTTATTGAAAACTTGTAAAAACTTGACAAATTCAATTGGAACACTCTCCTGAAAATACACTAGCCAAAGTAATAATGTCAGTATAAAAGTTCATAAATAATTTATATCTTTCTTCTTATTTCGGAATCTAGATTTATTTTCAAGACTTTTAGAAAAGTCCTTTTTCCATACTTTTCATGTTAACTTCTTTATTTTTTGTTTTAATCCCAGGAAAATAAACTTTAGAAATCCAATTACCCATTGTCAAGTAAAACTTATAGTTAAAACACTGGTATAATAAACCTTGTATTTTGTATACTGTATACTGTATAGTGTAAAACTTGTTGTTAAAACCCTGGTATAATAAACCTTGTATTTTGTATACTGTATACTGTATAGTGTAAAACTTGTAGTTAAAACCCTGGTATAATAAACCTTGCATTTTGTATACTGTATAGTGTACACTGCATTTTGAATTTTGTAATCTGTATATAGTTTAATGTTTTACCTCGTAGAGTTTTAAGAAGTCCGATGTATAAGCGAATGCAGAGCACTCATACAGAAGATCAAGAATCAAATCTAAAAATTAATCATCTTACTTGTAATCACTGAAGGATCATGCTTTACAAATATGGAAGGATTACTCGTTTAAAGGGACTGTTAGCATAATTTCATGTGAATCGGACATTGCCATCTTTGAATGGAGAGTACCTTTGAAACTACGCTTACCGTTCCTTTTAAGATAACATTTTCAAATCCCAAATATATCTTAACTGGTTTAAAACTTGTTAATGAGAAATTTATCTAATTGACAAAAGAATGATCTGGTTGACAAAAGAATGATCTGGTTGACAAAAGAATGATCTGGTTGACAAAGGAATGACCCGGTTGACAAAAGAAATGACGCGCAACTAGGCGTATCTTGAGTAAGGGGGGTACATGCCCCCCTTTAGGGGGGCAAGAATTCCTTGACAGGGGTCCATATAGTTCCAAATATAACTAATGTTCTCGACAATTAAAAAAAAATAGGCGCTCACATTAATTTTTTTAACCTATAATCATATACCCCCAACTCTTAAAGCAAACTCAAATTCCACTCACAAGCTCATATTCTTTTAATTTTTACCCCTTTTCTTAAAAACATGCCACCAAAATGGATTTTTAAAATTATACTTGCACATTCTTATTCAAATTGCCCCACCAGACTTAAATTTGCCCCCTTTTTAGAATGCCACCAAATATTTATAATTTGCACCTAAATTTGATTTATTTTTATCCCCAAATATTATATAAATACACCATACTTTAAGGTAATTACTCCAAAATTAAGAAGTTTTGCGCCAAACAAAAAAATAACCCTTTAATTAAAAAAAAACCCCTTCATGTACTTTGAAAATGCCCTTAAATAAAAAAAATTAAGCCCCAAAATGTAAATATTTACCCCCAAAATATCCGTTATTGGTAAGGTAGTTTTTTTCGTGGTTGAGTATAACACACATTTTTCTTGCTTCCCCCCCTAGAAATGTTTAGGGGGGGGGGGAACAAATTTTTTCACGCTACACGCAACTATTTGCTCTTTGCCCCCCCCTTGCTGAATGTCTAGTTGCGCGCCTGCTATGGATATCATTTTACACACCTGCTAAAGAGAGTTTAGTCACAACTCTGTTGACAAAATCAACCACATGGTTTATAAACTCTTCGTCAACTAAACCTGAAAAATGGTTGATTAATGATTAACTAGAAATAAACCATGGTTGTAGAGGAGAGTAAAGATGAGGAAAAGGGTTTGTAGGAGTGGTGTATCAGGAATGTTTTAAAAACACTCCATTAGTCCACATGTTATACTGTTTCCCAGTCCAGCGGAATTCCTTAGGTAGTATCGCATTTAGTGTACATCGCTGCATGCAGAATGCAGCGTTGTCCCTTTTTATCAGCTGTGGAGCAGGGCCCTTTCAGAAAGGGCTCCGATCGCTAAGTGGAGTGGGTGTAAAACCGAATTAGTTTTAGACATATTGGCTCTTTGTTATTTCTATTTCTTGACTTAGACCCCCGACCGTGGGTACTGCAATTATTGAGCTTGGGGTACAAGGCCGCGTGGCCTTCCCTCCTTCCAATGTGTAGATACCTTTCTCAGCGTACACTGCAAATAATTTGTGGCATATTTTAAACGTTAAGATATCATTTGTGACTATTATTTATGCTTTATAATGTTTTTGATCCGCTTTTTGATAAAAAACTTTTTGTGGCATATCTTCTGAGCTTTGATTTGTTTAGCATATTTTATTCTTTTAATTACTGTTTGCATATGTGGCAGATTTATGTGTCTTAGTATAACTTGTGACATATATTATGTGTTAGCATTTATTTGTGGCAGATTTTCAGCTTATTGATAATTTTAGTGGCAGATTTTATTCATATAGATACTGATAGTGGCAAATTTTCTGAGCTTTGATGGCATGTGTGGCAGATTTTATGTGGCAAGACATAATCTGTGGCAAATTTTATTCTTTTAATTACTACTTATGTCAGATTTCATGCATTTAAATACGGTTTGTGGCACATTTTCCGAGTTTTGAAGGCATGTGTGTCAGATTTTGTATGACTAAGGAATAATTGTGGCATTATTTTTCCTTTTAATTACTGTCTGTGGCAGATTTTATATGCCTGGGTATAGCTGGTGGCATTTGTTATACATTAGCGCTATTGGCAGATTTTAGGTTATTATTATACATAATTTTAGTGATAGATTTATGCATTTAAATACTTTTTGTGGCTTATTCTCTGAGCTGTGATGTAAAGTGTGTGGCACATTTTATGTGGCAAGACATAATTTGTGGCAGTTTTATGCATTTATATAATGTTTGAGGCATATTTTATTCATTTTGACAGATTTTAAACGTTAAGATATCATCTGTGGCTTTTATTTAGGGATGAACATTTCTTTTTATGGAATATTTTTATGTTTTTGACCCTGTTTTAGGGTAAAAAAATCTGGGTGTATAGGGTGTACAATGTGCTCTCAAATTGGTCCTAGATAAAACCCTGCCTAAAACATAGTTGAAAAACCATCAACACATAGTTCATCAATAAGAATGTTGATTTATTCTTCATCAAGTCTTCATCTGATCTTCAAATCAATTGTGAACTTTAGTCATTATTCATGTTCACTATTCAGTTCATTGCTCAGATAATAATAAAATAAAATTAAAGGCTTGAACCAAATAATGTTTAGTCCACAAATAAAATAATATCATAAATGTAGGAATTTTCTTACAGCTTCCAAATTTCAGATTCGAGTTTCAATTACTGACTGAACAAATCAAATCAAACCCGACCTCCATACTTCGAATTCGAGATGACTATAATAATTCAAAAATGATGTATGTGTTTACGATTTGCTGTCATTCAACTTATACTTCTTTCAATCGACATTTTCTTTAATTTGTACGGTAATTACTTTCTTTACATTGTCATTTTCTTTAACATGGGAAAAAAATAATTATGTTAAATTAAATTAAAGCTAAATATTTTGACTTAAAATAAGAATAAATTGTCGTCTTCACTTTACTATATTTTTTTGGGCTACCTGTTTTTAGAACAGCTGTGATGGTTCGTATAATCTCAGCAATAGCCTTTTCCGCAAAACTTATCGAGGCCTGATTCGTCTCTATCTCCCTAGATAACATACAAATAATGGATGTAATAACAATATCGAGGCCTAATTCGTCTCTATCTCCCTAGATAACATACAAATAATGGATGTAATAACACTATCTCCCTAGATAACATACAAATAATGGATGTAATAACAATATCGAGGCCTGATTCGTCTCTATCTCCCTAGATAACATACAAATAATGGATGCAATAACAATAACGAGGCCTGATTCGTCTCTATCTCCCTAGATAAATCAATGCTAAAATCGATTATTTCGTTTTCATTATTATATTGAATTGCTAATTTTCTTTGAATTTATTCGCAGATTTCTTCAAATTCTTTAAATGTCGTCTTTTCAGTAATAGTTATAGAAAATCTGCGAACATCTTTGTGAATAACGAGAAACTAGAATAATGAGATAATAGAAACTAATAATTGAACAAGATTACTTATTTTCGATGATAAGATTAATTTTTATTTTCTCAAAATGTTCCTAAACATGACGTCTGTAGTTTATTGAAGAATATTTTTACATTTTATGTCGTCGTTAATTAATAATTTAAAAAAAAAACTTATTCTGAAAGCGTATCCACCCCCAAATCAGGAGTTTTGAACGTTGAATTTGCGCTCAAACTCAGGATTTACAGACTTTTAAAAAGTGAAATATGTCTCAAATGAATCCTAAAGAAGATTTCCACAACACTGCGTCCTCAGTTCAACTACCTTACATAGCCGGTCACTCCCTTTAAGAACTCAAAATTGTTGATAAAATAACAGATAAAAAAAAGCAAAATAGTAGATTTTCCATTGGAATTGTGAAAATGTGCCAATAACGCATAATAATTTGATTATGACGAGAAGAAAATAATAAAAACGAAGAGTTTGTCACCTAAAAATTACAGGAATTAGCTGCTGGTCAGACCAAGCAATTGTATCCTCAAGTCTCTCAATAACATCCTAAAAAATGAATTCTCATAAAAATTTTCTTTGGGGGGAAGGGAAAATAATATTGAGAATATACAGCTAAAATGAAAATAACAATAAATTTAAAATGCAGTGTGCACTGTGAGTTAACTGTGAAGAATGAACCTGGGAACTACCAAACAATTTGAAATGCACATAAACCCTGACCTTAAGATACGATCTGAAAAATTACTTTGTTAATTTGTTAATTTAATTTTTTAAACTTCACTTCTGTCACTGAACCCTTTCTCTCTTAAATCTCTCATTTTGTTTTACTTTTCGCTATTCAAATTTGAAAAACCTTTTTATTTAGACCCACAGTGAGCGGAAGCTTGATACATATTGAATATATCCAATAGTCCAGTTTCCCACCTGTTTAAATAAACCAACGGTAAGCTGAAGCTTGAGATAAATGTTACATATATCCAATAGTTCAGTTTATCCCCTGTTTATGTAGACTCACAGTGAGATGAAGCTTGAGATAAGTGGTTAATATATCCAATAGTTCAGTTTATCACCTGTTTATGTAGACCCACAGTAAGCTGAAGCTTGAGATAAATGTTACATATATCCAATAGTTCAGTTTATCACCTGTTTATGTAGACCAACAGTAAGCTGAAGCTTAAGATAAGTGGTTAATATATCCAATAGTTCAGTTTATCACCTGTTTATGTAGACACAGTAAGTTGAAACTTAAGATAAGTGGTTAATATATACAATAGTTCAGTTTATCACCTGTTTATGTAGACACAGTAAGCTGAAACTTAAGATAAGTGGTTAATATATCCAATAGTTTAGTTTATCACCAGTTTATGTAGACCCACAGTAAGCTGAAGTTTTTAGTGAGCTTTATCCCAGATATTTCCTTAAGAAAATCCACCAACTGAACCTCGTTCTTGGCCAACAGACGTTTCCTAGCAGGCAAACAAATTTACTAACCTGTGTTCATCTGTTTACGAAGATTTTTAGTAAATATTTTTTAGCTTATTTTTTTTATATTTTGATAATTTTTTTGCCAAATTAGAGTTTGTTCCCAGAAAGACAAAATAATCTTATGAATTTAAAAAATATACATAAAGAGATTTTTACCCCTGAGAAATTAGCCCCTCACCACCGCCCAAACCAATTCAGAACAAATAAAATTGAATCAAGGCTATTATGGACGTCCTCCTCTCAAACTCGAATTCCAATAAGACCGAACTAAATCATAAATGCACATTACTCCCTTTCTACCCCCTCTGTCAACATCTAACCATCAACTACCTACTACATCTAACCGTTAACTACCTACTACATTTAACCGTTAACTAACTCATACCTTCTATATCTTACCATTAACTACCTCCAACATTCTATATGTTACCATTTACTACCTCCTACCTACTAGACTACATCTTACCATTAACTACCTCCTACCTACTAAATTAACCATTAACTACCGCCTACCTCCTACATCTAACCATTAACTACCTACTACCCTCTACATCTAATCATTAACTACCTACTAAATTAAACCGTTAACTACCTCCTACCCTCTACATCCAACCATTAACTATCTACTACCTTCTACATCTAACCATTAACTTCATCCTATCTCCTACATCTAACCATTACCTACATCCTACCTCCTATATCTAACCATAAACTACATTCTACATTTAGCCATTAACTACCACCCACCTCCTATATTTAACCATTAACTACCTATTACCTTCTACATCTAAGCAATAACTATATCCTATCTCCTACATCAAACCATTAACTACATCCTTCCTCCTCTATCTAACCATAAACTACATCCTACATTTAGCCATTAACTACCACCCACCTCCTATATTTAACCATTAACTACCTATTACCTTCTACATCTAACCATTAACTACATCCTACCTCCTATATCTAACCATAAACTTTATCCTACATCCTACATTTAACAATTTACTACCTCTTACTTTATGCATCTAACCATTAACTACATCCTACCTCCTACGTCTAACCATTATTAACTACCTTCTACCTCCTACATCTAACCATAAACTTTATCCTACATCCTACATTTAACAATTAACTACCTCTTACTTTTTGCATCTAACCATTAACTACATCCTTCATCCTACATCTAACCATTAACTACCTCCTACATCTAACCATTAACTACCTCCTACATCTAACCATTAACTACCTCCTACATCTAACCATTAACTACCTTCTAACTTCTATATTTAACCATGAACATTGAACAGCCACCTACCTAGGTGCATTGGTGCGGAGTAGATGATTTATCACTAGAATTGCTTTCCTCACTTTAGGTTCCTCTGTATTGGGCTCTCTATTAAATTTTTTTATGTTTAATACTCGTTTTTCATTTTTAATTTCAATAACCGTTTCCAATCGGATACAAAATTCATTTACATTCATTGTGGGTCCCAAAGTGGACCAAATATATTCTGTCTGGTAAAAATTCACGAAAAAAAAAATCTGAAATTCGTATTTGATGCTAGATGCAACAGTGATTAAAAAATATATGTGGTTTTTTTTTTTTTTAAATGTTGCGTTTAATAAGACAATTCTAAGAATTCTTAAATGTTGACCTTTTTTTGATTTCTTCTGAGGCCGAATTTAAAGAATTTGAGCCGCGGCTTGAATTTGAGACGAGGCCCAAATATGGTTGGTTCAACTTATAATTGTATTCAATGTTCCAAGATTTAAGCCGGCGCTTAATCGAAACCGGTTTTTGGGAATTTTATGAGCGGCTCAAATTCATTAAATTACTTGACTTGAACCAAACCTGAATCTAACTCCACTTTGCTCAACATGATCTGTCTTAGATAACCCATCTCTTATCCATTCCTTAAACAAAAACGTCAGAAAATAATACAAGAAACTCAGACTTTTTAAGATTTATAACTTTGAAACTACAATCTTGATTTAAAATTCGGTGATGGTGATGGACCAAACCTCTGTAGAGTAAAAAATGTAGATGTTAGTTCTACATTTATTGAAATTATATTTCGGTCTGGGTTGACCCTCGTCAGTTCTTGAGATTGTTTCTGTCACGAAGATAAAAAACAAACTTGATCTTGAGATATGATCCTTGAATGACCAAAATTAACACAAAGTAAAATTAATCCACCAACTTGACAAATAATCAACCAACCAAATAATCAACCAACCAAAATAATCAACCAAATCAAACTGATCAACCAATCAAACTGATCAACCAACCAAAATAGTCAACCAACTTGACAAATAATCCACCAACCAAAATGATCAACCAACCAAAATGATCAACCAACCAAAATGATCAACCAACCAAAATTATCAAACAACCAAAATAATCAACCAACCAAAATTATCAACCAACCAAACTAATCAACCAGCAAAATAATCAACTACCCAAAATAATCAACCAACCAAAGTAATCAACCAACCAAAATAATCAACCAACCAAAATAATCAACCAACCAAAATTATCAACCAACCAAACTAATCAACCAAATAAAATAATCAAACAACCAATAAAATCAAACAACAAAATAATCAGCTAACCAAAATAATCAACCAACCAAACTAATCAACCAACCCATATAATCAACAACTAAAATAATCAACCAACCAAACTGATCGACCAACTAAAATAGTCATTCAACCAAACTAATCAACAAACCTAAATAATCAACCAACCAAATTAATCAACCAACCAAACTAATCAACCAACCAAAACAAATCAACACTTAATCAAACAACCAAGAAAACAATGATCCTACTAAAACGACCGACCATCCTGTTCATAACAATCAACGTTAAAAACAAGCCAACGGGCTAAAATAAAAGAAAGCCTAACAAAAAACTAAAAATATTTGCGAAAAAGAATTATAGTTAATTGATTCTAAATACCTTTAATAACTCCAGAACTTCGTCACCTCGTCTCCAATTGCACAAAGATTCAACATGGATTTCAAAATTCGCGGATTTCTTCAGCTGGAAATGAAAACATTTTGGTGAATTAATTATATTTTAAAAAGTATTTTTATTAGTGGGAATAAACTAATTCTACTAAATTGTAATATTTAGTATTAATTGAAAAAATTAACTTTTGAATTTTTTTATGTTGGAAATTCTTAGGTTCTATCAAATTATTTTAATAGCAGGTTGGAGTAAAAATAAGTAACCTGTGAAAGACAGTAACTCCCAATGACTGCGGTAGAAGAACTGGAAAGAAAACTTGCCAGATATACAACAGTATTGGATATTGGGGTATCCCTGTAGCAACATTAATATATCCTTTATTTAACAACAGTATTGGATATTGGGGTATCCCTGTACCAACATTATTATATCCTTTATTTAACAACAGTATTGGATATTGGGGTATCCCTGTATCAACATTATTTATTTAACAACAGTATTGGATATTGGGGTATCCCTGTACCAACATTATTATATCCTTTATTTAACAACAGTATTGGATATTGGGGTATCCCTGTATCAACATTATTATATCCATTATTTAACAACAGTATTGGATATTGGGGTATCCCTGTACCAACATTATTATATCTTTTATTTAACAACAGTATTGGATATTGAGGTATCCCTGTAGCAACATTAATATATCCTTTATTTAACAACAGTATTGGATATTGGGGTATCCCTGTAGCAACATTAATATATCCTTTATTTAACAACAGTATTGGATATTTGGGCATCCCTGTAGCAACATTATTATATCCTTTATTTAACAACAGTATTGGATATTGGGGTATCCTTGTATCAACATTATTATATCCTTTATTTAACAACAGTGTAAGATATTGGAGTATTTCTGTATCAACAATCAACATTATTGAAGGGAGTGACAGGCAATGTATGGTAGTTGAACTGAGAATGTAATATTGTGGAGAAACTTTCAGGGATTCATTTGAGACGTATAAAACGTTTTAATGATGTACTGTGGTAGGCGATTGTATCAAAACAATGAAGACGACTTTAGATTTCAGTTTTGATTTATGTTTGGCTTTAAAACAGCATAAATGCTTTATAAAAAGGAAACAGAGAAGCTGTCAATTTAAAAAGATTCTCTTTAATTACATGTAATCAAAAAAAGCTTGTTAACAATAAGAATTTAAACAAAAAAGTCGTCTTCATTATATTGATATTTTCGCCAACCACCGACTTATTACTGATTTTGAGCGCAAAGTCGACGATAAAAATTCATCCATTTGGGTGGTTACGTTTTGAGAATCGATTTTTTTAAATAAAATTATTAAATGGTGAGGACAAAAAATGTTCAAAAAATCTCGAGTTCGCTAATTAGATGTTTCGGAAACTATTTCTCATTTGAAATTCTCCTAATAAATCATTGTTAACATTAATTGTTTCTTTTTCAGCATAATATTGAATTCTCCTAATAAATCATTGTTAACATTAATTGTTTCTTTTTCAGCATAATATTGAATTCTCTTAATAAATCATTGTTAACATTAATTGTTTCTTTTTCAGCATAATATTGAATTCTCTTAATAAATCATTGTTAACATTAATTGTTTCTTTTTCAGCATAATACTAAATTCTCCTAATAAATCATTGTTAACATTAATTGTTTCTTTTTCAACATAATATTGAATTCTCTAATAAATCATTGTTAACATTAATTGTTTCTTTTTCAGCATAATATTGAATTTCGTATTCTTAAATCAATTTGTTTGCCAATTTCTTCAAATTTTTCAAATGTCGTCTTTTGAATAAAAAAACCCAGGAAATCTACAAAAAAAAGTTTGTGAACAATAAGACATTATAGAAAACCAATATCTGAATAAGATTACTTATTTTCAATAATAGTTAATTTTTATTTTCTCAACCTGTTCTTAAACAACTAATTAGTTTACTGTACTCCATTTTTCGCCGCCGTTATTGAATAATTTGTTAAAAACCAATTCTCAAAATCATCCCTCAAAAATGAAACATCTAAGAGGATTTTAAAGATTGAATTTGCGGTCTTGCTAAACAAATATGCACCATAAAAACGTTTCATAGGTCTCAAATGATTCCTAAAATGTTTCTCCACAATACTACATTACAAGTTCAACTTCCATACATTGTCGGTCACTCCCTTTAAGAAAAAAAACCCTTAACCAGACTGAGAAGTTACATTTTTCATTTTAATGAGAAAAAAATGTCGGATTTGGATGAAATAAATGTTTAGATATTTAAATGGGTCCCTGTAGTGGTTAAAAAGAACCAGGATACACCTGCTCACTTTATTATCCAGGACGGATCTCAGATCGATGTTGTCCTCCTACCAACCAAACCAGGATCATCAGAAATATTAAGAAATAGGATCTCTGAATAAGAGAAGCTTGTTAGATGAACTTGTAAAGTCGACATTCACAATTTTTCCTTTAATTTTGAAAAATTTAGCCAAGAAAAAAAGAAGACATTTATTTTGTTTGAAAATCCACAAATTTCAAAAAATCCATCACTAGATACAAGCCCTGTTAAAAATGAAAATAAATTCATAACAAATTGCAGGCAGCTTTTTTTCTTAAAACCTAGATTAGGCTCCTTAAGTCTTATCTTCCCTATAAAATTGGGGGTCAAAATAAAGTTGCCTTAAAAAAACATGCAATGTCAAGTTTTTGTTGAGCTTAAAACGTTTAAATGGTTGGTAATATATTTAACCTATTCTTGTCTGGCTGGGAGAATCATTATAACATGCTAGAGACCCATGTGTTTGTAAAACTTAACCGATCTCTTATGATCGAATTTCATAAGTTCTGACCAATTGAGGTGAATTCCCATGAAGGAGAGTTCGTTGAACTTCCATTAAGAAGAGAATAAGTTAAACCAATTCCGTTTAATTGATCCTGTTTTGTTCCTTGGCAAGAGGTACTCCTAGTTTAAACCAGAGTATACAGACAATATCCAGTAAATAACCAACTGTAACAACAATATCAACATCATTGACGTTTTAACTAGCAGGCCCAGATCTCGTGACTTTTGGCTGGGGCCAACTTTTAATTTCTTTTCAAATAGTATTTCTTTACAAAAATGAGTTTAAAACTTAAATTACAACCATCTTATAAAACAGGGTCTTTAAAAATGGTGAGGTTTCCTTTGATGAATACATTTAAATGCAAGTGCTTCATGCTTATGATATATTCAACTTTAGTACATAAAATTGACCCTTATACGGATGAAGTCCATAAATATTCTTAAATTATTACCTAAAAAGAAGGTCTAAAGAATTAGCTCACTTTTGGCTGAAACTTTTAATTAATTTTGAGAGATTATATTTTTTTTTTAGCAAGATAGAACTTGTCAAAACTTGAAGAGGTATTTATTAAAATTTGCCATTTGTATTTAGATTTTGCTGATCCAATTGGGTTACAATGTTGCAGATCCAAGTCCTAGGCACTGTTTGAATCTAAAATGAAAGTAAATACTTAATTTAACACAAATAGAATGATTTTGTTTAATGTTGTTGATATTCCTGTTGAGATCTGTGAGTAGGGATGATCTTCTTGTTGTGTACTATTCCCTACTCTACTGCGAATAGTTGTACTCTCTAAATACGAGGATTTATTGTTAATTATAGTAGGGTAAAGAGATGGACAATTAGCTGGATGGAAAGGTAGGTGGATAAATAGATGGGTAAGTAGGCAAGTAGATAAGAAGTTGGGTAAGTAGATGGATAAGTGGGTAGCAAGGGCGTTTACAGAAAAAAATTTGAACTGAAAATTCAAAACATTTGGCTTCTTGGATATCAGGCATAAGTATAAAATACTTTAAAGGTACACATACAGTCCAATTACCCTGCATATACTATACTTTATCTCTCCTTCAAACAAAACTTGCAGAAAAAAACATTGTTTCTAAAAAATCGACATTTTATTATACTGTTATGTTAGTAATAAATAGAGATAGTAATACACATTTTTGAAAATGAAAAACTCAACTTAAACTCTTTGAGATGAAAAAAGGACAAAGATCCGGAAAATAATTATGACTTGTAAAAGTTTCTGTTTTGAAAATAAGTGGAGTACAATTGTATTCTATATAATAAAGCTCTTCGTTCATTTATTTGTTTGCTATGGCTGGCCAAACCGCTGAATCAAATGGGCTGAATTTTAGTAAGGAAACTCATGGATACCCTCGGGGATGACATAAGCTAAATAAATTAAAATATTTTTGTTTTAATTCTATTTTTTAAATTCCACGATACCGCCTGGCACTTCAGCTAGTTACTAATAAAAAGAAAGATTACAATACATTGGCGGTGCAATGAATGAATAAAGTAAATAAAATCGAAATTAAAAAAACAAAAAACGATCTTTTAATACCTCCAAACTCAAACCTTTATGGCTTGGCATTTAAGAATAATTGTTTTCAGATTAGGATGAATTACATTCTAAATAGATTTTTCATTCGAACTTCTGTCATGGTGGCTCTGGTCCACGTAATCAATTTACAGGTCTAGAGGGAGCACTGCCCCCTTGCACCCCCCCCCCTGCCCTTGGTGGGTAGATAAGTTTATTGATATGTAGGTGAATAAGTATATGGATAAGTAGGTAGATAAGTATATGGATAAGTAGGAGGGAAAGTAAGTAAATGAATAAGCATAAAAGAAGTTGGATAAGTAAATAGACAAGTAGGTAGATAAGTTTATGAATATGTAGGTGGGTAAGTAGGTGGATCAATAAGTATATAAGAAGTTGGGTAAGTGACGGAGTTACATGAAATTATGTGTTGACTAGAGAATCTCTTTAGGACCCTACACTAAATGAGTGAATAATTATTGGCAGATTTAATTAATGTCCAATTTTTTTAATCGAACCAAGATAAATGCTGGAGTGAATTAAGCTCCCTTAGAGTCTGCTATAGTACCCATAGTACCCATAGAGCGTGCTATAGTACTCAAGAAGGTAGAAAGGTTAGTGCAAGGATTTAATGCAAGGAAAGTTATTTCAGAGGTGTACGCATCTTTTGTACTGCAGTGTACTGTCTCTGGGCGGTAATGTAAACACAAGATGGATGTCGCAGACTGACATGGGATCCATCTTTCACATAAAAAATCAATGAAATATTCTGGTCATAGGAACTTTTATGTGAATTATCAAAATTTTCAAAATTCAATGCTTTTAACCACCTCGGATATTAAACGAACACTGATGCATCTATTCTTGTTTACAAATTCCGCCCAGAGAGAACTGGTTTCAATATGTACGCAGAGTATACGCAACTGCAATTAACTGGGGGGTTAACTTCGCAACATAAATATTTGCCTGATGTACCTGAAATCCATTTTTAAGATATCTCAGAAATCAAGTGCATTTACTAATCTAAAATCAAATGTAAATTTCGTTTAAAGACTTTAATATGCGTCTTCTGGTGTTTTTTGCTATATTTTTTGAACTGTTAAGGGCAGGGTCCCAAAATTTTGTAACTATTCATGAGCAGTAATAAGAAATATTGTAGTAAAAAATTAAAGCCCTAAGTCAACTGCCTGACTGACTAGATACGGCCTGAAAGTCTTTTGATGTGATTTTTTAGGCAGTACTTAACAGTCATACTGCTAGGCACAACTCACATTTGGGGACCCTGACATTTCCAGTTCAAAAACTATCACTATACCTATCAAGATACATTTGTTTTTAGACCTGAAAATGCACTTGATTTCTACAATGTCTTAAAAAAAGGATTTACTCAAAATTCTCTAAATTGCATTTCCTGAAGATTGAGATTATAACTGAGAAGACTGTATATTAATATATATTCCAAAGAAACAGTTTAGATGTTTTAAACTGTACATAAATATTTGAATTTAACTTAACGGCAGAATTTAGAAAAACTGGAAATTAAAATTGGAAGAAAAATCATTCAATTTAAAATAATATACTAAAGAACGATGTTTTAAATAATATCATAGAAAATGGGAAAACTTGGCTATACAATGCATCTAATCTTCATTCTTAGGTTTAAAATATACATCATATAAAACTTTGCTTATTTAATATTTTGCCCTTTTAAGAAGTCATTATTAAACAGAGGTCAAACTGGAGGTCGGAGATCTTTATCTGTATATAATTATGTGGCAGCAAAATATATAAACATGTCTGATTAACTTAAAATAATTGAATTAAAGTGAAAAAGGGGTACTTTCTCGTATTTTCTGAGTTCGTGGAGGTCAATGACCTCAGATCTCAAATATGGCGACCAAATGTGGCCATCTAACTGGATCACAATGAAAATCAGGGATCGGAGGTCATTGACCTCGATAAAAAATCAAGGGTTTGCAACACCCTTCGTGTGACACCCTACTGTATATGTATTCTTTGTACAATGTACAATGTACATTGTACATTGTACATTGTACATTGTACATTGTAATTTCTGCGTTACTTTTTTGTCTCAAACTTGAACAGTTCATCAAATCAAATAAACAGAGAAGAATTTTTTTAAAATTCTGTCCTAAAACACCACAACCGATCTTAGTTATTATTTAAAATTCACTAACCTTCCGTCTCTTATTCTTCTCTACTCCACTATTATTCCGTTCAGATTCATCCTGAGCTGATTTAGATTTCAGGAATGATCTAATCGAGCTCAGAATACCTATCATCAGTTCAACCAAACTAAAAAAAAGAGATCTGATCGAGTTCAGAATACCTATCATCAGTTCAACTAAACTAAAAAAAAGAGATCTGATTGAGTTCAAAATACATATCATCAGTTCAGCTAAACTAAAAAAACAGATCTAAATAAGTTTAAAACATTCATCGCCAGACTGCTCTAATTCTACCAAATAGATAAAAATCTACCACTAAAATAACACAAACTTTGAAGCCTTATTTCATGAAACTTACTTGGAAACCCAGATTTGAATGGACTTCAAAACTTTCCCTTTACAAGAAACCCAACCAAATTAATTCTCGTGGTTCTACTGAGTTCCCCAATCAAAATTGAAAGCAGATTACCCAATGGCTCCAGTCCTGAGTTATGAACAAACATAGCTTAGAGATCCAGCTTTGCCTGGATATTTCAGAATTTAATATCAAGCAAAGAAAAATTCCTATGGTACTACTGGATTCTATAATCCGTTTTTGAGGCAAATTGGCCGATCAGGCATATCAGGAAAGAGATCTGAAAGCCTCTTAAGTTTGAAAAACCCAGACCACCATCGGGTGGACATCCAGCCATCTGCAGATGAGGTACCACCAGGGGGCATGCTGAACCATCGGGTGGACATCCAGCAATCTGCAGATGAGGTACCACCAGGGGGCAGGCTGAACCATCGGGTGGACATCCAGCCATCTGCAGATGAGGTACCACCAGGGGGCATGCTGAACCATCGGGTGGACATCCAGCCATCTGCAGATGAGGTACCACCAGGGGGCAGGCTGAACCGTCGGGTGGACATCCAGCCATCTGCAGATGAGGTACCACCAGGGTGCATGCTGAACCATCGGGTGGACATCCAGCCATCTGCAGATGAGGTACCACCAGGGGGCAAGCTGAACCGAAGTCCAGAAGTATACCCTACCACAGTCTACAATGACAGTCCATATCCTACCTCATGACAGTCCATAACCTACCTCATTAAGCCAACAAGCCCTGCATAAGCCAGTTGTCCATCATACACTGAAGTGTCTGAGCTATGCCCATCATTGTTAAAGGGTCGGTCCCCCCCCCCCCCCAAAGAAATAATTCCACATAACAAGTTCTTCAGTGACCTGATGAAGAACCACATAAAGGCTAATATAGGCCTCTATACCCTAAGCCCACCTAACATAGCTCACAGATGGGCACTGAAATGGGCTTTACTAAGTTGGCCCACAACTTCCCCTGGACATCTACTGCCCGACATCTCTTGCTCTGAAGCTTCTTAGTCCTGAACCCTTGGGAATTAGATCAACAGGAAGGAGAAATAAATAGGTTAAGTGAAAAAGTATGAAAGAAGAGATAAAGAAGAAAAAAATTTTATCCAAGAAAACCAAAACGAGAAGAAAGTTCACTTCAGTTTGAAGAATTTAATTTATTTTGTTTTAATTTTCTTTCCTATATTTTCTTAAAAATCAAAAGATAAAAAATTATTAAATTTAGATTGAATTTTTTTCCTGGGAAGTCAGAATAGGGAAGGTAATTCTGCTTGAATTTTCTTCCTAAAAAGTGTCCGGGAATATTGAAAAAGTTAGAATAAAAGTTTTAAGAGATGAATTCTCTTCCCCAAAAGTTGCCAAGAAAATTAAGATAAGAAATTTGGACTTTAAGTCAAAATCAGCCTTAATTAAAAACATATGGGTAAAAAAAACTGAATACTCACATCTGCCTGTAAAGTAATTAAGTGGCTTGAAATCTTTTATTTTTCTTTATAGGAGTTTAACTTTTTAGTTTATTTGGTTTTATTTAAAAAATTTTTCGAGGGGGCTACACACTACACCCCCCACCCCTATATTAGCACCTAGGCTACCCCCCCCCCCATGTTAGNGGGGGGGGGGAGAGAGAGATATCCACTCTAACTCAGAATATACACCCTAGTAAAAATAGTGCTTATCTCCTTCTCGTCAAAAAATATGTTTGAAATTGAACAGACATTATAAAGAAAGGAATTATACCTTTTGAGATCCGAGAACTGGATTAACAACATGTAGAAGTTCCTGGACGCAGGACCATTCTCCTGGAACCATTCATTAGTTACAGATTCATCCCTTTTTCAGGAGTATCAGGAGAAAGATCTGGTTTGGAGAACCCAGACCGCCATATTCAATAAACACCTAAAGGGACTGAGCGGAAAACTTTAGAATGATATATCCTTAAACCCGAATGTTTAATTTGAGTTTCAAATTTGCACACTTCTGATTTTCTTCTTAATCCTCTTTTTTTGATACACCTACTGTAAAAAAGTTACGTTTGATAACAATTACAGATACAATGCTATATCGATTGGACTAATATCCGATTGAACTAAAGTTAGCTGTTCACATGCCGGCTTTTAGAGCATTTAAATATAAATTTAATCATGTTAATATGAACTTATTAAAAAACATGTTTTACCACATTTGAGGACTATAGCCATTTTGAACGTTAGTCTTAATAAACAGCTCTGAAGACATAATATTAATTGACCCCCACAAAAGAATACCATGCTCAATGCAAAACAATAACTGTTTAATAATTATCCAAGAAACAAGTAGGAAGATGTTATACTTTTTTTCTTTTCTTCTCAATTCAATATCCCCATATATTTTTAGACAAATAAGCAAAAATAAAAAGCTATTAAAATTTTAGAGAATACTTACACATATATTTCATCTTAGTTTCTTGACTTGTAACCAAACTTGGCGTAAATAAATCCAGAGCTAGGAACTTTAGAATGGGAAACCTTTATTCCCGACTTCTTAATCCGAATATCCAATGTGGACACTTTTAATTTCTTGCTTAATCCAGTCATTTTTGGATTTAGTTCAGAAAAATCAAACGCTGGTTTTTTAAAATTAGAAAGTCCCTCCCGTTTCTGTAAATTAATCATAAATGGCGCGCAACATTTCAAATTTCCCAGCTTCTGATACGAGACTCTGATTGGTTGATTTTATTCACTTTTCAGGATACAAGTACAAGATTAGGTTAGTCTCGAGATTAAGAAAATGAGAGGATCAAGCATTGATCTCGATATCCACTAATCTAAAGTTCCCAGCTCAGTCCAATTACTAATAACTTAGAAGTTTAATCTACATTAAACACTTCAGGTCATGCTTTTAAAAATATAATGAATTGTCCCTTGATCATATTGATGCAACGAGAAAGCTTCTGACCAACTTCGAGATCCTTCAAGAGTTTTCTTATTTTTACTTCAAACACTGTATTTAGATTTACTTTAGATGTTTTGTTAACTTAATCCAAAGAATAGGAGAAACTTTATCTGTTAAAGGGACTGTACGGGTAATATCAAGTGACTGATAGGATGACAATGCACAAGTCACACCAGTATGTTTGATCAAGAATGAATTAGATATCAATATTTAAAATTTAGAAATTAAAAAATTTAATTGATTTTAAAATTGGCATCCTTGCATGGAGGGAAATTACGCAAACAGCCCCTTAAACAATAGGAAAATAATTACTGGACAAAGCTGTATCTGGATTTGCTCCGATGAAATCCTGTCAAAATAAGGCGAACTGGATCAAGTTCATTTTTCTTCTTTTAAAGAATTATTTTTAGTTGTCTATAGTGAAGAAAAAGCTTTCCTCCGAGAAAAAGGACGGTAGTAGCAGTTTCACAATTCCTCTGAAAAAGAAAATATAAAATCTTTGTCAATTGCCATGTAATTCTATCAGTTAATACGACCGTTTGTTAATTTAACCTACAAAGAAATTCTGCAAGTATTCAAAATGCACTAATTCAGCCAGGGGTGTATAAATTTAAGAAGTACACCAACANGGTAAGCAAAAAATACCATGAATACATATTTTTCTTCAAAGCCTGTACTAGAACCTCACACCGTATTACGCCCTTTGGAGTATTGAGTAACCTAATATATCTCAGATAAACAATTAAGTATAAATATTTAAAAACTAAAATTATTAAAAGAAGGAGTGCCACGAAGAGTATAAATATGTAAAAAAATGGCCAATCACTGAATATGGCAATTCCCAGATAACGTCAACATATTACTACTAAATTATTTTTAATTGTGCAGGATGTCCCAGAAAAAGGGTGTTTTTCGAAAGGAAAAAGGCTTTAGATAATTTATTGTGAAAAATAACCCCTCAAGAATTTAATGCAGCGTGTCGTAACCAAAGTTAAAATCAATTAAAAAATGCATTGCAAAGCTGCAAAACCCTTTATCACGTTTTTTTGGACCACAATTGTTAAGGACACCCTGAAGTTTTACCTGGCAACCACAGGCCGGTCAATTTCTACTCTTGCCAGTAGGTTGGACAGATCACATATATCCCAAAACCTGAACACAATATTATTTCCAGAACCATTTATGGATCTCTTTAGTTTGCCCTAAGGTCCTAGGGAATCTGTGTAAAACATTACCATTTCAGTATATAGTAAGGTCCTAAAGAATCTGTGTGAAACACAACCATTTCTGGATCTCATATGGTCCTAGGGAATCTGTGTAAAACATAACCATTTCTGGATCTCCTAAGGTCCTAAGAAATCAGTGTAAAACATAACCATTTCTGGATCTCCTAAGGTCCTGAGGAATCTGTGTAAAACATCAACCTTTCTGGATCTTTTAAGGTCCTAAGGAATCTGTGTAAAATAGAATGATTTATGGATCTTCTAAGGTCCTAAGGAATCTGTGTTAAACATAACCATTTCTGGATCTCCTAAGGTCCTGAGGAATCTGTGTAAAACATCAACCTTTCTGGATCTTTTAAGGTCCTAAGGAATCTGTGTAAAATAGAATGATTTATGGATCTTCTAAGGCCCAAAGGAATCTGTGTAAAACAGAATGATTTATGGATCTCCTAATGTCCTAAGGAATCTGTGTAAAACAGAATAATTTATGGATCTCCTAATGTCCTAAGAAATCTGTGTAAAACAGAATGATTTATGGATCTCCTAAGGTCCTAAGGAATCTGTGTAAAACAGAATGATTTATGGATCTCCTAAAGAAATCTGTGTAAAACAGAATGATTTATGGATCTCCTAAGGTCCTAAGGAATCTGTGTAAAACAGAATGATTTATGGATCTCCTAAGGTCCTAAGGAATCTGTGTAAAACAGAATGATTTATGGATCTCCTAATGTCCTAAGAAATCTGTGTAAAACATAACCATTTCTGGATCTTCTAAGGTCCTAAGGAATCTTTGTTAAACATAACCATTTATGGATCTCCTAAGGTCCTAAGGAATCTGTGTAAAACAGAATGATTTATGGATCTCCTAATGTAAATTCTACTTTATAGGTTGGAGACGATTTGATAAACACTATAGACAATTCAAGACTCAATATGAAGATGGAGAAATGAAATTCAATCTGCATTTATATTAATCTTGTTTTTGTAAATTATTAAACAGCTATTTACTTAAAAATGTTCAACAAACCTAAATGAACATTCATTGTTTTACATCCAAAACCTTGAATATATTAAAAGCCTAGATTTCATTAAAAAATATTTACTCAATACTTAGACAATTTTATATTAAACCTTACTTTTGGTTTATCTTGAAAAATGTTAATTTCTGAATACTTTTTCAGAAATGATGAGTAGTAATCATAAAGCGTAAAGTTGGACTACATTATCTCGGTGATCTGTGACCAGTGGCCGAATTTAAAGAATTTGAGCGGCGGTTTAAATTTAACCCGCGGTTTAAATATGGTTGGCTCCAATTAAAATGTGTCAAATGTTTCAAGATTTAAGCCGGCGCTTAATTTAAACCGGGTTTTGGCAGATTTAAATTCCATCTCTGGATATTTTTAAATCTTTTGTTCTCCACATTCCTGGAGTTAGATAGGTATAACCTTATAAATTGTGTAAAAAGCAATATTCATATTTGTAAAAAGATGCATTCTAAAAGACCTAAGAAAATCTTTTTAGTAGATTGAAGTAAAACTGCGTTTCTGCCAACACTTCAAATATTCTTTACATCATTGAGCGGGTTGAGGACTCTCTCTTCAAATGATATATAGGTATAAATACTGAAATGCATTTTTAAATTCAATGTGCAAATTAAAGCACACCTTGGTTTCTATAAACTTTTTTTTATAGAAAACTGAAAATATTGCTTTGGAAGCACTATTAACCTTCTTTTCAACACGGTGTCAACTGCTATGTTTAACTTGGATTTTGTCAAGACAAAAGGTGATTATTCATTATTTCTGAATAAAGGAAATAATTAAAAACTCTGTGCACTATTGAACCAAAAATATTAGTTTCCGAACTGTCTAAATTATGGATAATTGTAGTTGATTGATTAATAATTTGTCTAAATGTTATTGATCTATTGACGAGAATGCGAGCAACTGTACTGTGAATTATACTGTGCTCTCATGCAAGTGGAAACCCACCGTAATGTAAGTTTTAATATTTTTATTTTGTGAAAGAATATTGTCAATTGAAAATATTTGTAGAGATTTATATTTTTAATATGTTCTTCCATGCAAGTTTAAATTTATAAAAGTCCAACATTAAACATACAAGAGTGGGGCTATATAAATTGCATTTTTGTATTTTATTTTACATATTTTTAATCTATTTTTTTCAGTTATCCCCTGCTGGATTACTGTCAACAAAATAATTATTTACTGACGAAGTCCTTTAATCTGAATGATAAAAAGGAAAAGTTTTACCACTTCAAGTTTTGTAAACCTTATAAAAATAAATCTTTAAGCGTATCTTGGAAATATGTTGTTCATAAAATGGGAGCACTTTTAATAAACATTTATGACCCAAAACACTCTATTGTATGACACCAAAACACTCCATTGTACTTCAAAAATACAAACATTTTCTCCGTAAGGGGGCTCCCCCCGCCACAGCAAACGTCTTTGAAGTTTGCATGGGTTGCGTCACCATGTTAAACAAAACCTGATGTTTTGGTTGTGACTTTGGGGAAAAATATGATTCAAAATAGGGGGGAGGGGAGGAATATAAATCTCGGAACTAATAAACACCCCTGGCACTGGGTAAGTGGGTAAAAATGTGGCAGAAATGACTAATTGAAGATAACAATCAAAGTGAGTAATGCAAAATGACTTAAAATATGGTAAAATAAGTGATTTAGTGGCAAAATAACTAGTTTTTGATATAATGCCGAAAATAAATGTTCTCTTTTTGGTGAAAAAAATCAGGACAATAATTCCAGAGGGGGGGGACCTTACTTACTTGTTTACTTGATGTTCCCAAGAGCTCCAGGAAGGAACATGAGGTGAATTAACAAAAACAATTCAACTTCTAGTAAGAATATACTCCCCTGGCCTTACAACTACCACAATATCTCTGAATCAACCACTTCCCTAGGCTTACAGCGATCTACCCTGATCTTTTTTAATTATAATGATGTCATAAAAATCTTACTTGATAGTTTTAATATTGCAAACTTGAAGAAGAAGATCAACGAAAGCAATACGAACTGTCTCATTCACATCATGAAGGCTCCTGAAAAAAATGTGTTAATAATGAGGTGTGAGTTTTATAGTTTTCAGAATTACCTCAACCACCAAAGATTGCTAGCAAATATTTTTTAAAGTTTATTTTCTTTTACTTAATTTCTCCAAATCCGTAATTTACTCCAGAAAAGAAATATTACTAAAAACGTGATTCTTATGGAACGAATTACTTACAATATATTAGGCCACATCTAGAATTTGCTATTCCTGTTTGGACACCTTGGACCTAAGGTGATATAGAACTCTAGGAAAAGATACAGATAAGAATGGTAGGGATGGTTTCCAAAGGTGATATATAACTCTTGGAAAAGAAACAGATAAGAATGGTAGGGATGGTTTCCGGTCTGAAAGGGAGGAGCTATCAAGAAAACTTAAGGATCTAGGTCTGCAAACCATTGAAACCAGACGGAGAAGATATGATCTGATTCAAACATTTCAGATTCTCAAGGGGTTTGATAGTGTGGACTCCAGTATATGGGTTGAAACTGTTGGGAATGAACCTTCATAACAAACAAGACAATCTGCTTATCATTTGAACCTAGTTAGGAGGCAAGCAAGGACTGATGTAAGGAGCAACTTCTTTTCAAACAGGGTTATTGAACCCTGGATTAGATTGCCAACTAAATTGAAAGAGAGCAGGACTGTAAAATCATTTAAGGATGGACTGGATAACATCATTTAAATCAAAGATGCTACATAGGACCACAATGTAGCTCCTGCTATAATTCTACCTGGATTTCTAGAAGTCAACATAGAAGCATGAAGAAGTAAGTACAGAATTCCAAACCATGGAATCTTTTCACATTTACCAAGAAAAATATTTACTCATGTAAATATATATTACAGTGAGACCCCTAAAATTGAGGATTAGGTAGACATTTGGTGATGTTTTGAAGCAATTAGTTTACCAGTTGCTATAATACCAACTTATGGATCTGAGTACACTGCACATTTGCTATGTTTCATTTTCAGAACACTAATTTAAGCCATAACTTGAGTCTACATTATTTCAAATTTTATTCCAAATTGCATATAGACACATACCTTGCACAATGCACATTGAGCATTGCAAATTCTAAGTTGCACATACCTTTTGAGATGAGGAAGAACTTCTTTCAAGTAAACATGTGAATGGGATTCACCCAACATAGATTTAAAGCTCTAAATCATTTCAATCAATTAGTAAATCAATTCTACGATGATTGGCAATTAATCTTTAAATTTTAATATTAATGAAATATTCGGTTGATATCTGTAGGACCTGGAGGATCTTTCATAAAATATGATGTGTTCAGGGTGTTCATATTTGAATTGTTCTCCAACTAGTTCTACAGAGATATTCTATCTTCAATCTACTAATCCTACTAATCCTACAAATCTCTAGAAATACATCGAATCTACCATTACTCTTTTGTCCAAAATGTTTTATATAATCTGAGAGTTTACTGTAAAAACATTTTGAAGGCCTATTTTATATCTTAATTTGAGTATGATTTTATGATTGAAGAATGATTGAAAATTGTTTTAAAAACGGTTAAGTTTTATAAATGCTGAAAAGTCTGGCCGATACTTTAACTATGTTAAAATGCTAAAAAGTCTAGCTACTTCTCTTTAAATAACTGGTCTTGTCTTTCAGATCACGATGGGTTAGTTGCGTCCTTCTAACCTGCTTATTCCTGATTTCTCCAGGTCTATAAATCATCCCTGATATAAATGGTCATTTATTTCTAAAGGATGATTTATATAGATTTGTTGTGATATCCCGTAATTCCTTCATAAAAGTCACTGAACCAGGTGATTTATTACAAAATTGAGTTTGTCTAAATATCCTCGTCTCACATCTACTTCAACATAATTATGATGCTGGGCTGGCTCTGAAGTATTGTTGACTGTACCTCTGCTACCCGTCTTTGTTTACTTGTTTACTTGAAGATAAACAATCAAGTGCTAATTGAGGTGAGCCAAAGAAAGTGTTTATGCTCGCTCTTATGTTTGTAGCAAACTTGCATAGACTAGCATATCACTAAATTCATTATTTTGTATTGCTCTTAAATGTATGAAGAAAATAAAATGAAAAAGCTTGATATTTGGAAATGATAAAGATGATTTAATGATTTGTTAAAATGAGAAAGCTTGGTTGGTTAAGATGAGAATTTGAGAAAGCTTTTTAGGTGGAATTAGCTGAAATTAGAAAGCTTGATTGGTACATATAGCTTGATGAAAAGACAAAGTTTGTTTGATTAAATTATTTATTGTTTGATTGATTGATTTAAATGATGCCTGAAAGACTGCAACCCGAACTCTATAGTCTGAGTCTACAGATAACTCCCTCACCATATGTCCAACTAAATTACTGGACCACAACATAGATTTAAAATAAAAAAACCACTAATTTTAAATCCTATATTCTTTAAATTTTATATATAATTTGAAAAGATTAAGAATTTATTCATTATTAAAACCTTCAAAAATAACCCCAATCCTCCAAAAAATTTTAAAATAGGACTTTTAATTTTTAATTTTTCAAAATAATTTAAGCGGTTTAAGGTGGGTAGGAGAATTTTTAAAGGGACTGTAAGCGTAATTTCAAGTGACCCGCCTTGCAAAGTGGGCAATGTCCGATTTACAATGGTACCCTTAAAGCCGTTGTGGTTCGTTGAGTACAAAGTCTGTATGTGTTAACGTATCGAAACATGCTTGTATTCAGCTGCAAATTCATTTGTGCACTGTGTTGAGTTCAGACTGCACACTGTACGCAGCTGAATTCAAGGCAAACGGGTTTCGATAAGTTCACACACACATGACTCTGTACTCGAGGAACACAAAAAGGTTTCAAGGATACCGTTGTAAATTGGGCTTTGACTTCTTTGCATGGAGGGTTACTTGCTTCCCTTTAAATTTAAGGTTCAAGGATTTGTGTAAACGTATAAGAGGGGGGGGCAGTGCCTTACTTCAGATGTTTCTTTGACAATGAATAAATTTGTTTATGTTGTTCCTTAAAGTTTCACTCGGAAACATCAGCCAGTAAACAGACAATATACGACCAACTCCTAAAATTATTTGTATTCTGTCAACAACAAAAAAAAAATATTAACCCAAATTTATTTCTAAATTCAAATATCGTTTAATCCAATAAACAAAAATAAAAAATAATTCTTTTTAAATAAATAAAATAAAAAATACCTATAACAGCCGCAACCCTGACCTCAACCGAGTTATCCTTCAGAAGCTGAATAATCTGAAAACAAAAATATTTCTACTTTCCATCTAAAATTCATGTCTAACATTGTGTTTAAATGGTTAAAACTGGGGTATATTGTATAATCTGATGCATGACGCCAGAAATAAACCTAGTGTGGGTCTGATCTGACAATACCTGTGTATGTCGTTTCTCTAGATATAAACCTAATGTGAGTCTAATCTGACAATACCTGTGTATGTTGTTTCTCTAGAAATAAACCTAGTGTGGGTCTAATCTGACAATACCTGTGTATGTTGTTTCTCTAGAAAGGCCGATTTAACGCAGATATCCTGGGTAGAATCTTCTATAGGATACGCACTCAGAAATAGTTCTGTAGCATTCAACCGTACAGTGTGATTATTTGCCTAAATGTATATTCCAGTTGGAGGTTTTTATTTCCGGGTAAACCAAATACCCCTTATAAAAAAATTGCCATAGAAAAAGATGTATATAAAAAATAATTGTGAATCCGGTTTTGATATGGTTTGGAATAAGATCCGTATTGACCTGAAAAGGCTCCAAAGTGCTAATTAAACCCCAAACAAAACAATTAGAACAAAGTATAAGAGTACTGGTTCAGAGTTCACATAAAGTTATGTCCGACAACTTCTTAGTTCCGATGAGTCAATAGCTTGTTAAATAATGTTTTCAAAAAGGTATAATATTTTTTCAAACAATACGTTTTTTCATGTTTCAAAGTTTCGAAAAGCATCAGAAAATTCAAAACTTTTCTTTCTCAAAAATTAAAATGAAATAATTACTGAACGGACCTAATAATAAAATCATCCAAGGGTCAATATTTTCTTTCAAATCACCCCCCTCCTCCCTGCTCCTCCTACTCCTCTCTTGATAACTCATATCTTCCATTCAGTACGTTAGGTTTATTTTAAGAGATTAATTGACAAAAATGGAGAAAATAGTTTTTGCTTATACTTACTTTCCTCTCTGCACAAGCATACCGCATTCCATTATATTCTGAATAGAATCCTCTAAACTAGTCAGGAATTCTCCACCACTGTTCCCCCAGGCTTTATGGTACACTTCACCTGATAGGGATTGTAAATGTGATTTCAAGTGACATTTTATTTTTTTGACAATATCCTCGTTAATCTATCTGAAAAATTGACAATTTCTAATTAGGACTTCTCTGTAAAAGTGACTAGCACATTTGAGGCAACAGAGATAAAGAACGTACAAATTTCAACGCTTTTTAAAAGAGAAAAAAGATGATATCTTTCCAATTGTTGCTTTGCTCATAAACATTTACAGAGAATCGATATAAATCGGACTAGAGGTTTACTTTAACATCATTTTTGGATATTTTAATAGAAATGTATTGGAGTGTTGATATCTCGGCCTTGATTTCCAACGAAATATGGTTGAACTTTTTATTTTTATTTTTATCAACGAAATTATCGTTAGTAACGGTTTGCTCAAAAAAAGGGTCATTAACACTTTTTTAAATATTCCCCGGTATATCAAGAAGAAAATTTTGAAAGTTGTTAGAAAGGAATAAAAAAAAACTTGTAAAGAAATTTTCATGAGCTCCATCCGGATCCGAATTTGGATCCATTTTTTTCAGACCGGATACATGATTCCCATGCACAGATCGCATCAAAATAAAATGGATCCAAATCACTATTTTCACTCAAATTTTCTGTCATTTGGTAGGCTAGAAAACTGACTGGCACTATGATTAAGCCTGACCTACCTAACGAGTGCGACTGCTTTCCAGTCAAGGTAGGTAGAACAGTTCTCGCCTTCTTGTGTATATCTTGGATAAAAGGAACAGACAAGGAGAACAAGAATACGTTGAACTTTACTCCTTCCTAGGATAGATCAATCAATCAATCAATCAATCAGTCAATCAACCAACCAATCAACCAACCAATCAATCAAATGGTTATGCCCGATTTAGAAAGGTAACCTCAAAATATTTGTATGTTCGTCAAGTGCAGAGATACGTGTGTATATCTTATCGAACCCCTCTTGTATTCACCTGCAAATGCCAGTGTACGCAACGTACACCACGAACTGGAAATTGCAGCTGAAAACAAGCGGGTTTTGATAGGTTTACAACAAATATCTCTGTACTAGACGAACATAAGTAGGTTTTAAAGGCACCGTTGTGAATCCCGGTCATTGTACATCAGACAAATATTTCTTATTCAAATGAGGTACCGTCTGCAAAGCATGTATAATCATATGGTAGGGCGAACCGCGTCAACTCTATCTCCCTTCTATTCCTTACTCCCTGGGTAAAACCAATTGTGACGGCAGGGTTCATCCCACGTTTATTATTATTACTAGCAGACAAACAATCATTCAATAAAATAGGGGTCGACAATCCTTGCCTTAGTAGGTTAGTTGTGAAGCATGATGGGGAAAAAATTAAACCATTTCCCATAAAATTCTTTTTCCCAATAAAAATTATTCTTTTATTTTTCAAAGAGAAGGAGAAGGGTGACTGATTCCCTCCAGGGTTGGAGCCCTGCTTAAAGGTAAGTTTAGTAAGGAGAAGAATACTAACTGGAGTTGTTAAGAAGAGAGGATGTCCTACACACTGCAGCAAAATATCCTTCCTTCCTCCTTCATCCAGCCTGAATATACTTAAATCAACTGCCTAAATATATTTTAATACTGCTTGAATATACATTATACATTATTGACCTGCCAAAATATACTTTAATAAATTGCCAGAATAATAATATACTTTAATAAACTGCCAAAATACGAATACTTTAATAAACTGTCTAAATATACTTTAATAGACGGCCAGATTAAGAATATACCTCGATAAACTGCCTAAATATACTTTATATATACTTGAATATACTTTAATAAACTGTCTGAATATACTTTAATAAACTGTCAAAATATAAATAAATAAACTGCCTAAATATACTTTAATAGACTGCTTGATTATTCTTTAATAAACTGCCTAAATAGACTTTAATAAACTGCCAAAATATTAATATATATTAATAAACTGCTTGAATATACTTTAATAAACTGCCTAAATATACTTTAATAAACAACTGCATGAATTTACTTAAATAAATATACACATATGCCTAAATTTGTGTAGGATTAAATTAGGCATGACGCAAATAAAAAAGACATGAGTACTTGCTTCATGATGCAATCTATACCTAAGAGAGAAGTACTTGATGCGTGATGCAATTTATACCTAAGAGAGATAATTACTTGATGCCTGATGCAATATATACCTGAGAGAGAGAAGTACTTGATGCATGATGCAATCTATACCTGAGAGAGAGAAGCACTTGGTGAAGATTCCAAATTCGTTTCACGTCAGCTTTGGCCCCCTTCTTTCCAAGCGCCCTCAAAATATGTTTATTTAATAATACATTTATTTTGATCTGCTTTTTCCCCAGGTGCCTTTATTTTCTTGATTTATCATTTCCCCCGCTCAAGTAGAGGAAAAAAATAAATTTCAATAGAAAAAAAACAATTGCAAACTGAAGTTCAATTTTAAAAAGTAAAACCACTAAAAGTATTTCTCAGTCTTTTCAATCTTAGTACAAAAAATTCAAATATAATTTACCTTCCAATAAGATATCTGAGCAGAGGTTTGGCAACTTCATCCCTAAAAGAAAATAAAAATAGTTAATAATTTTTTTTAAATCCAGAGTTTTAATAGTAATAACTTAATGTGGAACTTAGAGAAAGCATTTCGAAAGCCGTCAAATTTTGTAAGAAAAATTTCTGTGTTTTATAAAGGAAAATATGTTTAATTTTAAAATTCGGTCGTTCAAGTGATACAGACCTCTCCTCCATCTTATTATTGTACCAAGTCTCCAGGCACTTTGCAACCACCTCTACACCCTAGATAGTAAAACATAATTCAAGAAGAACAGCTACAGAGAAAATACTTTATATAAAAAATGCGAAGGAATAGTTTGAAAATCATCAGTTAAAAAAATCAGTGAATCTTGAAGAAATATTTAAGATTTAGATTTACTCCGGATCTGATAACATTATATTTGGGTAAAATAAAAATGGTCAAAATTATCTGAAGTGGTCAAAATTATCTAAAGTGGTCAAAATTATCTAAAGTGGTCACAGTTATCTAAAGTAATCAAAATCATCTAAAGTGGTCAAAATTATCTGAAGTGGTCAAAATTATCTAAAGTGGCCAAAATTTTCCTAAGGTGGTCAAAATTATCTAAAGTTGTCAAAATTATCTGAAGTGGTCAAAATTATCTAAAATGGTCAAAATTATCTGAAGTGGTCAAAATTATCTGAAGTGGTCAAAATTATCTGAAGTGGTCAAAATTATCTACAGTGGTCAAAATTATCTGAAGTGGTCAAAATTTCCTAAGGTGGTCAAAATTATCTAAAGAGGTCAAAATTATCTGAAGTGGTCAAAATTTTCATAAGGTGGTCAAAGTTATCTGAAGTGGTCAAAATTATCTAAAGTGGTCAAAATTTTCCTAAGGTGGTCAAAATTATCTAAAGTTGTCAAAATTATCATAAGTGGTCAAAATTATCTAAAGTGGTCAAAATTATCCAAAGTGGTAAAAATTATCTAAAGTAATCAAAATTATCTGAAGTGGTCAAAAATCTTGTGGATTAGTCCTATTTACAATATTTACATCAAAGCTTAGCCTAGGGCGAAGGGAAATTATAAAAATATATTGTATACCCCAGTAATTTGTATGAATTTCGATTACAATTTTTTTTTCTCATGATTTTGGAATTCTAGCATTTATTTTCAACAACATATTTTACCTCCCGCCCTCCATTTCACCCCCCAGTAAAAAAAAAATATTTAAGTGAACTGATTGTAGACTGTGGTAATCTTGACAAATTTATGCGCAAATGACTTTTATTTATTACTAAATAATATATTTTAATCTAGTTACTTTTCATTAAATAATTAAAATTTAACCTTATGTTCCAGTTTTTGAAGATCTAATAAATGCTTGCATTGGAGGCTAACTACTCTCTTTAGACCCATCGGAGGACTCTCATATACAACCTCGAGGTCCAGGCATAGTTTACATAACTAGATAGAGTAGGTTTAAAGGGAGTGACCGACTATGTGAGGTAGTTGAACTGAGTATGCAGAGTTGTGTTTTTTTTAAATTATTGAATAACGAAAACGAAAAATAAAGTAAAAATTATTCAGTAATCCAATTGGATTGTTAGGAACATATTTCTCAAAAGCAATTTGTCAATAAATCAATGCTAAAATCGATTATTTCGTTTTCATTATTATATTTAATTTCTAATTTCTTTGAATTTATTCGCAGATTTCTTCAAATTCTTCAAATGTCGTCTTTTCAATAATAATTCTAGAAAATCTGCGAAAATCTTTGTGAATCATGAGAAACCAGAATAATGAGAGAATAGAAACTAATAATTGAACAAGATTACTTATTTTCGATGATAAGATTAATTTTTATTTTCTCAACATGTTCCTATACATGACGTTATCCTGATACAGATCCGGATCCGTTTTTCCGAAAGGATCCAGGATCCGGATCCACATTAGCAGAGGATGTTTAATTATTATTATCAACCTGCTCGTCTTTTGTCAGAACTGGAAGAGTCTCCTCTAAATCAAACTCCCCCTAAAAAATATATAAAATTGACTTCAATTGTAGTTTTTTTTACCTCTAACTTTATCTACCACCATTTCGCAATAAGCAAAACTAAAACTGGGTTCAAAATAAAGTAAGAAAACGACCCCCCCCCCTTTTCCGCAAAAGTGAAAATTCGGTGGTACATGCAAAAAAAATATTGCCATCAATATCTATTATCTTATAGATACTTTACCTATTTCATTTTAGGGCTTTCGAGAAAAGTTATATATTTGACAATATTCACCTTAGCAAGATGAGCAGTAAACATTTTTAAGAATTTATCTGGGTTTTCCAGGGACTCTTGCAGGATGCTGTGTCCACTAGAAATTAAAAATGTTCATCATGTCTTTAAATAAAAAGTTTGGTAATAAAATTAGGATAACCAAATAGATTATCAAGTACAATAGAAGGCAACAGAGAAATTAACCAATTATACACAACGTCACAAGTGTCAAATATAACAAGGAAAACAAAATTTTCTCACATTAGTTGAAATATCTATCAAGATTAAAAAAAGTGTTAAAACAGAAATTAAAGAACACGTTTAATTGCACTTATTTTACTGTAAGATAGACACTTCATTCTAAAATTATCATGATATTATTAATGTACTGTACTGAGAGTGTACATATTCTACGTTACCATCTATTGTACTAAAATCTATTTGAGAATAACTGGTCAAATTTTCATATTTTGGTGATTTTTTTGTCATTCTCAAAAATTTCTTATTGAGAGAAATAAAGACTCTTGCTTAGAAAGCACGATTTAGTTCTTTTTGGAATTAAAGATTTTCAAATTTTTGAGAAAATTTCTTCGAACCATTTGGACCGCTATTGTCTGAAATTAAAAAAACTCTGAGCATTCTCAACCTTCCCTGGGGTCATGTCAGGTCCCACAAAAAATTTGGACCGGATCAGTTCAGCGGTTTTGACGTTTAGTGGATACGAACAAACAGACAAGCAAAGTTATACATATTAACTAGGCTTTAATTCGCACCCATCTTCTTTATAATTGTGAACATGTTCTCTTTGTATACACTGTAAAACAAAAAGACGAAAATTTCGCGGATTTTTAAAAAAATATTTCTTGGATTTTCAAAGTTTTCAAAAATTGAATTTTGTTAGAGGTAAGTTTTTGAAAACTCGATCACTCATAAACCTTCCCTGGGGTCACGCGAGGTCCCACAAAAAATATGGTCCCGATCTGTTAAGTCGGTTAATGTTAAATGGATACAAGCAAACAGATAGATAAGCAAAGTATACATATAGATAAAGATAGACTTTAACCTTATAGGAATACTATCTGCGGCTTCAAGGCTAATCTCAGATGGTTCCTTCTCCTGATAATCTTGATCGGGATTTTCAGGACTAATCATTTCTTCATCCACAACTTCATTCTCCTTCCCCTGAACATCTTCTTGTTCAGAATGGCTTATATTTTTTCTTCGACTTGCTTTTTTTCCAGTAGACTTTTGCTTTGATTTGGCTCCCATTTTGAACTCTAAAATGTAATCTAATGATTTCTTTTACAAGGGTTTAGTAAATAATTATTCATAATAATATATGACAAACTTTAAGTACATTAACATCAAACATTGCTTTGGAAGTTCAGCAAAGCAAAGAGAAGTTTTTATTACTATTTTGACGGCCACGACCAAAAAATTGTGACAGCTAATAAATCGGTGAAGTTCGCTTATCATTTTTACCTCAAAATTATTTTAAAAAACGATCAAAATCCAAATTTCTCAATATTATTAAGCAAATTATTAAGAAAATAATGGGGTCTGTCATAGAGAACGATTTTTTGACCCCCCCCCCCCTAATCAATTTTAATCATGACCTAGATTTCAATTTATTTCAACAACAAATTTTTATTTTGTATTATTTCAGGGTTAGGGTAGGTTAGGACGAGTTATGGGCTGAGCGCTGCGGCTGAGACAGGCTAGTGGGCTGAGCGCTGTGACCAAGACAGACCTTCNGTATTTTCAAGTAATACTCCATGCTAAGATGGCAATGTCCGATTTACTACGGTACCCCCCCCCATCACATTTAATGTTCATTTTTCGGCGAAATTGAGTGGTTACAAATTCAATGGGTGGTCTCGACACACGTCCAGCAGTAGTTTCAGGGTCCACGGCTGAAAAAGAAAACTTTTCTTAAACTTTCATGAACATACAGATAATATTATTTGGAAGTAACACACAAGACAGGTCATCATCTACGTTCAGAATAATAAGTTCTCCTGATTAGTAATTTTCTCCAGTGTGAGACTGGGGAGTCCGCCAAATTTTCAAGCAAATAAACCTTGTTCTGTTGCCGCGGATATTTACAGACAAAAAATTATCGTCTTTGATATTAAATGTATTGGTGTCGTATCAATTGGACTAATTATCGATTGGACAAGCGTTCGTTTGGACAAACGTTCGTTTTGACTAACTTCTATTAGTTCAATTAAACTAATTTTTTCAATTTTTTTAAAAATTACCTCCCATCAAGTATTTTTACAAAATAAATAATTTGATGAATAGGAGACATTATAGTTCCAAAACTAACTTGGCCCATTCTATATATCATTGAGTGCATAAATGGGCACAAATTGAAAGACTGGGTTTTTGGGATCCCGGCCCATATCTAGAGTAAAAAATAGGTCGGATGCACAATACTATAGTAGGTCAGATGAGGGAGGGAGTCCAGAGTTCCTCTTAAATAGTAATCACCGCCACCCAAATCTGTTTTGCGGCAAGCGCGCTCCTCAATTGGTAATCTCCACCACCTCAAATAGTAATCAGCCCAAAATAATGTTGCCAAGGGGGGGGGGGCCAAAAAAATTCCCCCCCTAAACAAAAGCCCTCGTACGCCCCTGTCGAGTAGGCGAATACAAAAATCTAAACACTGTAGAGGTTTTTTGAAAATATCTTTTAAATGGAGATTGATATTAATTACTTTAGGCGCGATGAGATAATTTTAGTAAACAGGCAGCCCGACCTCTTTTGTATCTTGACGCCAATCATGAAATGCAGTCATTAAAGTGGCGAATTGGATCTAAGATTCGGCTAAAATGAACTGTGCCAATTACCAATTGAGGAGCGCGCTTGCCGCAAAACAGATTTGGGTGGCGGTGATTACTGTAATTTGAGGAACTCTGGACTCCCTCCCTCGTCAGATGCACAACTTTAGTATAGGTCGGATGCACATCAATTAAAGTAGGTCGGATATGCACAATGATATGCTATATCGTTTGCACTAATGGCCGAGGTACTTAAACTTTTGCACTAAAGTCAGCTGATCATATGGTAACTGGTTTTTAGTACGATCTAACATTAGTGCAAAATAAACAAAAAACTGGTTTTCTGTGTTCAATTGGACTAAAATTTTATTTTCCCGCCAGGAATATTTTAGTATAAATGATCAAATTAGTGCAATTGATCTGGAATATTCTAAAAATATTTGTTCAAGCGCACTAATTCTTTTTCTGTAAATATTAGTGCAATTGAACGTTACAGTGTAAATGAACAATTTCAACAAAAAATTTGTTCAAACCGACTAAATTTTTTTTTCTATAAATATTATAGTGCAATTGAACGTTAGTACAAATGAACATGTCCCAAAAAAAGTGATTAAATGGACTAATTTTTCTTTTCTGTAAATATATTAGTGCAATTGAAAATTAGTGCAAATGAACATGTCCAAAAAAAAATTGTTCAAACGGACGATAAGTTTAAAAAAAAATATCATTAGTGTAATTGAACGTTAGTGCAAATGAATATCTCCAACAAAGAATTTGTTCAAACGGACTTTTTTCTTCTAAAAATATTAGTGCAATTAAACGTTAGTGCAAATGAACATATGACCAAAATAATTATTTTTCAAATGGACTAATTTTTTTTCTGGAAATATTAGTGCAATTATATATTGTTAATTTATGGGTAATTGGTGAAATTTTAGATTTTAGTTTGATCGAACATATTTTTGTTCATTTGCACTAAAATATGTTCATTTGTACTAAAATTTAATATTTTATGGGCAAATGGTAAGATTTTAGATCTTAGTTCGATTGAACATTTTTTGTTCGTTTGCACTAAATATGTTCATTAGTATAATACTGTGGGCAAATGGTGAAATTTTAGATTTTATAGTTCGATTGAACATATTTTTGTTCATTTGCACTTATTAATATGTTCATTAATTTACTAATAATATTTTATGCGCAAATGGTGAAATTTTAGATTTTAGTTAGATTGAATATATAATTTGTTCATTGCACTAAAATATGTTCATTTGTACTAATTAATATTTTATGGGCAAATTGTGAAATTTAAGATTTTAGTTCGATTGAACATTTTTTTGTTCATTTGCACTAAATTTGTTCATTATACTAACATCGATTTTACCGGAACTTTTATAGCTTTAGTTCAATCGATTATTTTTTGTTCATATTCCATGTACAATATATGTTTAATGGAACTAATTATATAATTATAAATGAACAGAATTCCGCTAGAATTTAAAAAAATAGTTCTCCACTTGCTCGAAAAACCTTCCACGTGGTTTTTAGTTTGATTGAACAATTATAGTTGTTCAGTCGATCGCACTAAACGTTAGTCCGAATGAACGTTAGTGCGAATGTATACGTTAGTCCGATCAAGCATTATGCAAACGATACGACACCATGCACAACTTAATATAGTATGTCAGATGCACAACTTTTGTAGATCGGATTCACAACTTTTGTAAGTTGGATGAACAACTTTTGTAGGTTAAATGCACTAAAAAGTTAAAGTGTATCCGATCCCTACTGAATTGGTCAGTTGCACAGCTTTCTGAGGTTGGCTGCACTGAGGTGTTACACACAATAAATGTCTTAACAGGCACAACATATTTTTCGACGTAAGCTATACCCCCTTTCATTTTTCGCGAACAATCCCAATTTAAGACAAATGTAAAACCGCGGATTAGAAATGTTAAGATAACGTAATGTACGTATAGTTAAATATTTTTGACCACCATCTCATCCTAATTAACTCTTATTTGAATTGAAGCTTCTTTCAGAAACTTAGAGTCTTTGAATTCAATAAAAATAAGCATGACATTTAAATTGGAAAATATTTTCACCCAATAGAAAGACCTTTGCGCGCAAAATATCACATTGTCACAACATGGCGTCAGGGGTCCCCCCCTGGAAAAATGGGGGGGACGTNATAAAATAGATTATTTAGAGCAGATCATGATCCACTAATAACCAAAGAGAAAGGGATTGTATGATGTGTTCCAATTTGTTAGCACTACTCTTGGTGTTCCTTAACTTATATAAAACCCAGAGTACAGAAGTGTTTAGGTTGGTTTGGAAAGTTACAATTAAAGGGATTGTAAACAAAATTTCATGTGAACCTCCATGTAAAGATAGCAATGCCGAAAGCACAACGGTACCCTTTAAATCTTTGACTGAGTGATCAAGGTTGTTTGATTTATTGTTCTTAATCTACAAAAATACCTTTAATTGTTAAACACTTTGTTTGCAAGCTGTAATGATAGTTATGATAACAAGAAAACTCTGAAATATGAAGACGACTTTTAGAATCAAGTTAAAACTTCTAAAAGTAAAATGAAACATAACAATTGTGAAGTGTAAACAGCCCAATTTCACCAAACTAGCGGTTTATAATTGTCTAATAAAACTATTTGCATTGTAACAACATCAAATACACTTAATTATTGCTGTAATGTCGTCTTCTTATTCCATTGTTTTCTTGTCATCACTGTATAAAAGCGGGGTTTCCTAAAATTCAAAAGTAAATATTTACACCCTGCACACCGCAATTTACAAGAATTCATCACTTTTCCAGAGATGGAAAAAACCCAGCTCTCTTTACTCGTTAAACAGTCAAAGGTTTAAAGGGACCATTCCCCTCTTTACATGGATGGTCACTTTAAATTACGTTCACAGTCCAATTTAATATCAGAAGAAAATCTGAATTCACTTTACATCTATGCATTAAACAAATTCACTAAAAATTATATTTTTGTTTAGAAATGAGCTGGCGTTGCTTCAACCCTACCTTGAGAACTATATACATCCTTCTCATCCTTGTATTGTGTCAATTATTGGAAACTGGACTAAACAGGAAGGAACAATATTATTCAATAGTCATTCACAGGAAATAATTTCCTGTCTTATATTCTATTTTTTTATTCTTGTATCTTTGAAACCTGATGTTTGTATAACTTATTATGCTACAGGGTGTCCCACGAAACATGCCAGTAGCAAGACAACTTAAACGTCGTCTTTGAATTTGCTATATTCATTTGTCAAGCTAATTTTAAGAGTAAAATTCTGGAGATAATGATCACAAATTATCCTTATTCCTGGCATTTCTAAAATGTGGTCTGCCTTTTTTGTGCTTTTAATGTTACGCGAGCTATAAATAATTTCGTTCATAATTCGACAATTTTGTTTTAAATAACAAAATTTAAATCTGAAAAAAAATTTAATATCTCCGGCAATATTGACAGCACAAAAAAAGCAGGCGACATCTTGGAAAAACAAGGACTATTTTGTGGTTATGGTTTTAAGAATCATGTATTTTAAGTCAGGTTAAAGACTAAATCCATAAATTCCAAGTTCAAAGACGACTTTTAAGTCGTCTTGCTACTGTCATGTTTCGTGGGACACCCTGTATATCAAATAGTCTAATTTAGAAGCACTCTATAAAGGCACCATGGGTTAAACAGATTTAGAGTTTGTTGCAAATTATCAGTTTCTTTTATTATACCAAAATAAAGTATTCATTATCATAATTTCTAAGATTGTTTTTTTTTCTTTCTGCAATATATATTTGGGCAGAATAATATTAATAAAATTTATTAATTGTTTAAAGTAAACATTCGAACATTCGACATAGTTTCACGACAAACGGAAACATCGACTAACAAATTGTTACTTAAATGACCCCTTCTAAAATTAGTTCTTTTAGGGCCACCCTGTATAAAGGCACTATTTTAAAAATATTTAGAGTTTGTGACAAATGATCAGTTTATTTAATGATAGGAAAACTTTTAAATTACTTAATATATTGATAATAATAATACACAATATATTCCAGGATGAGGAGATAGTTGAAGAAATGATAGAAGCTAAGGTTGGTGTAAATACTATTCCATAAACTAGCTATATTTAGCTATATTTAAAAACTTATCAAGTAAATATTTTTTAACAAAACAAGGCTTTTAAAACCCGCCTCTTTTCTAGTGAGAATTTTATTTTTTAACTGTTGCTTTTCAAATTGACATTTGTCATCATAATGTGCAAAATAATCGCGGATTTGTCTTTAAAATTTGTAAAATTGTGAATCTTTAAAAGAATTAAATGTCGACATTTTTTTCAAGCAAAAATTTTGCAAGTGCTTTAGATTCAAACAGACAGACAATATACATATAGATTGATACCAAGATGACCAATAAAATGGAAATGGATCTAAATACCTTTGCAACCTTTGATATTTCAAACTTAGATTATTCTATCTATGCGTATAATAGTTTGAAATATCTAAGGTCTACGACATTGGATTATACAAAGATATAGAGATTAGAAAATTGCAGAGTTTGTGGCAAAAACTCAACTCCTTTAGATGATATTAAATGAGATTGAAACAATGGCTCTGAAGAATGGAGAAGGACTGGAGGACTGTCATCTTATAATTACTAATCTCAAGACTCCACAGGAAATATTTTTAGAATTTTTACAAATTTAAGAATTTTACAATATTCTAAAATTCAGGAAGAGTTGGAAAACAAGTTTTGTATTTCTAAAAGGTAAATAATCTATTCGTGAAAATAAAATTTAAAAAATAAACGTTGTTTTAAGAAAAAGAGAGTGCGTGTTCATCAAAATAACCGAATCTACAGTTGTAACAGGTTTAAAATTATAAACATACAAACCATTTTATGAAAATTTTGTATGCATATTTATGAATAATTAAGTCTACTCGGGTCAAAAAATACTTATGGGAAATTGTGAATGATTGTAACACTTAATAGGACATTTTCATAGTTTTTATTTTGTAAAATGTAAATCATTTTTTCTTATGTGTTGATAAATTAAAAATTATGTTTTGTCAAATATTTAATTAAATAATTTAAGCAAAATACTATATTTAAAGAAACATCTATATATACATTAATAGATCTGACAAAGTCTAGTCTTGAGATTCAGAAAACTGATGATTTAAGTATTCTTAATCTTTATTTTCCTGGTTGTGGACAAATATACAGGTCAAATATATTTTATATTTTCTTATTTTAAAAAAGTTAAACAATATAATTAGTGATTTTAAAGCATAAATTATTATTTTTAACTAACTATCTATATTTTTATATTTACCTAGAAGTATGTGGATATTTAATCATAAGCATAACAGAACTACTAGGTATTGGATTCTTATTTATTTCAATACATTTTTAAATCTTTAAGATTACATAAGTTTACAAGATGAGATTAATTAAATTGTTTGAAAATGTAGTAACAACATGTCACCACTCCCTTATTCAAAAGAACTATATGTTTTAAAACAAATATTGGTCATCCCCCTACAATATTTCATGTGTTTATTTGTATGTTAATGATTAATTTCATTTAGAAATACAAGGCTTAAAATAAAGCATCTGTGTATGCTCAAGGGGGTTCCACGAGATAGATTTGATTCCCTCCAGGTTATGTATTGAATTTTTTATTTCATAGATTTAAAGGGACTGTATTTTCAAGTAATACTCCATGCTAAGATGGCAATGTCCGATTTACTACGGTACCCTTGAAAGCTTTGTCTGATTAAACATGAATTTTTAGATATCAATGTTTGTGTTTCTTAAAGCTGTTTCTCTTCGAAAGTAACTTGCGCATTCCTTGTTTACAGGAAGCAACGGAGAAACTCACAATAATCAAAACTTTTCGAATCAGAAAAAGGACGATTTCTTCCATATTTTAGATATATATAATTAAGTTTTCAAGGGTACCATTGCAAATCAAGGCATTCCCCAATAAGTGGTAGTTCCTCCCCGGAACATTAAATGGAGAAAAAAAATTTATGGTTAAAAAACCTAACAAAAGTATTGATTAGGTTAAAGATCTTGAGGGTATTAACGTTCGTGTGGAACACTTTGATATCTACTGGTTTTACAGGTATATATATATATATATATTTATATCAAGGGTTTGTTTCATATTATCTGTCTGATTTTTAATATATAAATAATCACAAAACAAAGGAAAAGATAACACATGATCATTGTCCTTAAATTCAATTAATATAATATTTGACATTGTTAGAAGTCTCACCACTTGCTTAACGATTTACCAATATTTTCTACTAACATGTTTTTGAATGGTAAAGATATAAAAAAATTGCTAATTTAAAAATCAGTATGAAAATTGTTTGATCAGAGCAATTTTGAAAACAAGAATGATCCAAGTGAAGGCCTGCGTTTACAAATACGTGGAACAAACCACTTTCAAATATCATTAATATCACATTTTAGATTAACATGAAAATATGAATTGTTTAGGGCCTCATACAATGGAACAAATAAGAATGGAGAAGTGATACCTTCTGGACCAGATTATTCAGCTTTTTATATTTTTGCTGAACATTTTGGTCTGAGCTTTACAATGAAAGCAGAAACTCGATGTACAGTAATTAATGAAACCCACTTTACTGGAGCATGCAAACATATTGTTGGTAAACTACAAAATATAGAAGGGGGGTTTAAGAACATTTTACGTACTAGAACAGTCCTGAAAAAAGGAAGGGGGTAGGTAGTATCATATAGTAATATTATTTTTAATATCAGCTGTAAGAACTGTTTAATTGAAGTCAAAGTTGAAAACTAAATTTGCAAATTTTAACAGTCGTTGCAGAAAAATTAAAATAAAATATAATCATCAGAGATTATTATCAAAGATTCATATCAAACATGATACTCAGTCTTTTTATATTGGCATGTCAAGTTGAACACCCTATAATAGTACAGTATTTACACATACTAACAACCTAGATAATGTCAAGTTGAACACCCTATAATAGTACAGTATTTACACATACTAACAACCTAGATAATTTGTCTGTATATTAAATCAACTTTTGTGTTTTTAACAAGAAGCATTAAACAATCATACTATGTAACAGCTTTTCTGACTTTTCCTAAATATTCATAGCCCTTCCATTATAGGTCTAACACCGGGATTTTATACTAACTGTCTGAGTCCTCAGACACATCTTCCTGAATGACTGCTTTTGCTTTGACCCACTTATAGCTGTCAGATTTTGATAAATTTTAGCCTTTTGGAAAGCTTAGGAAACGGATTGCACAAGTTTTGCAAAGAAACTTTTGTAAATTATTTTCATACAACCCGTCGAAAGAAATTTGCACATTTTTAGTTTTTCTTAAATACACATCAGGTTACTTAAACTTATGTAAAATTTTTTTGCATATTTGAAATGGCATGGTCAAGGGCTTTTCAATAATATATTTTATCATTTTTTAGACATTCTTTTTTGCAATCATTTTTACTGTATATATAACTGAATTTTTCAAAAACATTTGAATTTTCACAAATTTGCGAATTTTTTGCAGATTCTAAAAGTAGAGCATAAGAGCTTTCTAATTCGAATAATGTATCATTTGTCCTATTTGGACATTAAACATGGGATTTAGGGGGGGGGGGTCAAACCGACCCCCCCCCACAGCGTATCCTCGTTTTCAAGTACCCAAGCAGAGATAGGGTTTAGAAACAAGTCAGATTTTTTTGGTCTTCGTTTAATAATCGAATGTTCCCTGCAGCTTTAAACTTATATTTTCTTTGCCAAATCATTAAATATAACATAGTTAATCCTACCCTGGATGGGCTATATTTGTCAAAAAGTATGTTGGAAAAATGATCAAAAGTATTTATTTTTATTTTTGACTAATATTAACATGTAAATGATGTGACACGTGTTATTGCATCCAGTTTTCAAGGGCTTTTCAAATATATAAATTTTTGCCCTGTAGATTAATTGATAAAAAAATGTATTAAGCATTTCTGATTTTTTTTCAACACCGACCCCCTGTTTGACTGTCCTCCACCCTACCCTATGCATTCAAAAAAATAAATTTTGCCAAAGTTTTTTAACAACAAAGTTTCAGTGTTCTAATGCAAGCCGTTTTTAAAATGGACGAAATTTTCGCGAAAATGAGATCGAAAGTACATCGAAATTTGCGAAAACATTGAACGAAATTCAATCAGTTTCGTTCGTTCATTTTCGCGAATTTCGATCAACGAAAATTTCGTCGGAAGCCCTATTTATGCATGCAGAAGTATTCAAATGCTTACAATCTTTTTCTTCGTTTTACAATAAAATAAATCCAGCTCATAGCTATCCTACAATATGCATTCAAGCCCTATCCCCATTTTATATACCTTGAATTCTTTATTAGAATCAAATATTTGCAACATTATGCATTATTAAATCATTTCAGATGATGAGATTTTTGCTTATATCCATGTTTCTGACATCTACTTCTTCTATGGACCAAATAAAACAGTTTTATTTAATAAAGTGAACATATTACCCATCTCGAACTCAGGAACGACCTTGGGTAAATGCTTTCTTTTATTAAACACAACTTAAGATTTAAATTAGTACCAAAAACGGGCTGATAATTTCAATTCTACAGTCTACAGGGTGTCCCAAAAAAACGCTCTTTAACTTGTACTACATTTTTTACATTTACGTATCGATAGACATAAATTTCTGTAAAACTGAAATTGAGTTATGACGCTTTGATGTTGCTTTTTAGGTGTTCGTAAATTTCTTATCTTTGCTTTATAAACTCAGAGTCCACGACTTAAAAATTAACCCGACTTTTAGGCCCGATCTTCGACCCAACTCTGACGACAGCTTGTGTCACGTGATTAACAGCTGCAAAATCTTCGGCTCGACTTTATTGAAAATAAAACCAACCTTGGTTGATTTTGGTGGAGAATAAGGCTCAATGTTGAGTCTTTTTCTTATCAAAACCCGGAATATAAATGAGAACTAGAGTCGTGAACCACAAACCTCTAGTCTATTGATCGAAAATGTTACTTACATTTTATAAATTATATGAGCAATTTGAATTATGATTGTAGCTGTAATAGCTTAAAGAGCATGTTTTGGGACACACTGTATGATGAATTAGTTTTATTACTGAATCATATATTTAATATTTGTTTATTTTTTAAGCTTGTCCTCTACCTCTTAAGAAGACAAACTTTTTTCAAATAATTCAACCGTTCAGCTTTGAGGTATAACATATGTTTACAGAGTATATAACAAGAAATTAATTATAACACAAAGATTGTTTAATGAAAAGGTTTGGATAATGGTGATATGTATTACTGCAGGATCAATATTCATTATGTACTCTTTTGTAGTACTTGATGAAAACCTATTATCTTATGGTAAGCATAATACAATCTACATGTAAATCTCTTCACCCATATAAAGATATTTGTATATACAATTTTACCAATAGCTGGCCAAAAAAAGGCTAAAAATTTCGAAATTATATTTAAAAAATCAATTTTCATGTTTTTTTTATTTCACGGATAACGCCGGGCTAGTTAAAATTTGTAGTAGGAATTCTGTGATCCACCTATAGTTTAATGTGATCCAACTATAGTTTAATGTGATCCAATTACAGTTTAATGTGATACAACTACAGTTTAATGTGATCCAACTACAGTTTAATGTGATCCAACTATAGTTTAATGTGATCCAACTATAATTTAATGTGATCCAACTATAGTTTAATGTGATCCAACTATAGTTTAATGTGATCCAACTATAGTTTAATGTGATCCAACTATAGTTTAATGGTGAATCACAGAACTAATTTATAATTAAATAAAAATTGATAATTATCTTCATACCCTTTATTATACATAAAGTCCTTCGTGCCACCGTTTCTCACAAAAATGTTAGCTCTAAAATGTCTCTATGCCATTTAAAACGTAAACCATTTTTTTAAATTTTATTATTGAAAATAATAGACAATTTTCTGTTTCAAAGGATTTTTAAATAATTCAATTAGATTCCAATATATCTCTGATCGATGTGGGTCTGTACTCATATGGAGCTTACTTCCAGGAACCCTTTCATGTCAAGATGAGGAAAGGTAATCTTTTTTAAAGTATTCAAAATTCATTAATGTAAAAATATACTATGAACATTGAACACAATACTTACGCTTACAGCTAAAGACGGACTAGTTTCGTTTTTTTCTTTCATTTCGTTCATTCATTGTTCGTGAATGACCCATTTCGTTTGTTTTTTTTCGATTGTTCACAAATTGATTTTGATCATTCTCAAAATTATTGTTAGTTTCTCATCTATTTCGTTCGTTTTCTCCTTAAATGATCGTTTAGTATAATCGTTTGTTTAGTAAAAATCGTCCATTAAGTAAGATCGTTCGTAAAGTAAAATTGTTCGTTCTGTAAAATAATGATAGTTTGTCTAAAGTTTTTCAATATAAATCAATTGTTGTTTTCAAGTTTTCAAGATTAAAAAAAGATAGTTTCTTGCTATTTTATTCGTTGGTTTTTCAAAATGATTGTTTTTTTTCTCTGAACAATCCAAGTTGTTTGTCCATTGTTCGTTTTTTTCTAAGGGACACCATCTTTAACGAAAAATTTTGTTCGTTCACAAAAACCATGCCTTTCTCTACTTTGCAATCTATATGAGGGCACCAACTATAGTAATATCGTAATATCTAATAAAACACCCATTAAACACTAACTGTGACTATCAATATAACCATATGCATCCCTTTCTATAAAAATTTTTTTGGGAGAGGTTTGGCGGTGTATGGATTGAAACTTAATCCACAAGGTTTGAACCAAAATTGTTATATTTTATATTATAAAACAAAATATCATGTTTAGGGAAGAGGTATATTCAATGCCTACAGTTTTTTTGGCTGCTATGGACATTTTTTATCATGGTTTCTTGGCAATGCGATCTAAGGTTATTAAATTAAAATCTCACAATTTGTATTAAAGCATAAAGGCAGTGATTTAAAGTTTACATATATACATGATTTAGATTATTAGTATTTTATAAAATCGTTTTATCATTAACTCTAGAAGTAAAATTCATAAATTTCGTTTTTTTTGTGGTTTCCAAATTACCGGAGATAAGAAGAATTTCGTTCAGATTAGATAATTTTTGTTTTATTTAAAATTTTTTAATCTGGTTCTATTGACAGTACAAAAAAACGGATTCCACATTTTTTTGAAATTCCACGACTAAGGAAATGTTGTGATTATTGTAATCATACATATAAAAGCAGGGTAACCACCTGACATAAGGAAAATCTTTTTTGCCCCCCTGGGAGCTTCTGGCGGGGAGGCAAAATTTGAACTTTAAATTCAAAACATTTGGCTTCTTGGATACTTTAAAGGTGCACATGTAGTAAATGCTGTACTTGTAAAACTGCTATCAGAACAGTATCAGTCCAGGTACAACTCGTAAACTATCAATTCAAAACAAGGACACAATCTCATAGGCTTTTATGTCAACACGGACACAAGCTCCAAACTATCAATGTCAAACCAATGGACACAATCTTGTCTTACCCTAATCAAAGTGGAGTATATTCCAACTAACTACATTTGAGGTTTCTATGTTACAAGTTAACATTAATTGACATAATTACAAGTTTTACGTCAATATATATACACAAAGTAGTTTCAACATAGATAATTAATAATGTACAATGTAATTCAGGACTACAGATATCATATTAACGGATATTTATTACAACATGGGGGGNAGTGGTTAAGTAATAAAGTTAACCATCAGTTATTTTAAATCATACAGCCTTCTCATTCACCAACAGTGATCCCATCCACATAACTTTCGCTGCAGGTTTCTTCCTGTTCCGTAGTCAGCCCCAGTCCAGCATGTTAGACCAAACATTGAGACGGGTCTAATACAGGATATTATGAGTGCAAGATACTCGATTGCAAGGCTAATCAAAATAAACTCCTTGATTAGGCTGAACTCCCTTGAGACAAATCCCTTGAGATAATTTAACAATTCTGTTCCTCTAGTACATAAGCATACCCTCCATGTTGAAGACCCTTCCCAGCATATGACTTGACCCTCTAGAAAATTCTTCCATGACACACAGTGAGTTCAGGATCTTCTGGTGTGAGGATTTCATATGGCTTTGAAAACTATTATAATCCTCCCACCATTGAAGTTCATCCAGTGTATAAAAAGCAGTGATCTGATTCTCTTTGAAACTTTCTTCAGAATAGGGATCGGCATGGCTATCTGTGCAACTCTCCTGTTAATAGTGACTCAGACGTGCTTTGTGGTTTCAACGATCATAGGAAATTGATCAAAGCAAGGAATGTATAAAGATGTGCTGTTGTAACCAGGCTATCAAGATCTGCATAGAAAATGGATCCATGGATTATAACTGGTAACAGACGTAAAAAGATATCTCTGCTAATTGAACTTCGGTTGTCAGACATAAATACTCGTATATACAGCAACCCGTCTATCTCACTAAAAGTCCCAGTTTCTTTTCTATTGGGTGCAAGTAGTCTCGGTCATTTTTCATGCTAAAGCCACTTTTCATAACTGCCAATATCTTGATCACTTTGTACTTCCTGAAGCATTTCCTTATTGTGATGGGACATATAGCTGAGAGCAGGGATGAGGTCGAGACTCTCCCTGATAAAAACAGATTTCACAGTCAAAAGCACATGTGCCTGGGGTTCTAGCTGATCATAACTCCTTTCAATGTGGTAAAACAGACAGTCATACCTGGGCAAGGGAGGGGGTGCAGAGGCACCATGATCCCTGCAAAAATGACCTCTGAGCCTCAGGATTTGCAGAATTACCTCCAGGCCCTGCAAAACTGGTCTCCCAGCCTCCGTGACATCACCAAGCCTTCCGCCATTCTGTCTCCACGCCCCACATTTTGGCTCCAAAAAAAAATATTTGGCTTTTATTTCCACCAAGAACCTTTTTTTTAAAAATTCTCAACATGATGAAATAGTTCAGAATGATACATTAACATTTTGTATTAAAATGTGAATTTTAACTGAGATTAAAGGCTCGTATTTTGTTTTTCTAAATTTCACAAATTCCTAAAATTGTGAAGAACTATTGCAGTTTTGTATAAAGATAGAGAAATTTTATATTATTTGAAAGGGGTCTCAGGAACGAATCAGCGGCAATTTACAAAACAAGGTAGTTTTTGTGAAATCCTTGTATTTGTAATTTTATCAAATGCTTTAGAAAATATTGAAGAACTATTTTTTTAAAAATTGAAACAAAGAATTAAAATAATCTAAATATCTATTACATGCTATACTAACAGGTTAGGGCAGCTTTGTGTCATATCTTGTTGTTTTAATAAGTTAAATTTAATTCTAAATAGTTTTTCTTTTAGCGNAACTCGTATATAATCATATCAATTTGCATTTTTATGATAAAATGTAATGCTAAGGAATGAAGAGTTAATAAAATCTTCAAATCATGATGCCTTCAAAAACATTAGATAGGTCGTTTATAAAGGTCGTCTTTTACTCATTCCATCTTAATGTAAACTTTTAGAGAAAAACAACTCCAGAACAATTGAATGAATTAACATGACAAAATTGTTGATTAAACGTGTCTTTACACTATGACAAAGTCTACTATGAAGAGATATATTTTGATATTTGTTTGGTTAAGCCAATAAATTTAAACAAAAAATAAAAAGAACAAGCCGAGACAAAAATGCGAGGTGTGGAGACAGAATGATGGGAGGTTTGGTGACGTCACGGAGGCTGGGAGACCAGTTTTGCAGGGCCTGGAGGTAATTCTGCAAATCCTGAGGCTCGGAGGTCATTTTTGCAAGGATCATGGCGCCTCTGCACCCCCTCCCTCCCTGGGCAAGAAGATACATTGATTCTTTGAGGATTTGTCATGTTAAACAATCCACAATAACATTAACTTCAACGTGCTCCACCAGGATTCAGCGGACAAGTTGGAATGGACAGTTTGGTGATCCTTCTTTGCAGAATTTTCAGCTAAGCATGCCTTGTGAACAAGGAAACACTCCTCTGGTCACAATACTCTATTATTCTCCGTAAAAATTGAGCCTGATTCGTCTGAGATAAACTTCTCCCATGAGATTTTGAATTTAATCTGTGTGAGGATGAGTGACTTGTCGCTCACATTACCATGCATCTTCAACCTGATTCCCTCACAGTAGGTTTTACTCGTCTCTACTGTTGTACTCCTGTCCTCCAGGAAGCTCCTCGTCCATCTCCACTCTCAGAATCTTTCCATCTGTGGCCTCAAATTGTTGCTGGCGTAGAGGTCTCTGGCAGACTTGTGGGGAGACCAGGATACTAATTTCAATCTCTGGGATGGTCATCAACTTCCAGTGACTATACGCCCCACAATATCCTCTAAACTGGGATTTTTGTGCGATGAATTAAGCACTCAAAGTTATATGGACCTGGCCCTTGGCAATGATGGTCCTGTGGATGAGGCCGGAGTCCATACTTCTGGGATTGTTGGAACCAGGAATAATGCAATTTTCAGGCAAAACATATCTTCTTAGGCTGACTGGACCTGGCAATCATAGACTCATAATCTGTGGCTGCTCTCCTTCCATTCTGGGACATTCTCCAACCCTAAACCTGCCAGAAGAACCATGATAACAACATTACTATGTGTGACATCATTGCAGAAATGGTCTTGCTCCTTCTAGTTATATTTGTTTTCTGAGACTGATGATCTTGTTCGGTTCCTGGTTTAAACTGACAGCTATTAATCTGTGGCCTTTCTTGCTCATTGGAGCTTTGTATTCACTTTCTCTGCCCTTGTTGTACTGTCCTGCTTTCCCTTTATTTCTGTCCAGTACCAAACCATCATTCTTTGCTGCTGTTTTCTGTTAATTGATCCCTTCTGGATCTTGTCATTATCTCTGCTAAAACTGTAATTCAAATCAAATAGGTATTTTTCTTGTTTGCCTAGATACTCCATATTTTCTTCCACATTTTCTGTACACTTTTCCTGTTGCTTCATTGATTTTTCTTGATTTTCATCTCTGAGTTAATATCCAGGTTTGGTCTTGTTTGATCTGAGTTGTTGATCTTTTTCCTCTTCAATTTTTCTATAATTCAGTTAGTTTCCTTTACTTCTGCTTCTGATTTATTTTTTTCTACGTCATCATTTGTGCCAACATTGTTCTCAATTATGGCAGTGAGGGTAGGTGGGTTGAAGCCTGTTGTCACAACTGTAAGACTTGCTCTGGATCCCCTCCTATCTGCTGGTTGTCTCTATAAACTTTCTGGTTGGTTCTCTGGAACCGAATTGACTTTCTTACTGTCCTTGCTGTGCTTGTCCAACTCCCCACTTGTTTGGGATACAGCTGTGGATTTTACATGCACATCTGTCGTTTCATTTGGCCTATTTGGAATTTTTTTTCTTCTTTCTTCTGCTACAACAGTTTAAGGGGTTGGATTTATATAATAGCTCTGCGTATCATTCCCATTTATCATTTTCCATATTTTCAGTTTGGACTGTCTTGATTTTCCTTTTTTCTCAGCCTTCATTCTCTTGTTGATTTTTCTCTTATGTGCTAACTTCCTTGTTTCTGCAATTTCTCTTCTTTTATCTTGTTTAATTTGTATCTCTTGCTCTTAATTTCTTTGTTCCTGCTTTGATTCGGATCTAAGTATATATTTTTCTGTGTTTATACTCAACATGTTTATTGTCATGTAACGTTCTTTCTCCTGATCTTGTTACTTTTCTTGATTCATGCTGTGTATAGCAGACATGTAATCAGCAAACTTTTGCCTCTAGCTATTTCCGCTGGATCATCATCAAATGTTATCTTCATTTTTACTTCATTTTTTAGTAGGTTTTCTACATTCTACTACTTCCTCTTTCAATTTTTCATCTTAGTTTCATATCTCATTTTCATTTATCTATTTCACGGTAATTGTGACAATAATGAGAGTGCTAGGACAAAAAAAAAACTATAGGGCCGGCCAAGCAGGTTTAGGATCAAAAGCTAAACTAGTTAATGGAAGAAGCCTAGGTTTCACTAAACTTCTTCTAATAAATTAGTAAAAAAATTCTCTATAGATTGACCCCGAGAAGTAAAATATATTCAATGACCTTTTCAAATGACGAGTTCATGATGTACAAGGGGTTGTACAATTTTCAACTTTACAGTCTGCATTAGCAATCTATATTCTTGTATATCTATGCATGAGGGTTAAACTGGATCTAAATTATTAACACCAACAAATTACACTAGGGCAAATCTAATGGCTGCCGAGTATGAACCTGAGATTTCTTCAGTACAACAATTCCTTACTAAGTCAAACAGAAAGGTAAGAAGGTTCATAAGATAAATATCAAACAAACAAAGGACTTGTATAAAAATTTAATTAAGTTTGTCTAAGAAATGTTTTTATGTCCTGAGATGGGAATTTATGACTAGTAGGATCATCCAATTTGTGCTGTTAATGAATTTTCATCAACCTTAAAGGAGCAGTTTCCTCTCCTATCCTATTTTGTATATACATGAACAAATTGATATCAAGATTAAGATTTTATGGCAGTTGATGTCAACTTGGAGGAGTTTTCATGGGCATATTTTTAAATTATATTGCTAGCTCCTAGTAGAAACGGTTTACAAAATATGGTGAAGATATGTGAACAATTGCAAACTTATTTTCAATGAAATTTAGTACTAACAATGTAGTTGAAAAGTCTAAGACTAAGTGTATAATCTTTACAAAATATCCAATCGATACTGCAAACATTTTGCCCATTTATCTCAATGATGTACCATTGCCATATGTTGATTATGTAAAACATCTTGGATGCATGCTACAAACAGATAATTCATTTACTCGTGATATAAATCAGAAACGTGGACAGTTTATTGCTAAAATTCATTCCCTGAATCAAGAATTTTACTTTGCAGATTCAACAGTTTTGATTAAATTATATAACCTTTATGCAACGAGTATTTATGGATCCAATTTGAATTTATTTTTGAATGATGTGTTCAGAATTTATTCGTCTTGGAACACTGCAGTTAGAATTGTGTTTAAATTACCAAACACTTGTAATAGATATTTAATCGAACCACTGTCACAGTCCTCTCATTTAATGACCATGCTCTGCAGTAGATTTGTTTCATTCATTTCTTCATTAGAAAATTCTTCAAAAATTTGTATCAGACTTTTGATAAATCTTTTAAAATTTGATCAAAGGTCAGTAACTGCAAAAAATCTGAGAAATATTGCAGACAAATGCAACAAAGATTTGAATATTATCGACAAACGTATTGTAAAAAATTGTATGATATTTCAAGAAATACCCTTGGAAGAAGAATGGAGGATTCCATTTTTAAATGAACTAATTTCTGCAAAAAACAATAAGATTGTTATCAATGGAGTTGACTAAGCTGAGCTTGACAATATTATTAATTTTGATTTCTGTTAAATTGTACCAATTATTTAAATTGTATAAGTTTACGAAATAAATATTAAATAAGATATTCCAGAGGATTTCATTAATACATGAAATATCTATCCCATTATACAATTTGCATTTATCAGGCCCTTTTGGCCCTATTACATTCATTGGAAATGAATATTGGGATACAGGGAATATGCCATGATATGTTTTAGCTGTTTGTGGACGCGGCTTATTCAACATGGGTGGAGAAATTCCACACTGGTTTTATCCAGGGGTTAAAGTAAACTATCAATATTGACAATCAATGTACTCTGTCAAGTGAACCTCAGTTTTCTAACACTACAAAAATAGTTTTTTTCTAATTTTTTTAGATTTTTTTTCACCAATTGAAACACTTTACTATGATATCCCCTATAAAAGGGCACAACTACTTATATAGGCAAAACAAACAAATTTTATTCCCTACAAAGGAATTGAGTTTTTGTCACAAACTCCGATTTTATAATACTTGTATCTTTGCAATCCTATTTCGTAGACGTTAGATATTTCAAACTATGAATTCTGTTAGATCAAATAGCTTTAGTTTGAAATATCAATGGTTTCCACCATTAGGTTTCCAAGATATAAGGATTAGAAAATTTGAGTTTGTGGCAAAAACTCAATTCCTTTGGTCTACAATTTTTGTTTAGTAAAATTGGTCTTGTGACTTGCCTTTATTAAAGCATAATGCCTTGATAAGTAGTCATAAATAATAAGAATTGATTTGAAATTTATAAAAACATTTATTAGTAAAATAACTTGTTTCTATTTAGATACCAAGGAAGGCATGTGATCAGGAAGTATGAATAATTACTAATTCAAATATCAGATTTTTTGAGCTCTGCTAAAGGCTTTTATTTTTTTGAAGTAGTGAAAGTGCAGATGCCATTACTGAAAATGGAGGATGTGTTGTAGTTGACATGAACACAATGAGACACTTGATAATTCAACAGCAGCTCAAAAAAGGAAAGGTAGATGATAGATATGCTATGGGGTAATAGCACAATTGCAGGGTTGGAGCGATAGTCTTAGACAAAACTAACAAAAAAGGTGTTAATAAAAATTTCTCTTTAAGAATTTTTGTTTTGATTTTGTTTATAAAGAATTTATGCAATGCATTCAATTAATTGACTTTTGCAGTGTAAAATGTATAAGAAACATTATTTCATAGAAACATATCTGTTGCATAAAAGGAAGTGGCAGGAACAATACCATAGCATAACTTGTGTTACGTAGCCAAAACATAAGGAAAAATCTAAATAATAAAAGGTGAAAATTGTAAAATGTTTTGATGGCAATCCTTGAATTGTTTTTTTTATTTAAAAAAAAAATTATTTTAAAAGTAGCAGAAAAATCTAGCAGCCAAAATTGGAACTAATTCAAATGACACCAAAATCTTTACAAATCACTGAATCTGCTGCTAAATGACTCTGTTCACAAAAGATAATTTTCAAAGCTCAATGGTGGTAATCGAAAAACAGTGCAAACAAGCACCTAACCAGACCCATAGGGTTTGGTTAATATGACCAAGAATTTGAAATTAAAGATTAGTGTTGGTGCACAGGGTGTCCCAATAAACATTGGAATTCAGTGACAAATACAGGATATTCTTTGCTAAAAATTAGAATTGTAATACCGGATTTCAAATGCCATATTCTTATTATGCCTCATAGAGTTTATTTTATTAGAACAATGAAGATTCGATATGTTAACAGTTTTAATTTTCTTGTTTTACTATGTACAATGAATTACCTATGGATAACAGCTTGCTCAGTAATTATTTTAAACAAAGATATCAAAATTGTCACTGAATTTCCATAATTATTGGGACATTATTTTACATAAGTACATAATGATGTTCAGGATACGATATTGCATTAAATTAAATTAAATTTTTTTGCATGTTAAATAGCTTGAATGTAAGTACATTCTCCTTATATATTGAAGATAAACTTTTAAATTCTGGCATTGATTGGAAAATGTTTAAATTACAATATCTTGACATTATGCATGTTAGGTAAATTTGAAACTTTTAAAAAACATTTTTGAAACCTAAAATTAGGTACCGTTTAGTAATAAAATGTTTCTTTAAATCATGGGCCATAGACGCTGACTGTATAGGCATACATGACGTATGGGCAGACTATGTTACCTATATACCCTCATCATGGAGTGATAATGGAGACTCTTGTGTTGTGGATACCGTCCACTGAGCCTAGGGCTATGATAAAAATTTGAAAAATAATATCAGTAAAGCCAGGGTTCAAACAGTCCTAGAACTGTGACTTTATTGCTAACTGCACCATGAAATTTCACCATTGGGTACATCTTGCTTGGTCTTTGGTCAAGAGGAAGTGAACAGAAGGCCTGATCCAATCAATGTCCAGGCTATTCAGGAATATACCCAGCCAGCACACAATTCATAAACTCTAGTACTCACTACACATCCTGGTCCAAGAAGACAATTTCAATAGATAAATACATTCTACTTAAGCAAAGAATACTGCATGTGCACACTCTGTATTTTGTAAGGGTAATATTTTTAGCGTAAAAATGATGAATTTTAGAATAAAACTTAGCTTTTTGAGTAGGAAGAAACTTTCTTTTACTATTGTTATTGTTTTTTCCTGTAAAATTCCCTTTTTTCAATCTCCACAGAATCAGGAGAAGATATTTTCAAAGGTAAGGGCTAGGCAAATTTTTGTTAACAAACAGCAAAACTAATTTTTAAATCGATTTGCCAATCAACAAAATAAAAACATCATTTGTTAAGGAGTCTCACATATATTTTATATTTTAAATGTTAATTCCATAGTTCAAAAGAGAAAACATTGTCTATCTAAACACATCACTTCGTTAATTCCTTTTTTTCCTGAGTAATATACTTGCAACCTAAATATCTCTTCTAAAGTTCAAACTTTTGGAAACAACCTTAAGAAAGTTATGGTGCAAATAATCTACATGTCTGCTGAAATGTATGTTAAAGTTTAACAAACATAAAAAACTGTTTATTATGTATCTTTTGCACCTTACCATGAACCAAACTTTAGTAACCACCCTAAGGTAGGACTTAGTGTATTCAGGTCATGAAGTGTATCAGAATATTGGTTCAATCACAAGACAAAAGTACAGAATATCCTACTAAAGGCCTCTGGCCATGTGCTCTCATTCTTTAGTTCATCATCGGAGAACTACACTGATGACTCCAGTAACCAGATTTAAAAGACTCAGATCCAAGATTCTTGGATATTAATCTGTAGTCTGAGATCCATCAGAACTTAGAATACCAGATTCAGATCCAGACCTAAAGATCAAATTCAGATTGCCGCCATACAAATTCCTTGAATTATGTTCAGACAAAATAACCATTAAACAAAAAGATTGACATTTTATCTGAATTAATCTTACAAATCATATTACTTTCATCTTATTATCTAGATAACATTGTCCCTGTCTACTACTCATGGTGGACTAGGTGTTGTTGTTCCTAAAACACATGAAGGTTGGATGTATAGAAGAAACGGAGACTATCTTGAAAGTATTCAGAGGTTTATTACTAGACTCAGGGATTCAGGTGGATGTTTATTTATGTGATTGTTGTTTGGTATTAAATTTGGGATCGTAGATTTGGGATTGTGATTCAATGAATATTAGGATGATGAAAAGAGTTGGTTTATTTGGAGTAAGAGTAACAGAGATGATTCAGCAATATATACATGTTTTTCAGGAACCACTGTATTGGAAGAGAACAAGCAAAATATTGAAGTTTAGAATAAAGATACAGATAGAATAGAATAAGTGTGTGTATATAAAACTATAAGAGAATAAGTGATTTAGTGAAAAATTTTGGAAGGAATGAACAGAATATTGTTAAGTTAAAATAAGAGAGAGAGAAAAAAGTGTATAAAAAATCGTCATTAGAATCATTCAATAAATTGTGTCAATCTCCCCTTATTTAAAAAAGAAAAATTAAAAAGACTAAAAATCTTATTTAAGAATTCTTAATAAAATAATGACGTCTTCTGGATGAGAATGTGTCTACAGGGCAACGGTTAATATATACGTCAAATAAATTGTTCTAAAAAGAATATTATAAAAAAGACTACATGATTAAAAAACATATAAAAAAGTCCAAATTCAATAGTTAAAGATGAAGTTCATCATTTTTGAAGTTTTGCTTTTTAAACTCTGAAAATCTATGAAAATTCATAAATATAATATGTAAATAAAAGTTGAATTCAACATAAATCTAAATTTTCTGGGCGTCATTTACGAAAGATATATTACGACATGGGATTAACAAATGTTAAATTCAAGCTTTAATAATCAATAAAGGGTTGAGATGGCTGGAAAATATTAAGAATATAATTGGTTAATTTATAATGGAATGTTGTAAGACGGGAATGAAATAAATAGTGTTGAAAAGAGTGAAAAAATGTGATAAGATGTAATGAATTGATTTTAAAAGGATAAAATTGATTTTAATTGGATAAAATGGAATTGAATTGGATAAAATGGAATTGAATTGGATAAAATTGATTTGAATTGGATAAAATAGAATTGAATTAGATTGAAAATAGTTTGATGAGAACAGTTAAGTTTAAGATGAAATGGAGAGTGATTGAATGAAGTCTAAAGTAATTGAATAAAGTTTAAATTAAATGAATTGAATTGAATGGAATAAAAAATCTACTTCAAATTCAATGTACTTATATTATTTTTCTGTTTTAAAAATTGAAACAATATTTCTACCCTGTTCATCATAATCCTTTTAAAAATGTATATTTTTTTAATTATTTTTTTGGTGATTTTTGAAATTTTCATCCTTAATCTGTTACCACTCTATTCTACTGTAATAAATCTTTACCTTGTTGAAATGTTTGTTTGCATTGTTAAAGAAATATAATGAATCAGTTTTCAAGGGGGGGGCAAAACCAAAGATGGGGGGAACTATGTAAGAAACACAACAAGATTAGATTATGAATATAGTAGAATAGAGTGGTAACAGATATAGGAAAAATATATAAAATATTAATCACCTACTTTCTTAGGATTGATAATACAGATAGACAGAGTTCACTATGGAAGAGCTCTGAAGATAGCTGAAGAGGAATCTGAACCTGAACCACTTTATATGGAGAGCTTTTATCTTGTATTCTTTATCTACTTGGGTGGTATACTGGTAGCTTCTCTTACTTTTATCTATGAAATTTGGATTAACCATAAGAAAAGAAAATCTGTGATTAAAAGAATGAAAAAAACATGTTCTCAACTCTCACAATAAATAAGCATATGAAATACGATAAATTGAGTTCTTTTGAAAAATTATATTAAAAATTCTATTTGGACTTGATATCATTTAGAAAATTCAATTATTCCCTTGTCATTATATTCACATGGACCATACATGAAAAACACAATTAAAAAGTTTGCAAAAAAGGTAAATATATACATAATGTTGTACCTAACTCTTATCTGTCTTAATTCAACCTACCCCCTTACATTTTTTTGTGCTAGCATTTTATTACAATATTTCACTCTATATATAATAGTGAAAACCAGAAAACTCTAGAAAAGGAAGAAATTGAAAATGGTAGTATATAATTGTTCTCACTGTTTTAGTAATCTGGATTTGCATTTTATACCTACAGAAGTCAGTTTTGTAAATATCTATCTAAAAACCTACTAGTTGAAGGGGGAGGGAAATAATAAATTTCGGCCAGGATGTTTTATTTTTCTCCACTTTTTTTCAGACTTTTTAAAAATTCTTTTCAACCCTCCTTTTGGTTGGGTTAAAAATAATGTTTAAAAAGTCTTGAAAAATTAAAAAACATGGTCAAAATATTTTATTTCATCCAGAAAAGCCTTTTTTTGTGACATTAATTCAGATGTTGATTTTTAAAGTAGAACTTTTTTCTTATTATTCTCATCCTCATTTATCCTGAATTTTTTAACTAAACTTACAAAATCTTTTGCTAAAAATACGCAACTTAATTAATAAAATTTACATATTCAGAAGTTTCTAATACTTGAACGTGTTTATACTGGCTCTTCAAAAATTAATATTTTTGGAGACTTAAAGACTTTAGAAACCATAAAAATAAAATCTCCACCTTTTTATGAGAAAGCTTAAGAGTAGGTTTAGAGATTTCTTTCCCTGTTCACTGGAGTTGGATAGAAAAATGCCATTTGAAGAAGACAGGATAAAGGTTTTTCTGCATCAATGTTTTGAAATTAGGCATTTGATCTATTCCCATTTTTACTATATAGAATATGTGCATTTCCAATTGTTGTGCGCACTCCATATAAAGCCTATGTGAATGTGTATACCTGGATCCTGAGTATAGCTTCAGTAAGACCCAAACCAACTACGGACGTTGATGTAGACATACTTTGATTTCTTTTCTGAATAGATGACACTCGTGTAAGTATTTATATGAAATCATTTTGAAAATTGTTCTTATCAATGTTATATTATTGCTATAATACTACAATCTATTTCAGTTAAACCACACTCTCTTCTCCCCCTTTATCTTTTGTTAAACTGTTAGAAAATCTATCAACACCATCTAAATAAAGAGTCATAGAAGAATAGAGAGAAATTGAAACCAGTCATCCAAAGAATATCAATATAGTCAACATTGTGCACTACTTATAGCATGCTGAATTCTGTTTGTAAGGGGAAATATAGTAAATCTCTCCAACAGTATCCAAGACTGCAATCTATCATCAAAGCATTAGATGTAGATGTGAAAGAAGTCCATATTGGCTTGTTCGGAAAGCCTTGGTTATTATCGCCTATTTCGGACACACTAAGGTCATGACCTTGGTTCTGGAAAAAATCTGTTTTGGACAAGAAGGAGTTTATGTGGTTCATGAACGTGCCAAACAAAGATTGGACCAACAAAGTTCTAGGTTATATTCAATATAATCAATATTATGGTTTAAATTCATAATTTCCATTTTGTTTTTTTTTTGGAACCTTAACCTAACTCAAGTTCAGAAATTGACTGGGCAGCTATTGTCAAAATCTATGTGGAACAGATTGAATATAGATATACTGGCCGTGTTTTTTGGACAGGAAAGTTTTGACATCAAATAAACAGTGAACAATTTTGCCCAAGAATTTCAACTTCTGATAATTGATTAAATTTTTGTTGTTCTTGCAAAATAGCAAAGAATTTCAATTCTGACCTGGAAGAGGATTAAACTTTCCATTCATTCAGAAAATCATCAGCTACTGCTGCTGAAGACAATGGAGCCTCGGCTCAACAATTAACTAGTTCCTATGGCTGAAAATCTTTTTATATGTCTCAAAAATATATTTCAACTAGTAATTGTGCAGTGATGAATATGGCTTCTCTATTTAGTAACCCAGCTGCATCTACAGTTGAGAACTCTATAAATGTCAAAATTGTATCTTCTGAAACTACAGAGAATCCTGCTGATACTGAACTGGAGACATCTCTTGAATCTAAACCATCAGCATGGGAAGGCCGGATCTTCGGTTCAGCAAGAATCTGCCTTTTTTGGCATAGGAGGATCTTGCAAGATAACAAAAAATGATAATGATGTCATGATTCACTCCTTTAATGGAACCATTTATCTTTGAAAAATAACATTACTGAATCTATGTTAATTAGTATCTATATGACCTGATTGTGATAAAGTTTGCTATAGTAGTGAACCGAAAACTAGTTTTTCCAATTTTCAAAGCTTTGGGTCAGATGTTCAATAAAGAAGTAAGCAGAAAATATTTTGTTCCAACTTTAAAACTTCGGGAAAGATTTAAACTGAGGTAGAAAATTAAATATTTCAAAGGAAAAATCTGAAAGAAATGTAATCTAAGGGTAGTGAGGCAATGATCGAAAATTAAATATACAAATTTTCTAAACTCCAGGAAAATGGAAACCCTCACTACCCACACTACCCTCATTACCCTCTACCCTCACTGCCCTCACTACCCTTACTACCATCACTACCCTCACTACCTTCACTATCCTCACTAGGCAATTCTGAGTTCTGACCTGTTAAGAATAAAAAAGTTTTCTTCAATTTATTGGATTAAAAAAACAAAAAGTTATAAGTAAAGATAAAAATAATTTTTTTTATCTACACAAAGCTAGGTGGAGACACTTTCCTTAAGATTTATAATTAAATTTCTTTTCTCGTTGTTTTTCCAAATTTCATAGATAAAGGAAAGAGAAGCTACCAGTATGCCACCCAAGTAGATAAAGAATACAAGATAAAAGCTCTCCATATAAAGTGGTTCAGGTTCAGATTCCCCTTCAGCTATCCTCAGAGCTCTTCCCAAGTGCACTCTTTCTATCTGTAACATCAACCCTAAAAATGAGGGGTAAATATTTTATGTTTATATAGAAAGCAAGAGAATCTTTACTTTAATGTCTAATTGCAGGTAGGAATGTTTCTATTCCATTTGGACAGTATAAAATTCGTCTTGTTTTACCCAGTAATTTTCTTATCATAATTTGTACTTTTTACTGTCATCAGTCTCCCCCTAACCCTGCTAGCAACAACACATCTTTGTGACTCTCTCTCTCCTAGCCTGATACCAGCTGACCCAGCTAGCTGTTGCTATGGTGGGGAGTTTAAAACATAAACAATGAGAATTACACATAAACTCTTGGAGTTGTATAGGGAAGGAGTGGATCTAGGACTGGATATCAAGCTTAACCTGTGGACTAAAGATGGAGAAGAATTTTTCTCATTTTCTAGAGTTTCTCAACCCGTCAACAGGAGAAGGAGAAGAAACAGAGGTGTGATGTCAACTCTGAAGGAAGTGAGACTACCCCAGCAAGAATTGCAGTCTCCCCTGAAGGAAGTGCGGTCCCCTCTGGAGGAAGTGCAGTCACCCCTGAAGGAAGTGTGGTCCCCCCTGAAGGAAGTGCGGTCTCCCCTGAAGAAAGTGCAGTCCCCCCTGAAGGAAGTGCGTCCCCTCTGAAGGAAGTGCGTCCCCTCTGAAGGAAGTGCGGTCCCCCCTTAAGGAAGTTCGGTCCCCTCTGAAGGAAGTGCGGTCCCCCCTGAAGGAAGCTAGACAACCCTTGCGGGATGTGTCAAAGTCCCCATGTCAGGAAATCGGGCGCCCATGGAAGATTGTAAGGAACCCCGTGAATGAAGCTAGACCTCCTCTACTAGAAGATAGGAAAGCCAAGATGAAAAGAGCTAGATCTTCATCCATCACTTCCTCCCCTATTCCCCAGCTTGATTGGATATGTACACCATCAACACCTAACACCAATCTTCTTTCCAGGCCCAAGGTTACTAAGGAATCTGATCCTGAGTCAGCGCCTGAACCTGAACTTGATCCTGAGTCTGCGCCTGAACCTGAACCTGAACCTGAACCTGAGACTGAGTCTGTGCCTGAACCAGAACCTGATTCTGAGTCTGCCCCTGAACCTGAACCTGAGACTGAGTCTGCGCCTGAACCTGAACTTGAGACTGAAGCTGGTCCAGAATCTGAAACTGAACTTGAAATCGAACTAAAACCACCTGTGAACATTGCAAACCCAGTTTTTACTTTCTGTGAAGAAAAAGATTGTACAGTTTGCCCAGTTAGACACAACACAATTAGAGCATATGAAAAAGTAGACAACCAAATTAAATATCAGTTGGTTAATAACTACAGGAAGTTCTGTTGTTTCTCAGCAATGGATGACGGGGGAGTCAGCTGCGAAATATTGCACTGGCATTCAAAGTCTAATCTGTGTCTATCATATGAATCATTTATATAGAAAATAAATAATGTAGTTTTTCCATTTAAGAAAGTTGTAAACTTGTAATACAATTGTAATATCTTAATCTCTGCTACAAAATAAATATTTAGATCTAAAAAAAGTTTATAAAAAAATTAATATTAGATAAATCAAATAGGTTTGAAATAAGTCAGTATTAAATGAGAAAAATGTAAAGCAATATTGGAAAGAAATCAAAATTGTCTAATGACATAAACCTGTATCCTTTAGCGTAGTAATAAACCTCTGAATGGTTTCTAGAAAATCTCCATTTCTCTTATACATCCAACCTTGATTAGTCAAAGGTACAATAATACCCAATCCACCATGCCCAGTAGACAATGATAAAGTTATCTGAATAAGTTATATATTATTATATGAATGGATAGTACAGAAAATTGTGACACAGTATATACTTGATAAATGAAAATATCTAGAACTTGGAGTTTTCTTAAAATGCATTTTTTTAATATATGACCATCCCTGGTGTTACAACAAAATATTCAAGGCTTATAGCTTAAGAACTCATTACAGTTGATAAAAGTCATCTTAAAAATTGGTTTTTAAATTCCATTTTAATTGTCTAAAGCAGATTATTAAAAAATATAAAATCAATATTCAACAAATGAAAACAAAAGTAGATTTTAAGCTATTGAAAGGGAAAGCCACAAACTTAAATTTTCTAATTCCTATAAACTTGCAATCAAGTATCATAAAACTTTGATTTTTCAAACTTAAATTATATTAGATAAGGTTTCCATTAACAGGTTGCAAAAATTTGAGATTGTGACAAGCATACCAAAAATGTAAACAGATAATAAGCAAAACACCTTGGACAAAGTCAGTGCTTTGGATAACTTGTAAAAGATTCTGCATAAAAGATCCTGATTTTGGATATTCTTATTATTGCAGAATCAGAGGTACTTGCCTTTCCAGTTTTCAGCTGCTGTTGAAATATCAAGTGCTTCATTGTGTTCATATCAACAATAACACATCCTCCATTTTTGGTAATGGTATCTGCTCCTTCTCCACTAAGACCAAATAATATGTACGTGATTTTAACTGTATTCTTGATGAACTGTGCTGGAAAGAAATGGTATATTTGGATAACCCATGTATTGAATTTACATACACTTATCATGATCAATAGTAAACATTGAAAAATGTTTGCACTGTCAAGTATGACTATGTTTAAAAACTTTATACAAAACATTGATATTGATATAAATCATTTTCCAGAGGGGGGGAAATGATTGAATTATTACCCCCTCCCCCCCCAGGATTCTTTTACAGGGAATTGTCAATTGTATGTTAATGACCAGCTGGGGAGGTGGAAGGTAGAATTTGTGAAACCAAGATTTGGATTTTTATAATAAGAAAACGTGTTATTTATCTAAAAGGATATTCCTATTTGTCATTAGAAAATTTAGATGAGAAGGTCTTCTACATAGATTAATTAAAAATAACAGATAGTACACAAATATCGTCTTTTCAACATTTAGGGGTTTTTTTGTTCACAATAACCCTGAAGCAAGAAACCCAAAGGAATTACGCGCACATGCTGCGTTGAACGACAAGACAGACTGGTGCTACGATACTTTAAATCAAAAAAGGTTTTTATCCAAGACAAATGCAAAATTGTACAAAACTATTTTAATAATATTACAATATTCCAATATTTTTCATTTTGGGATTCTTGGGACCCTCCCCGCCTGGGGGGGGGGGAGTTATAATAACAATGTATAAATAACTTTTCTTACTTCCGGATCACATGTCGTCCTTGATATCTAAATTTAGAAAAATTAATCAGTTATATAATTAATCAATTTAAAAGCCAATAATTTCTAAACCCCAAATTCTAGAATTTTCGAATCGGATTACTTCAAGCTGTCAAGAAATCCCTTGTGAGATGCTTCCACATACTTTTGATAGCCTACATCAATGTACATCTGGAAAAAAGTAGAAAAAACATTATTTAAAAACATTATTTAAAAACTAAGTTTTCCCTTTTTAAACCAAACTAAGTACATTCCCATGGTTCTACTTAGTTCCCCAAGCAAATTTTAGGGAATATCGATCCAGGGCTTTGTGAATTATGATCAGGCAAACAGACAGACAGACAAACAGAGATGACTACTTTATATAATACCCACACTTAAACGATTTTACCGGAAAAATAAGAACATTTCCGTGATTCTCCTGAGGTTCTCAATCAAAATTTGAGGCAAATCGGTCGAGGGGTTCATGAGTCATGATCGGACAAACAAACAAACACACAAAGAGAGATTAAAACTTTTATATAAATAGAAATATATAAAGGACTTCCCATTAGTTTCATCACGCTGCCTAATGCAAATGTAGGGTGTAAAAAAATAAATTATTATAATTTGATATAAATTGGTGAGTTATGGACCTAAACAAGATGGAATAAAAATTGAAGAAAACGAACTCAGCTCATCTAACCCTGATTGGTCCAAGGTGAATTTTTACCTTTCTTTTTGACTGAGTAATGAATTGTTGTACCGAAGATATCTCAGGTTCGTGCTCGGCAGCCATTAGTTTTGCCCTAGTAGATTTATAGCTATATTGCTAATAGCAACTGATGGCAAGAGCAAATTTATTGTTGATTAATCTAAATCCATTTAACCCCCCCCCCCCCAATCTATATATTCTGCACATTTTTACCTGGATTTGTTTTTTATCATGAATACATATAAAATTAAGAAACTATTAAAAAAATTATAAATATTTTTATTCTTACCATATTCGCATATTCTACATTTAATGCCCTAGCGTTGATTTGTTATATATAGATTATAGATACCAGTGTTTGTGAATTGATATAAAAAACTACAATGTCTTGCAAGATATTTTTTTAACAAAACAATTAAATGTTGGACTAAATTCAGTGGAAAGGTAAATTTTTTAGTATGCTATGGATTCAGAAGCAGTGAGTAAGAAATAGATCAAAATCTTTAAAATATCATCAACCTTAGATCACATTGCCAAGAAACCATTATAAAAAATGTCCACAACAGCCAAAAAAACTGCAAGCACTGAATAAATCGCTTTCCTATAATATTAAGAACTGTTAGGATTGTTATCTAAACACGTTATCTGAAACAAAAAAAAATCGTCCTACCTTTGTGAATGAAACGACAAATAAAATAATAAAAACTTCTATTTAGTTTTTTTATTTAAAAAAGATTTTGTCTAAAACTGATTCTTTCGTTACGGGTCAGTTCATTGTTCAGAACAGTAAAAGATGAAAGGTACAAAAAATGAAATTGTTCTATTGAATCCCAAATCTTTCTCTCGGCACACATACACCCCTATGTGAAGTGTGGAATGTGTAGAGTACTACGAAAGAAAATACAGATATTTGAGAACAAGTTTAGATATTGATGATGAAGTTCATATTTATTGAAGAATATTCAATTTCCTGTCTTCTTTGTAAAATAAATGCTTATTCAAAATGCCTACCATTTCTCATCTTGACATGAAAGGGTTCCTGGAAGTAAGCTCCAAATGAATACAAACCCACATCAATTAGAGATATATTAGAATCTAAATGATTTTAAAAAACCCCAATCAATATAAAAGAATTCTGAAATTTTTTTTCTTCTTTTATTTGACTGATATTAATTGATGCAAAATGATTTCCGTCAAAGAATTATTTAAAAGCTAAAGTAAGGAAACAGCGGCATGAAATACATCTTCATATTTTCCAAGATTTATTTCATTTCTGAAAGTTAAGAACTTTTGAATAAATTGTTGGTGAGGATTTCAGAAGGATTACAGAAAAGCTATTTCAGATTTTAATTAAAGTTAGAATTGTATTATGCTTACCATAAGATAATAGGTTTTCATCAAGTACTACTAAAGAAAACATAATCAATATTGATCCTGCAGTAATACATATCACCATTATCCAAACCTTTACATTAAACAATCTTTATGTTACTCATTAAAATCTTGTCATATTCTATAAATATGAGTTGTACCTCAAAGCTGAAAGGTTGAATTATTTGAAAAAAATTCGTTTTCTTGAGAGGAAGAGGACAAGCTTAAAAAATACAAGATATTTTGATCACAAATTGTTTCTAAACAAATTATTTTTAATTTTTCATGTTACTTACATATCACATTTATATTTCATGAATCAAATGTATTAAAAATTTAAGAAAATCTTTAAAAAATGTAAAATACTCGTTTAAAGGGACTGTAAACGTAATTTCAAGTGACCCTACATACAAACGGTATGGATTAGATATATCCATGTTTTTGTTTATTTAATCTGTTTATTTTTATGTGTGGCTTCTCTGCAAAACTTGCTTGTAAGAAATAATGAATAAGTTGTAGTATTCTCTTACTACTAAAAATGTGCAATAAATTGGCAAACTTAAATTAGCAAACTTTGATAAGATCACACTTCAAGTTATATAACTTATATAGGATCAATTATCTTTGCAACCTGATAACATTGCACATCGGGTTATCTCCATCACTCGGAGCTAACCCTTACACAATTACTTATCTTTGCAACCTGGCAACATTATCCTCATCCATATCTTCATCTACATCTAAATCAGCTTCATTGATGTAAGCTGGATTCATCTTCTTCTAAGCAGCTTGTCCAGTTAGGTTCCCTCTGTATGCTGTATGTTCGCTGTATGTTGTACATTGTACAAGTCCCGGAACGATAGTGGCAGACTGACGTGTATAGTTACGTGTCTACTCTTCTAAGGTTCGGGTTGTACTGATCCTCTGGCATCCGATTGTATTCAAGGGACTGTTCATTCTTATTAAGAACAATCTAGGCTACAACAAAGTTTACAAAAATAAACATTTCCAAATCAGAAAATGAAGTTATCTTCCACATTTTTGATCAGATTAAACTTTCATTGTAAATCAGCCGTCTATCTTTGCCTGGAGGGTCACTTAAAGTTATGCTTACAGTCCCTTTAAGTAAGAGAAATATTACCTAAGGTTGTTCCTGAATTGGAGATGAGTATTATATTTACTTTATTGAAAAAATCTGTTTGATTTGGTCCATAGAATAGATATGTGTCAGATATATGAATATAAGCAAAGATTTCATCATCTAAATATTTTTTAATATTGCAGCTTGTTAATTGTTTATTGCATTTGTTTATCTTTTTTACCTTATCATCAAATTATGTTTTAATGGATAAATAAAATTTAAAATTACTGAGCAAGTGACTTTCAGGGGGTATAAATTTCTTTCACTGGATTTTGAGTCCTTGCTTTGAACAATTTTCAAGAATGTACACTAAATAAATGACTTTAAGCTTGAACCGGTTATTCAACTTTACAATTTGAATAGCATTTATAAATTTTTCACTCAAACCCATTTTAAGGAAATGCCATTGTTATCAAAATACTGCTTTTTTAATTATAAGTATTAAGTAAACAATTTAATACAGGGGAAATTAGCTCCAAACACTGACCCTAAGTGTAATTGCTGTTTGAAACTAATGTCCCCTGAAATGTTCAAGGATTGGAGAACTATCAGGTTTGAAACTAATGTCCCCTGAAATGTTTAAGGATTAGAGAACTATCAGTTTTGAAACTAATGCCCCCTGAAATGTTTAAGGATTAGAGAACTATCAGGTTTGAAACTAATGTCCCCTGAAATATTCAAGGATTAGAGAACTATCAGGTTTGAAACTAATGTCCCCTGAAATGTTCAAGGATTAGAGAACCATCAGGTTTGAAACTAATGTCCCCTGAAATGTTCAAGGATTAGAGAACTATCAGGTTTGAAACTAATGTCCCCTGAAATGTTCAAGGATTAGAGAACTATCAGGTTTGAAACTAATGTCCCCTGAAATGTTCAAGGATTAGAGAACTATCAATGTTAACTCAAACTTGCCAACAATATGTTTGCATCCCCCTGTAAAGTTGGAATCATAACCAAAAATACAACGATCTTCTACTTTCATCGTAAAGCTCAGACCAAAATGTTCAGCAAAAATATAAAAAGCTGAATAATCTGGTCCAGAAGGTATCACTTCTCCATTCTTATTTGTTCCATTGTATGAGGCCCTAAACAATTCATATTTTTATGTTAATCTAAAATGTGATATTTATGATATTTGAAAGTGGTTTGTTTCACACTTGTAAACGCAGGCCTTCACTTGGATCCTTCTTTTTTAACATTGCTCTGATTGAACAATTTTCATTCTGATTTTTAAATTAGCAATTTTTTTATATCTTTACCATTCAAAAACATTTTAGTTGAAAATATTGGTAAATCGTTAAGCAAGTGGTTAGACTTTTAACAATGTCAAATATTATATTAATTGAATTTAAGGACAATGATCATGTGTCATCTTTTCCATTGCTTTGTGATAATTTATTTTAGAACATTTATATATTAAAAATCAGACAGATAATATGAAACAAACCCTTGATATAAATATATATATATACCTGTAAAACCAGTAGATATCAAAGTGTTCCACACGAACATTAATACCCTCAAGATCTTTAACCTAATCAATACTTTTCTTAGCTTCAAAAATGGCTCTTTTTAAACCAGAATTTTTTTTCTCTCCATTTAATGTTCCGGGGAGGAACTACCACTTATTGGGCAATGCCTTGATTTGCAATGGTACCCTTGAAACCTTAATTATATATATCTAAAATATGGAAGAAATCGTCCTTTTTCTGATTCGAAAAGTTTTGATTATTGTGAGTTTCTCCTGTTGCTTCCTGTAAACAAGGAAAGCGCAAGTTACTTTCGAAGAGAAACAGCTTTAAGAAACAAGAACATTGATATATTATTCAAGCTTAATCAGACAAAGCTTTCAAGGGTACCGTAGTAAATCGGACATTTCCATCTTAGCATGGAGTATTACTTGAAAATACAGTCCCTCTAAATCTATGATATAAAAAATTCAATACATAACCTGGAGAGAATCAAATCTATCTCGTGGAACCCCCTTGAGCATACACAGATGCTTTATTTTAAGCCTTGTATTTCTAAATGAAATTAATCATTAACATACAAATAAACACATGACATATTGTAGAGGGATGACCAATATTTATTTTAAAACATATAGTTCTTATATTTACAAATAAGGGAGTGTGGTGAAATATTGTTACTACATTTTCAAACAATTTAATTAATTTCATCTTGTAAACTTGTATATTCTTATAGATTATAAAAAATCTATTAATATAAATAAGAATCCTATACCTAGTAGTTCTGTTATGCTTATGATTAAATATCCACATATTTCTAGATAAATATAAAAATATAGATAGTTAGTTAAAAATTAATAATTTTTACTTTAAAATCACTAATTATATTGTTTAACTGTTTTAAAGTTAAACAAAAAGGAAAAATAAGAAAATATAAAATATATTTGACCTGTATATTTGTCCACAACCAGGAAAATAAAGATTAAGAATACTTAAATCATCAGTTTTCTGAATCTCAAGACTAGACTTTGTCAGATCTATTAATGTATATATATATATATATATATATATATAGATGTTTCTTTAAATATAGTATTTTGCTTAAATTATTAAATTAAATATTTGTCAAAACATAATTTTTAATTTATTAACACAAAATAAAATATTATTTGCATTTTACTTAACAAAATAAAAACTATGAAAATGTGCAAATACAAATGTACAATCTTACATAATTTCTCAACAGAATTTGTTGTCCCGAGTAGACTTAATAATTCATATATATGTATACAATATTTTGATGAAATGATTTGTATGTTTATAATTTTAAACCTGTTACAACTGTAGATTCGGTTATTTTGATGAACACGCACTCTCTTTTTCTTAAAACAAAGTTTATTTTTTAAATTTTATTTTCATGAATGTATTATTTACCTTTTAGAAATACAAAACTTGTTTTCCAACTCTTCCTGAATTTTAAAATATTGTAAAATTCTTAAATTTGTAAAAATTCTAAAAATATTTCCTGTGGAGTCTTGAGATTAGTAATTATAAGATGACAGTCCTCCAGTCCTTCTCCATTCTTCAGAGTCATTGTTTCAATCTCATTTAATATTATCTAAAGGAGTTGAGTTTTTGCCACAAACTCTGCAATTTTCTAATCTCTATATCTTTGTAATCCAATGTCGTAGACCTTAGATATTTCAAACTATTATACGCATAGATAGAATAATCAAAGTTTGAAATATCAAAGGTTGCAAAGGTATTTAGATCCATTTCCATTTTATTGGTCATCTTGGTATCAATCTATATGTATATTGTCTGTCTGTTTGAATCTAAAGCACTTGCAAAATTTTTGCTTGAAAAAAATGTCGACATTTAATTCTTTTAAAGATTCACAATTTTACAAATTTTAAAGACAAATCCGCGATTATTTTGCACATTATGATGACAAATGTCAATTTGAAAAGCAACAGTTAAAAAATAAAATTCTCACTAGAAAAGAGGCGGGTTTTAAAAGCCTTGTTTTGTTAAAAAATATTTACTTGATAAGTTTTTAAATATAGCTAAATATAGCTAGTTTATGGAATAGTATTTACACCAACCTTAGCTTCTATCATTTCTTCAACTATCTCCTCATCCTGGAATATATTGTGTATTATTATTATCAATATATTAAGTAATTTAAAAGTTTTCCTATCATTAAATAAACTGATCATTTGTCACAAACTCTAAATATTTTTAAAATAGTGCCTTTATACAGGGTGGCCCTAAAAGAACTAATTTTAGAAGGGGTCATTTAAGTAACAATTTGTTAGTCGATGTTTCCGTTTGTCGTGAAACTATGTCGAATGTTCGAATGTTTACTTTAAACAATTAATAAATTTTATTAATATTATTCTGCCCAAATATATATTGCAGAAAGAAAAAAAAACAATCTTAGAAATTATGATAATGAATACTTTATTTTGGTATAATAAAAGAAACTGATAATTTGCCACAAACTCTAAATCTGTTTAACCCATGGTGCCTTTATAGAGTGCTTCTAAATTAGACTATTTGATATACAGGGTGTCCCACGAAACATGACAGTAGCAAGACAACTTAAAAGTCGTCTTTGAACTTGGAATTTATTCGCAAGATTTATTCTTTAACCTGACTTTTTTGTGCTGTCAATATTGCCGGAGATATTAAATTTTTTTTCAGATTTCAATTTTGTTATTTAAAACAAAATTGTCGAATTATGAACGAAATTATTTATAGCTCGCGTAACTTTAAAAGCACAAAAAAGGCAGACCACATTTAGGAAATGCCAGGAATAAGGATAATTTGTGATCATTATCTCCAGAATTTTACTCTTAAAATTAGCTTGACAAATGAATACAGCAAATTCAAAGACGACGTTTAAATTGTCTTGCTACTGGCATGTTTCGTGGGACACCCTGTAGCATAATAAATCGTCTAAAACATTGAAGGTTTACAAACATCAGGTTTCAAAGATACAAGGATAAAAAATAGAGTATAAGACAGGAAATTATTTCCTGTGAATAATTATTGGATGATAATGTTCCTCCCTGTTTAGTCCAGTTTCCAATAATTGACACAATACAAGGATGAGAAGGATGTATATAGTTCTCAAGGTAGGGTTGAAGCAACGCCAACTCATTTCTAAACAAAAATATAATTATTAGTGAATTTGTTTTATGCATAGATGTAAAGCGAATTCAGATTTTCTTCTGATATTAAATGGGACTGTAAACGTAATTTAAAGTGACCCTCCATGTAAAGAAGGGAATGGTCCCTTTAAACCTTTGACTGTTTAACGAGTAAAGAGAGCTGGGTTTTTTCATCTCTGGAAAAGTGCTGAATTCCTGTAAATTGCGGTGTGCAAGGTGTAAATATTTACTTTCGAAATTTAGGAAACCCCGCTTTTATACAGTGATGACAAGAAAACAATGAATTAGGAAGACGACATTACAGCAATAATTAAGTGTATTTTATAATGTTACAATGAAAATAGTTTTACTAGACAATTATAAACCGCTAATTTGGTGAAATTGGGCTGTTTACACTTCACAATTGTTATGTTTCTTTTTACTTCTAAAAGTCGTCTTCCTATTTCAAAGTTTTCTGGTTATCATAACTATAAGTACAGCTTGTAAGCAAAGTGTTCAAAAATTAAAGGTATTTTTGTAGATTAACCCTATCTCTGCTGGGGTACTTGACAACCAGGATATGCTAAATCCCATGTTTTATGTCCAAATATGACAAATGATACATCATTGGAAAGCTCTTGTGCTCTACTTTTAGAATCTGCAAAAAATTTTGCAAATTTGCAAAAATTGAATTTTTTATCGCAAAATCCAGTGTTATAGTAAAAATGTTTGCAAAAAAAAATTTGTCCAAAATATGAAAAATTATACATTTTTGAAAAGCCCATTTAAAATTTGCAAAAATGTTTGCAAAATTTCAAATAATCTGCTTTTTAATGAAGAAAAACTAAAAATGTGCAAATTTTCTTTGACAGGCTGTTTGCAAAAAATTTGCAATTTTTTTTTCGCAATCCGTTTCCTTATGTCATAGGCTTTCCAAAAAGCTAAATTTTATCAAAATCTGACAAGTAAAAGTGGGTCAAAACAAAGATTTAGTTTGTTACAGGCAAAAGCAGTCATTCAGGCAGTGTGCCTGAGGACTCAGGCAGTTAATATTAAAGTCCGGTTTTAGGCCTAAAGGGAGGGTTTTGGGTATGTAAGAAAAGTCAGAAAATTTCAACAGCCTCAGACCAATACTGTTTGAGTTATGTAAAAAAAACTACAGGGGGGGTCAAATTGACCCCCCCCCCCAGCAGGAATAGGGTTAAGAACAGTCAATCAAACAAAGTGTTCAACAATTAAAGGTATTTTTGTAGATTAAGAACAATAAATCAAACAAAGTGTTTAACAATTAAAGATATTTTTGTAGATTAAGGACAATAAATCAAACAAAGTGTTTAACAATTAAAGGTATTTTTGTAGATTAAGAACAATAAATTAAACAACCTTGATCACTCAGTCAAAGATTTAAAGGGTACCGTTGTGATTTAGGCATTGCTATCTTTACATGGAGGTTCACATGAAATTTTGTTTACAATCCCTTTAAATGTATTTTATTCTAAACTTTCTAAACCAACCTAAACACTTCTGTACTCTGGGTTTTATATAAGTTAAAGAACACCAAGAGTAGTGCTAACAAATTGGAACACATCATACAATCCCTTTCTCTTTGGTTATAAGAGGATCATGATCTGCTCTAAAAAATCTATTTTATATTAAAATTTAAAATTCTCTTTTATAGAGTCAATAAACATATAGACAGTAGACTTATCTTATGTTTTAAGTTTGTATTTCTGACAATGATAAAGCTCTGAAGTCTGAATGGATAAAATCTTTCTGTGGCGTGAAATATGTTATAGTCACCTTTTTATATCAAACTTTTAACAGAAATGTTAGAAAATTTTAACATTTAAAGAATCAAAAAAGTATGACATTTGCTATCATTTTGCAAAGGTTATGAAAAATTAGTTATTAAATTTTTTATTTTATTTTGAGCTTTATTAAAAAATTTTGACTTTGAGTGATTAGGTTGCGCCGCAGATAAATTTAAAAAAAAATATTCTTGAAAATTTAAATTAAATGGCTATTATGTACCTGCTCATCCTTGCGCCACTAATTTTTACAAGGGGGGGGAGGCTTGCGACGTCACCCCCCTATTTTCCCTGGGGGGGGGGCCCTTAAGCCGCCATCCTGTGAAAATGTGATATTTTGCGCGCAAAGGTCTTAATATTGGGCAACAATATTTTCCAATTTAAATGTCATGCTTTTTTATTTAATTCAAAGACTCTAAGTTTCTGAAAGACTTCATTTCAAATAAGATTTATAGAATGGTAATTGGTCAAAAATATTTAATTATACGTACATTACTAACTTCTAACTTAAAAATTTAAAATAACCACATTTACTATTTATACAATATACATACAAATTAGGTAATTAGAGCGTGTTGATCCCTGCTATTTGATCAAATTGTTAGCTTTATTATAAAGAAAATTCTTATTCTTAGTTTATTGTTTTTTCATGTTTCAAAGGTTTACATCCACATCCGTTTCTGAAGTTCATCATTTCATTTTCCCTCTGCTTTTTCTTCGTTGACACCTTATCAATTTTAAGAACTATCCCTTTAAGATAAAAGAGCGGTGTGCGACATGCATCTTATCTAATCCGATCTAACCTTATAAAAATGCTGAAAATGAGAGGGGGGGAGGGCAGAGTCTCCCAACACTAATCCCGTTATTTTACAAAAGAAATGCTGAAGAGAAAATAAAAAAATGCATCATATCTCATTCATGGGTAACGCTTTTAAGTGTACCCATTTGGATTGGAAATGCCTCTCAATTTATTGTGAGTCACTTCAAATCACGACTACAGTCCCTTTAAAGGGACAGACCGGCTATGTAAAGTAGTTGAACTGAATATTCAGAGTGTTGTGGACAAATTCTTTCGGATTCATTTGAGACATATAAAACTTTTTAAAGATCTGTAAATCCTGAGTTTGTGCGCAAAGTCGTCGTTCAACATCGTACTTTTGGGTGGATACGTTTTCAGAATTTTTTTTTTAATTATTAAACAACAACTACAAAAAATGTAAACAAAATTCTACAGCAAACTAATTAGTTATTTTGGAACAGGATGAGAAAATAAAAAGTAACCCTTATCATGGAAAATAAGTAATCTTATTAAATTATTAGTTTCTACCCGAGTAGAATCTAGGGGTCTGAAACGTAGTCTTAGACGCCGGGCGGACCTCCTCAGACCCTATGTATTTGGAAAAAAATATCAAATTTCACCAAATATTTGTAATATGAGAAAAAACCATTAAAATATTTGAGCATTCCTCTCCCCACCCCTTTCTTCAAGCACCTCTCCATCGTCAGGAGTGGTCTTAAATACAAGACCCTGTTCAGTTTAAGTAGGATATCATATTTCTTCAACATGTGTTATATGTCCCAACCCCAGTTTCTGCTGTTTCCCCCCAAGTCTGATAGAAGTCTGCATTATGATCCTGTTCAAGACTCTGTT